AAATTTATTTGTTTATGGAATGTTAAGACAGGATAATAAAAAGCCAAATTAGATGGTCATTCATTAGCAGTTTATTCAATTTGTTACTCTCCTGATGGTACTACATTAGCATCTGGTAGTGCAGATAGGTCTATCCGCTTATGGGATGTTAAGACAGGATAATAAAAAGCCTAATTAGATGGTCATTCAAATGTAGTTACTTCAATTTGTTACTCTCCTGATGGTACTACATTAGCATCTGGTAGTGATGATAACCATATTCGTTTATGGGATGTTAAGACAGGATAATAAAAAGCCAAATTAGATGGTCATTCTGAAACAGTTAATTCAATTTGTTACTCTCCTGATGGTACTACATTGGCATCTGGTAGTGATGATAACCATATTCGTTTATGGGATATTAAGACAGGATAATAAATCTTATCTTCAGATAATTGTTATCAAGATATTGTAGCTTAATTTTCATCTCAAAACTTTAACAACAACTTAATTCAAGAAAGTGGTATTTATTTTCTTCTTTATATAGTAAATTCTCCTGTTAATTACCTTGTCATATCAAATTAGCTTGAATTTCGATCCAACGGAGTGTTAATTTTGAAAGGAGAATTTATTAATCAGTCTGGCATAGACTTGAGGACATTATTTAAACAAAGAGGAAGCTTCATTTTAGAGAACCAAATTGGATTATAAAAACGATGAAAATTGATTAATATTTATAATCATTTAATACATATATTTATTCTAATTTTTCATAATTTCTTACCAGGGTCCATTCGCCACAGAATTCTCAAGTGTTCCTAAACTGGAAGGGGACCTTAGCTACTGCCAGACCAGGGAACTCTGAAAACTCTTCAAACATGGCAGAAGGGATATGAAGTCTAGGGAACTTGAGACAAAGAATGAGACGAAGGACCACCTCCTTATTTTCTGTTCTGATCCTATTGCTGGTTTGGGGCTTTAACTTAGTAGCTTGTAGAGATCTTTGTTATATATTATCTCTAGTGCTATCTATGCCTCCAAAACAAATACTAATTCCAGAACGTTCTACTAAAATCATCGATTAATAACATAAATCTAGATGACGCACTAAGGAGTATCACATTACAATTACAAATTAATTTAAAATATATAGTGCAGTTCGTAAAGAACTCCAGTGGGATCTAGAGTTAGGCATCCTCTAAACCACCCAGCATTATTAACCCCAGGTGTCTCGATATAAACTACAATCTGATTTTGATAATTAGTTGTGTTAAATAAATAATAATAATAATTTAATACATTAACATATTTCAGAATCAACTCTTCAAAAATGTGAAACAAACAAATACAAAGAACGAATTAATACATATTTACGATGCTAAATTGAATAGAAAAATTTAATCAAACCCTCAGATAAAAATTATTAGTCAGCTTTCAGAAATCATCGATTTACTTATGGTCATACCTGCATAATTTTTTGACTCACAAATCCGGGGGTGGTACCTACATAGTTTTTGACTCATAAATCCAGAGGTGGTACCTACTGCCTGAATATAGTAGGGGTTTTCCCAAGCCCCTACCGCCGGAATACGAATGGTTTTCCTAAGCTCCCTACGGCCGGAATACGAAAGTCTATCCGTTTATGGGATGTTAAGACAGGATAATAAAAAGCCAAATTAGATGGTCATTCTGAAACAGTTAATTCAATTTGTTACTCTCCTGATGGTACTACATTGGCATCTGGTAGTGATGATAACCATATTCGTTTATGGGATATTAAGACAGGATAATAAATCTTATCTTCAGATAATTGTTGTCAAGATATTGTAGCTTAATTTTCATCTCAAAACTTTAACAACAACTTAATTCAAGAAAGTGGTATTTATTTTCTTCTTTATATAGTAAATTCTCCTGTTAATTACCTTGTCATATCAAATTAGCTTGAATTTCGATCCAACGGAGTGTTAATTTTGAAAGGAGAATTTATTAATCAGTCTGGCATAGACTTGAGGACATTATTTAAACAAAGAGGAAGCTTCATTTTAGAGAACCAAATTGGATTATAAAAACGATGAAAATTGATTAATATTTATAATCATTTAATACATATATTTATTCTAATTTTTCATAATTTCTTACCAGGGTCCATTCGCCACAGAATTCTCAAGTGTTCCTAAACTGGAAGGGGACCTTAGCTACTGCCAGACCAGGGAACTCTGAAAACTCTTCAAACATGGCAGAAGGGATATGAAGTCTAGGGAACTTGAGACAAAGAATGAGACGAAGGACCACCTCCTTATTTTCTGTTCTGATCCTATTGCTGGTTTGGGGCTTTAACTTAGTAGCTTGTAGAGATCTTTGTTATATATTATCTCTAGTGCTATCTATGCCTCCAAAACAAATACTAATTCCAGAACGTTCTACTAAAATCATCGATTAATAACATAAATCTAGATGACGCACTAAGGAGTATCACATTACAATTACAAATTAATTTAAAATATATAGTGCAGTTCGTAAAGAACTCCAGTGGGATCTAGAGTTAGGCATCCTCTAAACCACCCAGCATTATTAACCCCAGGTGTCTCGATATAAACTACAATCTGATTTTGATAATTAGTTGTGTTAAATAAATAATAATAATAATTTAATACATTAACATATTTCAGAATCAACTCTTCAAAAATGTGAAACAAACAAATACAAAGAACGAATTAATACATATTTACGATGCTAAATTGAATAGAAAAATTTAATCAAACCCTCAGATAAAAATTATTAGTCAGCTTTCAGAAATCATCGATTTACTTATGGTCATACCTGCATAATTTTTTGACTCACAAATCCGGGGGTGGTACCTACATAGTTTTTGACTCATAAATCCAGAGGTGGTACCTACTGCCTGAATATAGTAGGGGTTTTCCCAAGCCCCTACCGCCGGAATACGAATGGTTTTCCTAAGCTCCCTACGGCCGGAATACGAATCTCTATCCGTTTATGGGATGTTAAGACAGGATAATAAAAAGCCAAATTAGATGGTCATTCAAATTAAGTAAGAACAATTTGTTACTCTCCTGATGGTACTACATTAGTATCTTGTAGTGCAGATAACTCTATTCGTTTATGGGATGTTAAGACAGGATAATAAAAAGCCATATTAGATGGCCATTCATCAACAGTTTATTCAGTCAATTTCTCCCCTGATGGAAATACATTAGCTTCTGGTAGTGATGATAACTCTATTCGACTTTGGGATGTAAAAACATCAAAGGAAATACTTCAATCAAATGGTAGCTATAAAGATTTGCTTGCCTAGTTTAACATACCACTTTAGAATAGCTCCTAATTGCCAAATGGTATGCAATATTTATTATTATTTAGTTAATCCTTATTGTACAATACTTAGAATATGCTCGAATCCTTTGTTTCAAGCATCAGGAACACTTATCTTAAAAGGACAATTCATGAATTATTAAGGGATAGATTTAAAACCTTTGTTTAAATCAAAAGGAAGTTGCTTTTTAGAAGACTTAAAGCAAAATAAGTTAAAAGCATTTCAATTCTCATTTAAATCATTTTCTTATTACCTTTTTGAATAATATGTGTTTTTTGTTTCAATTCTTGATCTTAATTTCTTAAGATAGATAATTACATATTTTTAAATAGTATTCCATTTCTAGCAAGTGATTAAACCATTTTATTTATATGCTATTTAAATATTTGGTAAATATTGAGTATGTCAAGAAACAACGGTTATAAATTAATATTTAAAGATATACATACAATACACTATTAAAATTATAATCTAAAACAAAGTACATTAACTTAATTAATTACTATTTATAAACAGTTAGATAAAGATAACATTCAAAAAGAATAAACTTAATCCTAGACATATAAGCATTAAAATTATACTATTTTCATAATTTGTAATTATTATTTTCAATTAACATTAAAAGTATTAGAAATATAAAAAGACTGAATATATATATTAAACATCAATAAGTATTAACTACCTTAAAAGGATCAAGATTTAAGGAGATAATTATTATATCTACCCTCTAACAACCATCTAATAATCTTAACTGCTGATTAACTCAAGCTCTATGTGAATTCTTACTTCATTTCAAAGGAGCTACCTCCAACTATAATTAGTTATATATCACTTATACTTCTAAAATCTATATTATTTTCAAATGAGCTCATCAACTATCAGCTAGTACAATTTTAAGATTCGATTTATTCATTATGAAATAAAGAAATTACCCTAAATTGTTATTGTCTCTAGAAAAAGATATTATTATATTTATGAATTAATTGCTATAGTAAAAATGTAATTGTCATGTAGAGGAGAAAACAAGCTTAAATTCTCCTCAATCCCTAAATTAGGATCACCCACACCCAGACAACAATAACAATAATGATATTTCAATTGAAAAAAATTGCTAAGATATCAAAGAATTCATCAAATTTAACGAAAAATTTGTTTTAACGATCAAAGACCACTTCAAGAAAATGGAGATTTATTTTTAATAGATTATAACATAGACAGAAAAAAACATTTATAACTTGAATTAGTAATTAGAAAAGTAAACTTGCGAAAAAGAACTCATCAATATCGGACAATTTAGCCTTCTGAACAACAAAAGGCAAACAGGTATTTCATTTGAATAATTTTAATAGAAAAAGATTAGTAGGAATTTGAATAAATTCTTTATACAATCAAAAATATTGTAGATGCATAAAACCCCATCAATAATCTAAAGATATCAATATCTTCTTAAGATCCCAATGATGATTATGAGAAGGGTAATATAATTAATCACATTTTTATTTAGGTTTCTCATTATATTATTTGGAAAAATTAAAAAAGGCTCCTGAAATTTGGAGTTAAGAAATTTCTATAAATTTTAATCATGGTGGGTGGAACAAATAGGGTAAATAAATTGTTAAAGGTTTATCATTAGAAAATTCTAAATTATACAAAGAGGCTATTGAGACTTGCAACTTTGCGATTCTGGCTAACCATCAAAATGAAGTGGCATTGAATAATAGGGGTTTTATCATTTAACATGTTTATATTTAGGTGTTTATTAACTCTATTAACAAAATTACCAAGAAGCTATTACTGATTTCAAAAAAGCTATTTCATTTGGTTCTGTCAATGCAGAATACAATATGAGTAATGGAATTTTTAACTATTTGAATTTAGGAGTTGCATTATATTATGAACAAAACTATCCACAAGCCATTTTGAGTTTTGAAAATGTTATTTCTAAAAATGGAAATAATGTTGATGCATGGTTTTTTGTTTGTAATATCAAATAAATTTTAGAATTTAGGGTGTGCTTTAATGAAATAACAAAAATTTTAAGAAGCATATGATTGGTGCATTAAAGCAAAAACTAGAAATAGTTTTCATTATTATGCTTTGACTAATGGGGGTAATATAATATAAATTATTATCATGCAGGTCTTGCATTACACTGTTTATAAAGACGCGAAGAAGCAATGGACTGCTACACTAATGCCATTAATATAAATCCTAATAGCGCCACAGCATGGATAAATAAGGGTAATATAATTTAAAATATCTTTTTATAGTCATTTCATTAATAGAAGAAAAGAAATATTAATAGGGTATCGATTGTTTGAATGATGCTAAAACTAGAAATCCTAATTATGATATGACATATAACAATCAGGGTAATATAAGTTAAATATATTTATATAGATCCTATATTACACCATTTAAATATAGACGAAGTAGCTATTACTTGTTAAAATAAGGCCATTTCTATAAATTTTAATAACCGTACGCCATGAATATTTAAACACTTTTATAGGTTGTGCATTAATAAAATTAAATAAAATTCAAAAAGTTCTTAAGTGGTGCGAGAAAGCTATTGCTAGAGATCCTGATGATGATAAAGCATTTAACAATAAGGGTAATATAATTTATAGATATTATTTCTAGGTTCTATATTGCACTTTTTAAAGCAACCTGAGAAAGCTATTGTCTGTTACAATAATGCAATTAAGATAAATCCTAATAACAGTATGGCATGGATAAACAAGGGTAATATAATTTAAATTATTTTTATGAAGGACTTATATTACACTTTTTACATCGATACAAAGAAGCTATTAATTGTTACAGAATAGCTATTGGTATAAACTCTCAGAACAATATTGCATTCTTACATAAATAAATTTTTCCTTTAGGTGTTTCTCTAATAAACAAATTAACAATACTTCACCAATAAAACCTCAAATGTATTAAACCTTTATTATTTTTAAGCTGATTCACTATTCGAATTTGAATAAGAACAACGAGCTAAACATTAAGAGATGGAGACTTTGTATGAAGAATCAAAGGGGGTGAATGAAATAAATAAAAAGATTTGAATAGTAATAATAAATACAAATTACCATTAATTTTTAGAAATATTAAAAAAATGAAATTAAAAATTGATGCTAGCTTTCAATTTCTATGAGTTCAACTTATAATTCGTCACTAATAATTTAAAATAATTTCAAAGATCTTTGAATGCCTTAACGCTTTATCTCGACCTTCTCTCCTTCCTAAGTTTAATCAAATGTTTTATGTATTCTCTATTAAAAAATTTATAAGATTACTCAATTCCTTATTAAATTTGTTTTAACAAAATAATTGAATGATTTGGAATCCCAATATATTTAACAAAGCCATTAAAATAATTCTTAAATTAATCAAAGAGTTAGATGGTGTAATGACATCGTTCTGATTGAAAAGACAGACCATTAATTTCAGTTTTAAAATATTTAACCCATTTAATATGCTTATGAAAGAAAACTTATAAGGGGTTCTGTACATTAAAATTTATTAAAGTATGAGTAAATAAATTCAAAACATTATTTTTTAAAATCAATGCAATTTTATGATCAGATTACTTTGAAAAGCATTAATCCTTCATCGAGGTAGTCATAAGAAAAATGCAGCTTTTTCAATTCTTAACTATATTAAAGATTAATTTTCAAATTAAAGCAGATATATAAATAATAAATTTGACATAGAAACGAAAATTTAATTTAATCCTTTATGGAATTGAGTTTAACACTTGTATTGGAAGAATTTCAGAAAGCACACATTTCACATAAATTGCAAGCCAGATTTTTTTTGCAACCATATTTATTGTAATTTCAAATCAAATGAGTAATAAGCTAAGTGCATCGTTCTTCAATTATAGATTGAAACCTCATTATAATTATTTGAAGTATCTGGAAAATTTATATCCTGACTATGAACCTCCTTTTGCTGAGCAAGTCATATCATAAGGCTGTATATTTGGATTACCAAATTGTTATACGAATCCATCGCAGTCATGTAGTTGCCATATTGGAAATTTGTATGAATACAGCTCATAATTTATTTCATCAAGCTAGCATGAGAGAGGATATACCAGATTTTTAAGCTCATGCGATGTCAACATTAATAATAAGTAATTACATTAAGTTTTTTCATATATATTAAATTTATGGCAAAAACGCATTAACTTTCAACATTCATAATATTGGAGGGAGTAGTTAAGTATGATTAATCAGGTTTTAAATATTTGTTTACTATTCAAAATTATTTTACTTAATAGTATGAATCTTTTTCATATACATTCTTTATTATCTATGTTTCAAGTTACACAATCCTCACCAATAAACTGTAATTTGCACTTTAATTGATATTAAAAGTAATTGCGAGCTAGCATCAATAAGCATCATTTGTGAGATAGAATAGTATTGCAACCTTGATTTTAAGCCTAAATATTATTTTCTAGATAGATAGCGAAGCAAGAATAAATCTATTGGAACAGGGTTCATTCTTATTTGTTCTGCAAAAGAAATTCATAATAATTTAAATGTACTATCAGTAATTGCAAAAATTAGACATAAATGTATCTTCAAAATCAATATGAAAATTTACCCTTATATTTGAATATCATTTTAATATAAAAATAAATACTATTGAGTTTAATCAATCCACAATCTCTTAATCTCTTGGTTCGTTGTAAACATCTTATTGAATAAATTCTGGTTTCTGTTTAAAAATAGTACAATTTAAAATAAACTTTTGACAGATACTTTTATTTTAAATGAAAGACTACAACAAGGATTAAGCAGAAATCATCGGTTTTGGCGTAAGTTCTATATAATAATTTCAAATGATTCAATTCTAAGGTCTATCTCAATTCGTTTTAATTATACCTTATATTTTATTTTTAAAATAAGTTAGAATATAAGCTTTTGATTACTTTATTAAATGTAATTAATTTGAATTAAGTCTCCTTGTTTAAACTAGAGAAGAGAAAAGATACTAACATTAAGAATTTATCTTTTTAAAAGTTGAATTATTATATAAGAAATAAATACATCATAACTCATCTATGATCTTCTTATATAAACTTTTTGACTTGATTTAATTAAATTTCTTATTAATTCGGTAATAAATTTAAATAAAAAGTATTCGAAATTGAAATTTTTAAAGATAATTTGATTTTGGCATATTCTGTTATAATGATTCTAAAAACCATATCGCTCAAACATTGATAATTTAAGCTTTCATACTTGATTTCCCTATTTCAACACATTCCTAATTAGATAAAGTCATTAGTTAAGTAATTATAATTTAGTGTGATTTTTAATAATATAAACATTTAAGAAAAGATACTCGTGTTTCTTTATAAAGCAATTTCTATTAAATCAAATAAAAAACAATTTAGATTGCGACATTAATTCAAATCAAAATCATCCCTTTTAAAATTTTCATTTCTCTTTAAATTTGTAACTCGTCTCTTGCTTAATCATAAATCTCGCCAATATTATATATATCTAAAATAGAATCGAATAAAATACCAACTAATATATCTAATACATGTAACATTGAACAAGAGTATTTAGGATTAGACATCTTTTATAAAATAAAATGTAAAATCATCTAAAGTTCCTCCTCATTAATATCTTTTAATGCAACTTCTAACACTCCTCTTTCAGACAATTCCTCCACTAAACTGAGTATTATAGAGGTTTTTTTTTCTTTAAAAGCCTATTATAATTTTGCAATTTACCTTTACAATTGCCTCCTTATATTTAAAAGAAACTAAAAATTTTTCATAACCTGTAAACTTTTGATTTTGTATTGCTGGAACTTTATAATCATAGTCAGATAGTTTAGAATAGATGCCTCGATTATAAAATTTATAATTTTTGATTCTTCTTTATAAATGTGGATTAGACTTTAGATATTCAGGTATATAATCCTCTTCCTCTTCAATATCTTCATCATTTTTTGATGGTTTTAACTAATTTATTTATAATTAGCCATCATTTCCTCCAATAGTAATATTAAATCCATCTAGTGAAGCATCCAAAGCCATCACAGGACTTTTCCATTTCAATTAATGGGTAACATTAAAAATATCAGTTCTAATAAATTTTATCTAATGATCTAAAGATCCTGTGATAATTCTGGTTTAATCATGATATTAAGCTAAGGTTAAAGAAGTAACAGTCTTCTAATTTGTATGTAATTCTTAAATTAAATTGTCTTTTCTGAAATCCCATAAAGTAGTAAATTAATCTTAAGCAGATATAAAATTTAACTTATTTGGTAATATCAGAATTGATTCGATTGGATGATTCGCTAAGTAGGATCTAATTGGTTCATTGTTACTACTTCTCAAATCATATAATTTAATCAATTTATCATAAGATGAAGATAATAATTATTGATCATCATATGCAGCTATGCTTCTAATAAAATCATTATGAGCATTAGGTATGCTTCTAATCACTATATCATTTGGTATATCAAAGAGTTTTATAGTCTTAAATTATAATAAACATTACTCCATCATCTCCAGCTGCATAGATTTAGTCTGTATTGTTAAAGCTGATTGAATGAACAGGTTTCTTGAAATTTTTGAACTATCTTAGAGATGTTTTTGTCTTAAGGTTCATAATATTGACTAATCCATCTTCATGCGAAGTGGCTAATAATTGGGAATCGCATCTCAATTAAAGTGAAAGCACTTAAGTTTTAAATCTACTCAAGGTTTATGTGATTTAATTTTTATTTGTGCTGAAAATTTCCACAATATTTCCACTTGCAATGGCAATTCTTTATTTGATGTTGTTAGAGGCACTAATTGCTTTTATTGATTAATTATGTTATTTTTCTAAGACTTAATTAAAACTATTCCAATATCTGTTTTCTGCATTATCACTAACTGGCTTTTTAAATAATCTAAACTATATATGACTTTGATTTACAATTTTTCTTATAATTTTATGTAATTGTCCATTAATATAAAAATTAATTTATGTTATAAAGTTAAATTAAGTGTGATTTTTAATTCTGTTTTTGGAGTATTTAGTTTGCACAATACAAGTTGAAATTGTTATATAATGCTCAAATTAAAATCTTTATCGTAGAAAGTTATTAAATAAAATTTGAAAGAGATTCTTTTTATATTTTCTCTATAATACAAATTAATTGAGGTAAATAGAGCAATACTTATTATTTATAACAATAATGGATTAAAATTATATTGATAAATAAGTATAATAAGGAAAGGTCATTGTTGTAATAAACAAATTAGTATATGATTTGACAGATTTCACAACAAGACATCCTGGAGGGTTTAAAATTTTAGAAAAATATAATGGTTTTGATGTTACTAGACAGTTTGAAGTTGTTATTCGGCATAGTGAAAAGGCAAAGGAGATGATGAAGGAATTTTTCATTGGCTCCTTTTAAGACCGAAGATAAAAGGTTTCATGGGATCATATTAGATCGAATAAGGAAAATCTATACATAGTGATCTAAAATAATTTATATGATTGTACTGAGGTATAATACAATTTATTTCTTAGTTCGCAGATAATCATCCTGGAGGAAAAGAAATTTTGTAATTATATAAGAATTAAAATGCAACCGAAGCATTTAAAAGGCTTGGTCACAGTTAAGAAGCAAGAGAAAAGATGGATTTATATAAAATTGGAGAACTTGAACATAAAGTAATAAAATTCATATAATAGAAAGCTGAGGGGAATTCGTAGAGATGGCTTTTATTTTTTATAGGACTGGTAATTGCGTACATTTACAAAAGTATCGCTTATTGAATATCCTTAAATTTTTATGCAAAAATATTTATTAATAATTATATAATCCTTATTGAAGAAATAATGAATGAGAGAAGAGATGAAACCACTATTCCAGTTGCTATGGAGTATGACAAGAAGAAGGATGAGATAGAGAAAAAATTGAATTCGTACAATTGATAAACTAATAAAGATTATTTGAAGCTGATAAGGCTGCTGAGGAGTAATTGTATTAAGTGTAATAAATCCTTGCTATTTAAGGAGCAGTGTTAGAAACTGCTTCAGAATCCTCATTAAGAATCCTTGCCATCTAATATTTTATTACAAGTCTTTTAACAATGTTTATTTTGTAATTAAATCGTTTTGGATGGATTTTAACTTGGCTTCCTTTTTTGGAATAATTTGTTGGAACTATTTACATTATCACACTATTACTTTCTGAGTTTTGTCCGAGTGCAGTCTCAAAAGTAAATTAATTGATATTTCTAGTTACCCTATAACTTTTTGATTTTTATTTGTCATTCTTGTTCCAAAATTTTACTCCTTGTTTTTATTTCACTATGGTATTTAGAGTATAAATGCGAATTAATCACTCTAGCTCTAGGGATTTCAATATTATACTTGATATATTTAATCAAAAGTTCTGTAGGTATATTAATCATGAAATTTAAGCCGAGAAGCAATATTAAGGAATGAAAGTCAAAAAATAATTCTGTAATATTTTTGTTATGGTGGCTTTTATGTCTGGCGTCTTATGCTTGTTAACTAGATCACATCTAATAATCGTAGCCGTTTTAGCATGCTTTGGTCTAATTTATATCTGCTTTTTATAATTAGCCCTTTAGAGATTTGAATAGATGGAATTTATTTTCGAGAATTCAAATGACATTTATTTGGGACCTGCAATATTGGATGCAGATTTACTATTCTTTTGCAAATTATGCTTTTTCCATTGTTTTAGTAAGAAAGATAATTCAAATCGTAAAAAAAAAGAAGAACAATCAGAAAACGATGATTGAGAATGAAATTTATCATTAATAGACATATATTAACTTTATACATATATAATTTATTAATATGTTATCAAATATTAATGATATCCCTCTAAATGCCATGATCAATATAATACATATGCAGAGCATTTTCATAACCTTTTGTTAATAAAAATTCTTTTATTGCTTTTATTTCTTTCTCTGTGACATCCTTACATAAAAGTGCTATAGCATCATACCCTCCTGCTCCAGGACATATTCCCCATAAAACGGAAGGTTAAGCAATTGAAAAGTCGATAATCTCGGTTGAGATTTTAGGTTCAATATCATAATTAGCTAATAAACTTAATTCTCTAAGTAAAGAACGGTATTCTTAGTTCAATTTTAAGAACTTTTCTCTAACTAATTTCTATTCTTAGAGAAGATAAAACAATTCCATAACACATTTCTCACTTGTTTCTAAAAAATAATTATAGTATTTTTAGTTTTCAGATAAGCATTTTTATATTGTATTTATTCCTTTGATAGTGCTTTATCCTTATTTTAAATCAATTAATAGAATTTGGTAATTTTTATCCAGTCCATCTAAAGGTTTGACTTCATTTTTGCTAAACAATTAGCTTCCATATATTGCAGTTGAAATATCAAATCCAGAACCTTTATTTTCTTATGCTATCATGTTAGCTTATAAAGCTATTTTGTACAACATTTCATTATCATTGATAAATTGACCTAAACTAGAAACAATTAAGCCAGCTGAACTTCCTAAACCTAACTTTGTTATTTTATTCTTTTAATTTTATGTATAAAAGGCTGAATCTGGCTTAGTTTCAATCAACCAAGAATCTGCAGTCAGTTGATTCTAAAATATAATTTAGAAAATGGCATCAAAATAGATGTTTTCACTCTAACTAATCTAATTTAGTGAATATTTTATTTCTTGAAAAAATTATTCACTCCTAAAAATTATTTAGTTTTTTTCCTATAATTTAATTTTCTCAGTCCTAAATCTAGCATTGATTGCTATTGATACTCCATGATTATTGGGATTCAAAATAGCATAGCCTCCAGCTAGTAATACTTTACCAGGACATGAACAAATAAATTTTTACATTTTATAATAACTATTTATTTAAACTATATTTAACTGCAAAGAAATGATCAGTCCTTAAGCTAATGACCTCAAAGAGCAAGAAGGAGGTAAAAAAAACAAAAAAAATCTGCTCCCTTCTGGATATCAATCTCCTAAATTAAACCTAACCTCGAGGTACCGATGGTATATGAGTTAATATGAGAGACAAATAATAAGATCTTTATTAAGTTCAAATATTTAAAGAATTCCTCTTGAAAACAGCTACACATATTTAGTAAATTATGATTCAGAGTTGTCAATATTTAAAATATAAGGAGATCAGATCTAGAGCTCATTAGAAACAAAAACATATGCCTCATTTGTGAAAATTTATTCAAATAAAATACTACCAAAAAGAATAAAGAGCTATATGATAGACAGAAATAACATAATATATGAATATGAATTGGATTTTATGAAAGGTGAAAGTCCTTTATTTAGAAAGTATGAACTTGAAATAAAAACAGCATTTAGATTAGAAAATTACATCTTCTTATCAGTAATTAATTAACTCATTTTTTAGTGTGTTGTAAGTTAAGATGGGTCCTTGCTAGTGATGGTGTCTGATACTCAAATTTTCGTTTTGGATTCAGAAGATAAAAGTATTATGAGAATAGAAAACCCTCTTAACATTAATTAATTTCCTTATTACTAATTTCCTTGTTAATTCAATTTTGATAAGAAAGTTCATTTAGAACTCAAACCAAACACAAAGTGCTTTATCTTGGCTCATGAATCTTTGGTTGTTATTTATAAAAATTTTATTAAAATCAAATAGTTTGAGCTCAAAAAATAGTAAACAATCTTGAATGTATTTTGAATAATTATTTTAGATTAAATTGTTTGGTAATTAACTTATAATACTGACAATTTTAGCCATAATAAAGATTGATAATATATTTAATGAATATATTCAATTAAAAGAGGAAGATTACTTTTATCCATTAATTAATTAAAATTTTGAAAAAAAAGAAAATCAAGAGAGTTATATATAATATGGAACATTTGAGATTGAAAATCAAGAAATAAAGTCAGTTATCATTTATGATAACAATAAATAATTTTATTTAATTGAAATGCAAAGTATTTAATAGGGATAAATGCTGATTAAGGAAATAAAAGCATAGTTTGTTGAAGATGAGAAAATAGAAATGATAGAAGTAGAAAGGAAAACCTTACAATCAATAGTATTGAGAATTTTTTTTTTCAAAAAGAATCATGAGCTAGGTTTTTTTGAATATTAAGGAAATTTTTGATTCTCATTGATGTATTAATATCATATCATTATTTTCCATATTCCTTCTAAGTCATTAGATTGTAGAAATCATCAAAGGTGACGAAGCCATCATCATCCAAATCGGCTTTCTTAAACATGTGTTAGATTTCTTCATCAGTCATTTCCTCTCCCAAATCTTATGCCACTCTTTTTAATTCATCCCATGTAATGCGGCCTTTGGTAAATAAATAAATTACCCTCCTTATTCCAATCATAAAGATTAAAGACTTTTTAGATTTACTCTCTAGTATCCTTATCACTAACCTTGGCTGTTGCAAGATGTAAAAACTCTTCAAAGTCAATTCCTCCACTATTGTCAGTATCTAATTCACCCAATACTTAATAAATAAATTTATTGTGGTAGGTTTTAATTCCTGATGCTTCAAAAGCCTCTCTCAATTCTTATGGATCGATAGATCCAGATCCATCATTATCAAAGATGTCAAAGGCTTGCTTGACTTCTAAAACTTCTTCTTTTGTAAGATGTGGTGGTTTAGCGTAATCTTCAGCATTAAAAGGTTTTGGGCCCTTCTGAGGAGGGGGAGGAGGAGGAGCCTTTTTATCATTCTTTTAAGCAGACGATGGTGCCTATCTTGACATTAATTAATATTTATTTATATTTATATTTAGATACTAGTGAATAACATTTAATATCAAATGTTGAACCATGAATTATCAATTAAGGTAGTAGCTGTTGGTCTATTGTCTGCCTAAGCATCCAACATTAATAAGATCATATTAGCTAACTCCTTTGAAACAAATTTTTTGAGGATTAATCGATTGGTTCTTGAATTATCTTCAGGTAATTGACAAGTACACATTTAAAATATAACTACTCCTAAACAAAATATATCAAAAGAGGGTTAAACTAAATAATTAAGATCTCCTAATTCTGGAGGTATGTGAGGAAGTGTTTTCATCAGATATTTCCTAAGATCAGGATTTATTTTCGTTTTGATTTCTGATAATGTCTCAAATCTACTTATTTTTAACTAGAATTAAGGAAAAATTACTTATCTGTACTCTTCTTTGTGACACTCTATATTTTGGAGGATGATGCACATGTGAACACAGCTGTTTTGATGAATGTATTTGAGTCCTTCTAAAATACTGTAAAGATATGATCTTAACTTAATTTCATTTGATAATATTCTGGATTCTGTTTAAACACGTTCCTACAAATAGTTGCACTAATTAGCGTAGGAAGTGTATATCTATATAGTAGTTTTATTTTGAATGACGTATTAGTGAACCTAAATATTCAATATGTAAGTACTTATGATAAATTATCATCGTTGAATTATTGAGCTCTTCGTAAGGAACTTAGAATCAAATCTGTGTTGTACGGATTCGATATTGTATATCTGATCCTCTAGTCATTATTTACATATTTACTTTAACAAATTTTGAACTGATCACAATCTGGATGTCTTATTGAATTTCGGAAACAATTAGAAAAGTCTCTTCAGGTTCTTCATACTCTCTTAAGGATGATAGGAACAAACTATCATTAATAATTAATAGATGCTAAGGACATTTGTATGGCGAAGTGACAGCTTTTTAAAATTCAATTGAATCATCATCCTATGTGAGATTTGTATTCATTGTTATTAATTATTATAAATTCGATCTAAATATTATAAGCATAGTAATAAATAATAATGCGTATTATTGATTTAATATTATAACTTAACTTTTAAGTTAAAATCAATATTTTCTTAAATGGAGAAACTATAGAGCATACCCAATTATGAGATAGTAAGAATAATAGGTTCAGGGGCATTTGGTAAATTTAGAAAATATTTATAAAGGTTATGTGTTCGAAGCCTTTGATTAACAAAGACGCTAAAAAGTAGCCTTAAAAAGAATGCAAAAAGTTGGTAAATTGTAGAGTAGGGAATGCGAGATCCTGATGTAGTTAAAGCAGTGTAGTTATGTAGTGAAAATGCTAGTATAATATGATATTATATAGGATGTATTCTATAGTAGAAGTGAGGATAATAAAATGATTTAAAATATCATACTAGAATTTATGGATCAAAATTTGGAAGATATCATAGGAGATCACAGAAAGAGAAAAACCTATTTGGAATCCAAAGAGCTAAAGAACTACCTCTATCAAATGCTTAAAGGTCTTGATTAGATTCACAGAAAGCATATAGCTCATCGAGATTTAAAACCGTACTTGTATAAAATAATTAAAAAGAGAAAATATTTTAGTTAAGGATGGGAAAATCAAATTATGTGATTTTGGCAGTGCAAAACAACTAAATCCATCCACTATCAATACACCCTATATTGTATCGAGATTTTATAGAGCTCCAGAATTACTATTGGGAGTAACTGAATATGATGTATCGATTGATATATGGGCGATTGGGTGCATAATGGCTGAATTAGCTTTGCTTGAACCTTTATTTATTGGGAAATCAGAAGGGGATTAATTTTTTCAAATTCTTAGAATTTTAGGATCTTTTACCAAATCAGATCTAAAATATTATTAAAAAGTTGTTCCTTTTGATGTAAAATTATTCAAAGAGTTCCCAAAATATGAACCGATTGATTTAGAGGAAAAATTCGAACATGTGGATGATAAAGATTTATTTATTGATTTGCTTAGGTAATATTATTGATTTGTATAATTTAATAGCAAATTGTTAAAATACATTCCGGAAGAGAGAATTACAGCAAGCTAAGCATTAAAACATCAATATTTTTCAGAAATTTTAGACTAGTGATTTATTCAAAATTGTTTTTAACTAAAACATCATCTAGATACTCTTTTTTATAATCGTTTGGCTAATATTTCCTTCCAATTTCTCATGTCCTCTATTCTCTAATGTTGAATTATAACTTCATTTGATTTGAGCTGAGTTTCATTATTATAGTAGGGTTATTTCCAGTCAGAAATTAAAATTGTATTCATTTATGAGATTGTTCTAAGTTGAATAGTAATTATACCGATATTCAGTGATTGCAATTTAATCAGACTGAATATATTATTAATATTGTTAGTTTATTAAATCGATCCATTAATTTCTTTTGGTTAATTACAAAGTTGAACGATAGCTTGTTTTAGGAGAAGACGCTAAATTAGTTATTTTTAATTTTGACTCTTAGTTTCTCTTGCTTGCTGTTGTATGCAAAGATGTACTTGGTGTTTTCTTTTATTATTTTGATAGTTCATTCAAAATGCTTTTGAGAGAATATAAATTTTGAACTTTTAGCTTATTTTCAATCTTCTTGGCCTCTCTAATTATTATTTAGTTATAGTAATACTTACTGATAGATATTCATTAGATTATTTTTCTTCTACTCCTAATCCATTTATTAATTATTATTATATATATAAAATATAATATATAGTATCACAGGACACTCCAGGCATTTTATCCATGTTTGTTAAAAATATGAGTGCTTCCCCCGGATTCCATGAGCATATCCGCAATTTTATAGTGTCCGTGGGCCAGAGCTAGATGAACTGCTGTATTGCCATCATCCTTGCTTAGTAATACAATACATTTTAAATGTTGATGTCTGCTCCTCTTTTGACTAATTCATGGACAATCTCTCTACAACCACATTAAGCAGCTAAAATCAAAAAAGTGTTTCCATCCTATAAAGGAGCGTCGATTTACATTTCAGGAATCAATTGAATATTATCCATAAACTAAATACTAGAAGATAAGATACCTCTACAAAATTGTTATTATAAATAGCTAATTTAATTAGTTAGTTTGTATCTAGTTTTTGTCTTCGTTAAGATTCCTTAATTTGTGTTCTCATCCTTAATGAATTCATGTACATACTTAAAGCATTCTAAATAATTATAAAATCAATACCTTTCCTTCTTGTAAAAGATGATATTTATCCTCTTATTCTTATACACTTTCAAAACTATCTTCTTATTAACTTTACATTTTTTATTGTGAAACTTACTATTGTGGAGGTTATGTATATTATGTTTAGGATGATTGTTGATGTTGGATCTACTCAATTTTACTCGAACGTCTAGATTCCTCATTTTAAGATGAATGAAAGGATGAACTAAGATCTTATTATGGACTGTTAAGATCTATGTGCTTAGAACTAGTTACTCTAAATACAGATTATTAAGATGCTAAAGTAGGTTTAGTAATTAGAACAGTTGAGGCTTAAGTAAAAAGATTTGAGTTTTGCTAATTAGTTTACTAAATTGTAATTGTAAGAGGATTAGTTAGCTCCCCTGTTAACACAACTCTTCTGTTCCATTATTATGGTTGAGTTACCTAGAGTGAATCCTATTTAGTTAATCCTTATTAAATCTACTTTTTTGCATTGATCGTTTATCTTTTATTGATCGATTCTTTCAATTCTTTAGAACGTCTTCTCATGGAATTTCTTATCTAGGTTTGCAATAATTATTAGTTTTCAAGCTTCTCATATTTGCTTTCTTATTCTTCTAATATTGCAGTGTTTGAAACTGGTTCTTGATGTTCAACATCAATCATTTTAGTTTAGCAGTTATACCTTCCAACTAAAATATTGGGAAATTTAAATTCAATAGCACAACAGATTGCTTTATTGAGTATTGAGCTTCTTTGATAGATTATCATTTTTTCAAACACTGTCTAATGCTTATCTGTCAACAATCCCATTTCAAAATGGTCACACATTTTTACATGTTAGGCTAAAAGATGATTTTTTGTTTATTATTCTAACACACTGATTATTGGTTAAAGATGAAGAGGCATTTAAAAGGCCATTCGTATTTTTTTAATCAAAATCAAAGCTCCTGTTGATAATTCTATAAAATAACTTTAAATTAATACATTTTTCATCAATGGGATCATCTTTAATAAAATATGTTTATGTCTACTCTTGAGGTTAATTTTGATCTTTGAGAGCTTTTTCACTCTTCAAAGTTTTATTCTTTCTTATTACTGGTTCTAAGCTTTTTTTTATATAATATATTACTGTTGTTAGCTGGACTCTCTAAAAAGTTATCTAAGGAGACAGAATCATCAGATTCCTCACTTGATAAAGTTGCAGACTCGTTACCATATTCATCATATTTAAAAATTGTATTTTCTTTTTCTATACTATATTTTGGTAGTTAGATTCCTGAAAACGATATCTTGTCATTTAGGTTTTCATTTGTGACTTTTCTTTATCTAATTCCTTGTTCAGAGGTAGACATGACAGTATAAATATTTGTTAAAATTGTACTACTGGTGAGGGCTACTTTAGGAAGAAAATTCTCTTCTATTTCCTATAAATTCTATTTTGTATAATTTGTTTTCTGCATCATTTTATACAATTTATTTTAATAGTAAACTCTAACATATAGATTCGGCTTATTTAATTACAAATGTATTTACTTTACTAAAATCAAATTTGAGATCAGCACTATTGGTTGCCTCCTCTGAGAACACACTCGATTGAATAGATAGTCTAGAAAATCGATTAGCTCCCAAGTTTCTTGAAGATGAAACTTAATCAAGTTTTCTACTCGATTGAAGGTTCTTCGAAGAAATCAAAGATAATGGGACGATTTATCTGGGTGATTAAGGAGGTTTAAGAGGTGTTATTTCTTCAGTTGTGTCCTTGAATTAATTCAATCGTTGAGGTCTATTGAATTAGAAAGTCAATTTTTCTACATTTTCATAAGTAATCGTAACATTAAATTTCGACTTTTCATACTCTTTTACTTTATCTATTTCTTTGCTCCTTTCCTTAATAAATTATGTATGTTTATCGGAACTAACTATCAAAACATTATTTTATGTTTATGAACAAACACTAGTTATTGATTTTCTTTACGATTTGGGTAACAAGGAGAATTATTCTTAATGCATAAGACTTCTTGAGGATGTTTAATGAATAAGATTAATCTTTCTTTGAAATGCTTTAGTTGAGACATTAAATTGCTCTACGTTAATTGACCCGAATCCTTTTTTAAGTTGAACATCCTTAATGTATTTCTCTTTTTTTTTGATGTTTTTTATAGTCCTCATTTATAACTTTAATGCCAAAATCTAATTTCCTGGTTCAAATCTTTTTTATATTTATGGTCTCTCAATTTCCTACAGGACATTAAATTCGTGCGATATGATTACATTAAATAAAGACTAAATATATAAAATTATACTTTCCTTGCTGGAGAATGAAAGGAATTTTACACCGCTTTTTTGAATCTGGTTCGTATTGAGAGCTTACTGTTTGATAATTGATCATCTTGATTATTTGATAATTAAGAGACTTATAGTAAATTATTAGATTTATTTAAAAGTATTTGCTAATCTTTATTTAATTCGAATCTTTATTCGAAGTTACTTCTTTCTTATTCTCCTTATTCTTCAATTGTAATTGTTGGTTCAGTCATAATATTAATGAATGGTAACTTAGGACTTTCAATTTTTGGTTCAGGAGATAGTTTTGGTAATAAGGGAATGCGAATTTCATGCTTTTTTTTTTGAATGTACAGATAGGGAGTGGAGCTGTGCTCAGAAACATATTTGATTCTTCCAGTAGTCCTTTTTTGATATTGCTTATTGTCATTCTTGGGGACAAATTGAGATTTAGGGGATATTTGTTCAGTCCTCAGCATTTTTTATTGTGGAATAAAATGCATCTTGGGAGATACTGATTTATTTGATCTAATGGAGTGGTTTTAAGATAGGAAACTAGTTAGTCTACTTCGTTATTCTTTGGGACTTAAAAAACTAGTTTAAGAAGTTAATGAAAATGGGTTTGCATAATTCATTTATAATATATATTTATGCAACTATAAAAATCAAAAATCAAGCCCCCTTTTATGCTTGACGGTATTGCAGCCGCCAAAAAAGGGAAAGTGCTTAATTATAGGCCTGAGAAAGATGTTCATCTTGAATAATACTTTTACAATTTACACATGCATCAAATGATGAGCAGATTGAAATAGGATAGATTGAGTTAGCGTAATTTGCCTCATTCATTATCCAAATCCTTTGATTAGACTATTGTATTTATTTGATTTAAATATTGAGTAGAACCAATCGAAAGGCAATATTAAATCTGGATTACACAAAGCTTCATCACCTTCGCACAAATCTTTTGTTAAAGCCCCCAATAATACGCAAATATCCGAAATATCCAGATCGCTTTCCAAAGATCACTTTGTCACATTTCTTGATTCTCTTATAACAACAGTTTAGAATGTTTAACAGTTAGTAATTACCTATCTTCCGAAAGAACAAATTGATGGAGCTATTATTAAGCAACAAAAAGAATTAAAAAAAATTAATCAAGCCACACAACTACTAACAAAGCAATTAAGAGCAAACTCGTTGACTCAAAGAAAGGAAGTAGAAAATGTAAAAACATAGAAGAACTTTTCTAAATTGCCATAAATTAAAAAAGTTGATATCTCTGTGAACTCATAAACCGAAAGAGGAAGGGAATAATCCACCAGATATCGTAAGACCCCAGGAGCAACTGTTGCTATTTTAACTCAAAAAACTTTGGAAAGAAATAATTAAAAAAATTAAGAGGAATATGAAAACAATGGGTTTGAGCCTGACGAATCAAATTAAGAAGCATAGATTAAATAATAATTACCATCTCCAAATGACTGTTCTGAAAATAACATTTAATCTATTAAATCCTAATAACAGAATAAATAAGTTTAAATAGGACAATTGCCATTGCTCAAAATTTCTTAATAGTAACAGCAACAACCATATAAAAAATACTAAAGGGAGATTTAATTAGCGCTTACAAAACCAAAATAACATAAATATGAAAATTGTACTTACAGTACATCGTAATCCCCAATTCAATTAAAATGCAGGAGTGTTGGCATTAGAGAAGCACCTCCATTTAAAAATTAATAATCGAATTTTAAGCCTGAGTTTAAGAAAATATCATCGATTAAAATGGAAAATATGGAGAGACAGAAATCCAAAGCTTAATTTAATTCTAAAGCCAAAATTAATGGTAATGGAAGGAAGGAGAACATACCTATATAGATTAAAATTATTGATGTTGATGCTCAAATTGAAAAAACAGAATTGAACTCAAAAACTGCCAAGACAAATACCTAAGTGCCTGTAGAAATTGTTGAGGAAGTCGTCTAAAATTTTACCAATGAATCGGGATTATTTTTAAGTCAAACAGAAACTGAACAAAATAAGATAGAATAGGAGAAGATTCAACTTTAAGGAAATAATTTTTTTTAAATTTAAGAGGAAGAGGAACATAAGGAATCTATAGATAAGCTGGATGAAAGCAATGACTTCAAGAAAGAAAGTAACAAAATATAAAATGAAAAGTAAGATGATAACAATTTTATAAAGATGATCTAGCAATAAGTGAAATAAAACGATGAAAGACTGTTGAAATAATAATAAACTGATTAATCTATCAATGTATTAGAAAGTATGAATCAAAAAAACATGCTTAAAGTTGTGGAATCGATTGAAGCAAAGGATGAGGACAATATAGTCAATCCATTAGATGATAGTGAGGATTAGAAGAAGAATGAATAGCCTAATTCTTTATTTGTAACTTTGGAACCTACCGAGCAAAAAAATTAGCAAGAGGCTTATCAAAATGAGGGGTTTGAGTAAGATTCATGATTGAGAAATTTTTTTGTTAATTAATTGTATAACATACTCGTATAAGTTATGATCGAAATAAATTAAATTAAGTTGATAATTTATATTAAATTTGTGAATTCATAAGGCAATATAAATAAAAAGCCCTCCAAATATTATTTTTAATGTAATCGAACTAATACACACTTATTTCAATTGAAGGAAATATTGGGTCTGGAAAAAGCACTTTACTAAAATTGATGTAACAAAAATATCCTGATGTAAGTCCAACTTATATTTTTAGTTACGATTTATACCTGAGCCTGTAAATGAATGGCAGTGTATTAATGGGGATCCCTCCTTGAATTTGTTAGGTTCTTTTTATGAGGACTCTACCAGATGGGCTTACACAATGCAAGTGTATGCCTTTTATAGCAGGTTGAAACATTGGAAGGAGGTTCTCTCAGATCCAATCAATCCTGAAGAGAGACATTTGATCTTAAGTGAGAGAAGCATTGAAGCAGATAAAGAAATCTTTGCTGTGAATGGGCATAAAAATGGATTAATAAACAATTTGGAGTTCGCATTGTATGAGAAATTCTATGATTGGTTATGCGAGGAGGTTTTTGGAAAGAAAATTTAAAAGCAAATGATCATTTATTTACAAGTGGATCCAGAAGTGTGTCATTAGAGAATGCAAAAGCGGGCTAGGGATGAAGAAAAAGTATTACCGCCATTTTTATTATTTTAAGAATACAATTTCTAAGGAATATCTGACATAGATCCATAATAGACATGAAGAGTGGTTATTGAGGGAAACCCATAAAAATACTTCAATATTGGTGTTGAATGGAGACAAAGAATTTGAAAGTGATCTAAATTAGTAATAGCAGATGTTTGATGGCATTGATAACTTTTTAAAAGGAATTTTATGAACTTTATATAATTTTTTTATAATTTTTATTACAATAAAAAAGATAAAATACTACACAAAATTGAATTAATTATAGAATCATTATTAGCTAATGAATTGCTCTGTGAGGCTTTAGGCTAGATTTAATCCAGTAACTATTGTAATTGGTAAAAAGTTGTTTAAATCTGGTTGCTAATGTAATTTGGGTGGTTCTGATTTAGTTTTCTTCAACAATAATGAATTCTTTTTAGAATTGCTGGCTGATTTTTATTTAATAAATTGTTTAAGAGATTCAACATCGATGAGTTCATCATATGAGATAAGATGTTCCTCAAATGTCTCAGATTGTGTTCGGTATAAAATCATAGCATCTCTGATTTAGACACTTTCAGTTGAAACAACATCTAAATCAGCCAATTTAGAGATTTCTTCGTAGAGGTCTGCATGATAATCTTTGATGTAGGTGGATAGTTTGTCATACGTGTTTTTTTAATAGTTAATGGTCAATCTAATGGTTTATGATAGCAAAGGTTCGCAGTTGATAATTGATTTAATTTTGTAAAACACTTTATTGATGTTGAGTAGTTGAAATGAATAATCGGTTTGTTGAGTAATGAATTAGTTATCATCATCGTATTTTTAAATTCTTCTTGAAAATTCTGCACTTTATTTGATTTGTTCAATGTGTGTTTGAATTTTAGCGTATTTCTATTCTAGAAGATGAGGAATGAGTTTGTTTTCCAAGATATGTTTTTGGAAAATGTATCCTAGAACATTGATGTCTTTGGAAAAGCTAATATTGTGTTCTTGATAAAGATTGCCAGTTTATTCGATTAATATGATGAATAGATTTTCTAAGTCTTTGATGTATTGAAACTTTGAATGACCTGCCATCCTCACATTAGATTACGTGGTGGATAAATCAATCAATGATTTGACGTAATCTTTTAAGAGATATTGTTCATATTTGAGTGTGGGATTCATTCTAACTGCATACAATTATTATAAGAAAATGGATCTCAAAGCATGTTTGCATTTTGAATATATGTATTGATTCCACATTTTCATCATCATCCATTGGATAGTTAAGGGGGGGAAGTGGTAGGAGGGAATCTACTCTTTGAGAATGATATCAAAAAGATGCAGATAGGGAGTTACATGTTGGTCTATTTATTGCATCCATATCAAGTACATCTAGAAATTATATAGATAAAAATCTAATTATCCAATTGAGTCATTAGTGGCTACTGAACATTCTAGTGTCAATGCAACGATTTGCAAAAGGGATTTGATTGTGGATGCGATTAAAATTATAATGTTGAATAATTATGGTAATCTAAAAATAAATACAATGGTGTTACTTCTGATCTACTTGAAATTCTCTTAAGGTTCTGATTTCTAACATCTTTGTGATCATTTATTATCTTGAATTTTGTGACTTTTTGAAAAAACCTCGTGTTTAATTCAGTATTTATATTTCAGTAATAGATTGGCATTCTTAACAACTCTGAAGCTTTTGCATAATTTGTTTCTAAAATTCAGAATTCAAGCCTTCTTTAGTCACTTCATCCATTAACAAGGGTGGATAGATGATATGTTGTTGATAAGCTTGTTGAAGTGATTCTCTCAGATTCTAGGGGAGATTCTTCATTTGCTTTCTAATCAAGCTTATAAACATAAAATTATACTTATTATGCACGAAAACTTCTAAGACTTGAGGCCATGATGCATGCTTGGTCTCAGTTGCAAATTTGACAATGCCTCTTCGATCCTCGTACATCTTGTACAATAGATCCCCACATTTAATGGAGTAAGGAAGCGATGTGTAAAATCTTTCATAAACAAATTTGCTGGTGCAGTATAGATTTGTGAGATCATTAATTGTGAGAAATTTGCATATTCCGTCAACTACTGGATTTGGTAATCGATTGAAATAGGTCTCCAAACCCCCAAACATTGAAGAACTCATACTTCCGTCAGTAGTAAATCTGAGCATACCCGATTCATTGGTTGGTGCAGTTGAAACAGACCTGCCATAACTCACCATGCTCAAATTGCTATCTCTTTGCTTGGCTGATTATTATTTATTTCCCATTATTCTATATTTATTAATTTAAACTAATTATGATCAGATTTGCCACCCGTTTAGTGAGATAATTCTCTTCTAAAATTGTAAACTTCATACATCATCCTAGGATGAAATTATTGATATTGGGAAACCTTCTCTTTCAAAAGGAGTCCTGACTATCTGTCCAACCCCCATTGGAAACTTATAGGATTGGACTCCAAGACAAGACAAGGCACTCTTCGAAGCAGATGTAATCGCTTGTGAAGACACTCGAATAACTGGATTTCTCATAAAAATGATTAGGAACAAGAAATTGTCTAATGAACAATTGCCAATTCCAGAAAATCCTAAAGACTATGACCTAGATGATGATGATTTCACAATCCAAGATGTTATATTTGATTCAACCAAATAACTATAAATGTATCTATAAATAATCTAAATTTTAGTAAATTACCAGAATTAAATCAATAAGAAATCACTGCTGCAGATTTTAACTTTTATAAGTAGAAGAAGATAGAAGAAATGAAAGAACGCGTAACTCAAGAAGTCAAAAAACAAAAAGAACACTTATCTCAATAAGACCCATTAAATTTTATGGGTAAACAAGATTATGAAGAAGAAGAAATGAATCCATCTGAATTTGAAGTCTATGGATTGACTGCTCCTTTTATGGTGTATCTCAAAAGCAAAATAGCTGTAGCTAAGAAGAGAAAAGGAAGAGGTGTCCTAATTAGTTGTCATAAATTTAATGAAGAAAAAAGAATTGACAGAATTATTGCAATGCTCAAAATGGGTTTAAATATAACTTTAGTTTGTGATGCAGGAACTCCTGCCATCTCAGATCCAGGTTACTAATTGGTAAATAAATGCATTGAGAGAAACGTGAAAATTGAAGTAATACCTGGAGCCAGTGCCATTTCAGTTGCTTTGAGCACTTGTGGATTCCCTACAGATAATTTTACGTTTTTAGGATTCCTTTCAAAAGAACAACATGATAGAGATGAAAATTTAAGATTTTTTTTAAAATCTCCTCGCACTTTAGTTTTATTTGAATCACCATCCAGAGTTCATTAAACATTATTGACTATTGAGAAAATTTTTGGAGAAACTTAGGAAATTTGGATTGGTTTTGAATTAACTAAGAAGTTTGAAAAAAAAATCAGAGGAAAATGTAGAGAAATCTATGAAATGTTGACAGATCCCAAAGTAATTAGACCATCTCATTTAAAAGGAGAAGTAACGATTATTATTGCTCCTTACACTGCTACTTATAATGATGAATTAAGAGCGGAATAGTTCTCTACAGAAAACAAATAAAATGAGTTTTACCAGGAAGAGGAAGAAAGTATCCACAATTTAATCAAGAATGTTGACGCCTTACAGGTTGCATAGGCCTTTGGGGAAAAGTTCCGAGGATCTGATAGAGAATTTAATGAAGTGTTGCAGAAGGCCTTAAGGATATCTAAAACAAAGGCTACAAAATTAATTGTAGAGGTTAGACATATGTAAAGAATAGAGTAGAACTTAAAAAAGATAAAAGAAAGGGTGGGGGAACGAGAAGAGTATTTTAAATGATATATACTTGGTTATTATTTTTGTACATTAGAGTTTATATTTTAAATTGTAATCAAAATAATCCTTCTGGTTCACTATGGTGTAATTTTTCTTAAATTTTCTTGAGTCTCTTTTGCATGGCGTCTGTGTCATTCAAAACAAATTGTGTTATTTATAAAGAAGAACTTTGTTAAGTTTAATGTTATTGTTATTCATCATGCTATTTCTTATCTGATTGATAATTTTCATGTTCTTCGTCCAATTCCATTATGATGCCACCTAATTTAGGAGGTTCTGGTGGTTTTTTATTAATATTGACTACAACCAATTAATTGGTAAGGGGAGGACTTTGGTTAGTTTTGTCGTTTTTTTTTTGTTTATCATTGACGTGATTTAATAATCTGCTGTAAGACATTTTTTGATTTTAATTTTGATTATGAAAAACTGCATAGACTTCTTATGTATCTCCGGTTTTCTCTGGATTTTCGTTTTTGGGACTTTCAGATCGTCTAATTTTTTATAGTTTGATTCTGGGTAAGCTTTTCTTGTTTTTCATGTTAGATGATTAAGGTAAGGATTGGGACTCTTAATTTTGATCTTCGTCTGAAGTGTCTTCGGCTTAGGGTTTTCCTTTCATTTTTTCAAATTATTCAGCTTACCAATTTAATAATCTCTTTTTGAACTCTTCATCCTGCGGATCTTTTACTTTTTTGACAGCCTTCAATTGTTTATTGGGAAACTAACTATGAATTTAGTATGGTTGTTAAGACAATTAAAATATTGGATCCTCTAGAAAGTAATGTGATTATTACCTTTATTAGAAATCTATTTCATAGACTTCTTCTTTGGCAAGGCGAATCTTTTCGAGATAACTGCTAATTCCCCATCTTTAATTCCTACTACTTTGACCGTATAGGTTTTCTTTAGCTTTTATTCGCATTCCTACATGATCTATTGAACAGGTTTATCTTAAAATTCTTGAACATTCATTCCAACCTACTATAATGAAGACAATAGAGTTTATTTTGAATGAGCAACTTTGGCTTAGTGAAAATAGGTTTGATATGGAGGATATAGCAATTTAGCCAGATGCTCCGCCTAACCATCTTCAACTTGTGTAACTATTTTGCTTTTTATAGACATTTGTTATTATTATTATTTTATATATATTTATTATTATTATCCTCAAGGATTCACAACATTTAATTTAAATATAATCTTCTACTTTATCAATCCTGTTTGTTTATCATGTGCATCAACCGTTAATGATATTTAGTGTTCCTAACAATTGCTTGGAACCAATATTCTAATTCTTAAAAAATCAAGTCCTAAACATAAGAATTCTTGGATACCTTTGGGAGGAATCTTTACAACCTTGTCATTCACAGTGCAATATTATGATTATTCGCATTCGAACCTAATTTCGATTTCTTCGTCATCATAATTGTGGTATTTCACCTTCTTCTTTGTAAGGACACCTTTTTAAACATCGAAAATTGGGTATTCCTAAGGTTACAAAGGTATAAATACTTTCATTTAGATCGAACCCAACATTGTAGAAACCTCTTCAATTGGAAGACAATCAAATTACTCAGTCGCAATCATAAAATTAAAAATATAATAAATATAAAAAAAGTTTGGAGTGTGAGGGCTTCGATCTCTCCGCCTCTTGAATGCGAATCAAGCGCTCTACCAAATGAGCTAACACCCCAGTTAAGATATTTAACAGCCTCCCTGCTATATACTTTCTATAAATTTACACTCTTTTTAATAAAGTATTAATTATTCAAATTTTAGAGCTTTCTAAAAATTGGCCTTTAGGAACTATATCAATTTTAAATAAAACCATACTAATTTTAAAATATTATGAATGATCTCAACATCTACAATATCCTGAACTATGAGAATGTAAGTGTAATTCGTAATTAATAAGTACGACCAACTCGTCCAACTCTTCACTGAAAATGGAGCCTGTTAATTTTACTCCTCAATCTACTTACACTCCCTAGACATCACACTTTACAAAGAAGAGCCAATCAAATATTTAAACAAAAAGAAACAAATTTAATTTGGGATTATCAAAGAAATAGTGTGTCTGAATCTTAAAAACAAGAACTAATTGCCATTAATAAAGATTTCAGTTCTATTGACTTCATAATTTGTTTCATAGTATGTAAACACAAAAATAGCAGATTGGTTGGAATCCAGAGAACTCTTCTCATGTTAAGATACAAAATGGATTTGTTGGAGTGGTACAAATGAAGCCATTTAATTTTAGATATCTAAGACAAGATCCTCATGGTTGAGCATAAAAAATTATCAGATTCTGTTAAAAAAAATGAGGAGGCGTATTTTATGAGAGCCTCGTTTAATCATTACACTAAGTAGTTTAATCCTCCTTATGATTAATGGGCAAGGTCGTATTGTACATGTGGAAATCCTGACAATAATGAAAAAGGATTTATTTTTTGTAACAATTGTAATCTCTGGTATCATACAGAATGCGAAGGATTAACTTCACAATAATTTGATAGAGAAAGGAAAAATACAAGCTTACCATATTTTTGCAATAAATGCAGAATAATAAAGAAGAAGACAAGATGATTACTATTTATTAATAAACTATTTTTGATTTATTTATTAATTTCTTTTTTCATTCTGAAATAATTGAATTTTTATTAATGGATTAGGGATTTTAAATAGTGCAAGGTTAGATAGGATAGGATGATCATAGAGAGCAATGGATTTAGAATGTCTGAAAATAATAAGAATTTCTAAAGGGTATTTGTGATAGCATCTTTCGAAATTAATGTGAATACTGTAAGCAATCTCTATAAATAATAATTATGTTTTGATAGTCTAATAACATATATCTCAAGATGGTGACAATACGTAATCTTTATTTTGAATGATCTCCTTTTACCCAATTCTCAAATCTCTTTTGGATAATTTATAACCATGATAACTCAACAATAGAGCAGTAGATATGAATATTCCATTTCTAAATCTAAAATTAAGCGTATTACACTTAATTACCTCATCTATTTTTATTTGCTTGACATAGGTATATACATCATAAGTTAACCTCCAAGTGCACCTGATATATTGGCAACAGCTACCCAATATATAAACTTCATCAAACATTTGGACTCCAACTCTTTATGCTTTTAGGTACCTTGTGGAGATAACTTTACATATAAATTAGAATCCATTAATATATTAATTATAAAAACAAAATAATAATTACAATATTGATTGTTTTGTTCAAAGTAGATGCTTTAATGATTCAGCTGTGCCCAAGACAATAGCTAAAATTGAAACAATCAAAATTATTGAATATTGAATGACAGGTTTAGTTGATTTAGAGTTCTTGAAATAAATAATATGAACTAGTACAGGGAAACAAAACTAAAATGATGAAAATAATAATAATACTTGTAATAAGGATCCAAAAATGCTTCCAATCAAATTCAAAAAGTGCGATAGATGAGGCACATAATATGCAATAAAATAAATAGTGAGCATCAACATGCTTCTTATACTACTTTAGAGGAGTCTATCTTCAAATACTAGATCATCCTTTTCGCATGTAATATTTTCAATCTTGTCGCAAGTTGATTTCTCAATCTTCTAAGTGGGAGATCCTTCATTCGAGTTTTCTTCAATGTCATGGAAGCTGGCATACTCGAACATGTTCTTTTGAAGCATGGTTTCAACAATCTGGACAGCTGGGAAGAGTTGGAGTGGAAAGGTCAATAACAAGCTAATGGAGTATAAGATCAATGAAACGACTTCTAAAATTGGGTTCTTTTGTCAATTATTAATAAGTACTTGAATGCTAAATAGTACTATAGATTGTGTTTCTTATTGGTATGTGGACGAGGTGATTAGGGACAAAAAGATTGAGATGCAAAAAGCTGTCATCAAACTCTTGGAAGCAACAGATTTAAATTCAAATTTATTCTTCATGCTGTCTCTGATAGGCAAAACTGTAAATATTCCTTCGCAACAAAGAATGGCCACTCCCACATAATTAAAGGTGTCTAATTAATTTATTATTATAATAATTACTTTTGATGTTGATTAAATTAGAGAATTGGAAATTGTCAATTAAGGAGAGTCTCCCTTGGCAGTCGTAGAGTATGATGCAGAAGGAGGCCAAAGCACAATAAAAACCGTATTTGCTGGTTGAGTGAAAAAAATGAATTTTTCTTACAAATGATAAGGGAATCACTATAATTAATGTGATTAGGAGGCATTATAATTTGGTCATTTCAATACTGATTTGATGCAAGGATTGAGCCAAGGATTCAGTCAGAAATATCAAATAGGCAATGCAAAGTCCAATCAATTGCAATATTATGGCAATATCCAAAATGTGAGCCCACAGAGATCCCAGTGTTAGTTTGATGATGTCTGCATAGAGAATATTTTCTGTGTTCAAGTCATCTGCAATTTCTATCATGAATTGGCTTGATCTATAATATAGGTTGGCTAATTTACTTTGTGCAACTGAAGGCGATTGGAACGAATAAGAAAATAGACCACAGCAATCCAACTTGATAGGTGACAACCGGGAGAACAATAACACCTTAAGAAATCTAACAAAATGGATACCAATTCCAAGATTTGATTTAATAAAATTGAAATAAGCCTGTGTAGCTGTAGATTTATGCGATTTGATGGGATGTTTAAGTTTAGAAGAATCTTCAATTTCTCTGTTCTCCATGATTCGTTTTAAAAATGAAATATTATTAATTTTAATTGGAATTACTCTGAATTAACAGAAATAATACTATTTTTTTTTATTACAAAAAGTTTAAAAGTAATATGAAATGAATAATTGGGTGAAATATATATATATATAAATTAATTATTTTATAAAAATAATGCAAAATTAATCACTTGATGAGGTCTTAAAATAGAATTAGGAATTGAAGGAATTGCTGCTAAAACTGAATTAGGATAAGCAAATGTTCGAAAAGAAAGTTTAACGAAAAACTCAAGAGTTATAAAAATTAAAGTAATCATATGAATTCTTGAGTGACAAGATTATGACTTAAAAGCATCTGTTGGGAAATGTGGAGGCTGAATAGGATTAATTGTTGCAACTAATTGTGGAGTAAATGATTTCGATGCTTGGTCAGAAGCAGGAAGGAACCTCTAATAATCCATGCACGAATGACATTTGCAAAGTGATGTAAGTTTCACTGCAGCAGAATCAGGAATAACAGAAACAGGATTTCTTATATTATTCTAAGAAGATCAGACAAAATGAGGAAGTGTTATAGGAGATTAAATAAAAATATGAAAATCAAATAAAGGAATTGAATGAATAGAATTAGATTCTAAAGCACAAGTTGGACTTTCTGATAGGCAAAACTGTATATTATCATGAGGCAATATTAGATTTAAATTAATAAGTGAGTGAAGTGCATTATTTAAGGATATCTTTATAAGAAAATCAAAAGAAAGTGGAAGATGATTTAATGGCTAAGAGTTAATAGAAGATCGCCTAATTGGAAGTTCGAAACAATTTTTTGATTGACTAAGTTAAGAGCATGGAGTAAGAATTGGTGATGGTGGAGAAACTAGTAACAAACATCGAATAATAAACGATGCAAACAAAAAAGAGAGGCAAATGAAATCGTATTTTTACAAATTTTCATCACAATTATTGTCATCATATAATCTAATGCGATCTTGTTCAGAAATTGGAATTGGCTATTGAATTATTAATTATAAATATAACTAATCTGATTTGTGATATGGAAGATTAATGGTTTCTAAATGGAAAGAAAGTAATCAAACAATAAATGCTATCAAAATCATCACATCAAATAATCAATGGAGTATCAATAACATTGGAAGCCTCATTTGGATGCTTGCAAAATCCAATAAGAAAAAACTGCATGTTTGTGAATGATGACACTCTCATGTTTATAAGTGGTAAGCATATAGTGCTTTACGACATCATCAGAAAACGATAAACCTACATCATGAAGAGTGCCGAAGATGAAGTGGTCTAAGCATTGAGTTTCCATGTTTCAAATGGACAGAAATTATTCATAGCAATAGCATTCAAATCTACAAGCAAGATTCTTCCGACAGTCAAAGTGTACAATAGAAAAAAGAAGCGCTTTTATTAATGTGTGCATTCCCATCTATTACCTAATAGCAATATTCATGAGATTCTGTTCATTAACGATGGGAAGGTATCATATATAATGATAATTAGCATCTAATATCATTGTCAACATAGGAGGACGGTTATGGAATGAGTTTATTTGCAATTAGCAAAGAAGTTTCACTTTCTTATACACTCATCAAATAAAAAATTAACATGTTGGAACCCATAAGTGATTTTGAATTTTTTTTGATTGGACCCTAGTTTTTAACATCATACAAGTATTAAGCAGATATCAGTGGGTTAGAAGTCTAGAATAATTTGATATCTATCTTAGAATTATAATAAGATGAAAGTATTGTAGGTGTTTGCTATAATACTGAAAGGAAATACACCATTGTAGGAACTAGCAAAAACAATCTCATAATGATCAAAGGAGACAAGAAAGTTGGACAATTTGAGCTACAAACTCAATAGAAAGAATCAAATCATTTATTATGTAAGCTTCATCATTAATTAAATCATAGAATAGATTAATAAGGATAAGAATAAACCAACTGAACAAGAAAAATTAGTGAATGTTAAAATATCTACTATAGCCAAGACCAATAAAGGATTCATAATTGGTTTAATAGGTAAACCTGCTTTGTAGGTGTATGAGATTGAATAAGATGGATCTGAAAAAGAGTAGTATGTCTTAAATTTGGTCGGTACTTACTTCATAAAGGATGAACATATCTATGGAATTCATTAAATTCATTTGGCCTCAGATGAAATGTATGCAGCATTAACAGTAATTTACTTCAATCGTTCTGCATATTAAGTAGCCTTGGGATCCTAGTAGGCGTTGAGTAATATAGTTTCATGTGAGTAAATCTTGGAGAATTACTAAGGAAAATTAGAATTGTTTACATTTAATTTAGCCATTGTAGAAGCTTTGAAATCTGTTCAAAAAGATCCATTTGAACCATTATTTGAGAAAGGCGTACACAAGGGCACTATTTTCAATATTGCTACAACACCTATGAGATCTATAATAGCATCAGTGTGTGATGATAAGAATATCAAATTTTGGGATTATTCAAACGACTTTAAAGAAATGTTCTCTCATCAATTTCATGAAACTCCATTATCTGTGGCTATACATCCATTAAGTTATTAATGTGCAATTGGATTCAAGGATGGGTATAGGATATATAATAATATTAACTAGTCTTCGGTTCTATTTTATATTGGATGATGACCTTAAATTAGTTCACAATGAAACCACCAAGGTTTGTAATGCACTTACATATAGTGAAGGAGGACACATCTTGGCTGCTGCAAATGGTAATCAAATTCAATTATATAATCCATTAACTTATAAGATGATAAACGTGTTGCCTAATCATCAAACAAATCTGAAGGATCTACTATTTATAGATAGAGTATTAAATTCCATTAAATATATTAAAGGACAATCTGTTGATTTCCCAATGCCAATTTGGAATATTATATGTTTGGAATCTGCTCTCTGGGGAAAGAATATTAGAACATGCTCAGAAGCAGAACAAGTATCAAAGTTTATGTTATGACTTCGAATACGATCTTGTTGTTGGAGTTTCAGATTAGAAATTAAAGGTGTATCATGAAAAGGGTCAGAACATGGTCTTAGAAGTTGACACATCTCCTACTTAATTTAGTGCCATCTGTATTAGTCATAGATATAATGCCATCTTCTTTGGAACTACTTAAGGATCCATTAGAGTTTATTCTTATCCATTTTATCATTTCAATCCCAAAATGATGGAATCCATCGAGATTCCTGTTCATTAATTGGCTGTTACTGCCATTAAAGTATCTCCTGATAATAGTTATTTGATAAGTTCATCAATTGATGGGAGTATATTCTTTAGTAAAATCAAACAATTCATTAATGGAGAAGAGGTACTCAACCATTTCTATAATATTAGATTACACAATTAGATCTGATAACTAGAGGAGATATAGAGAATAAGATTACTAATACTTTTGCACTTAATAGTTTGTGTTTGTGTTCGACAACTGCTTAAGAAATAAGACAAGAATAGCTGAAGGAGTTGGAATATAGATTGTAGAATTTTAAGAGTGACATCGATGATGCTAAGGAAGTTCAATTGAATAATAATGACTATAAACTTAAGAAAATAAGAGATGAGCACGTTAAGGAGGTTCAAAAGGTTTAAGATTAACTGTCTCAAACAATTTAGCAGTCTGATGCCAAAAACAACAAGATTAAGGAAGATAAAAAGAATTTAATTGCAACTTCTAAGAAAACCATAGAGGAGATGAACGAACAAAATTCGAAGAAATTATTGTCGATTTATGATATCAGAGACAAATTGAACGAGAAATTATAAAACATTATTAAACAACAAGATGAAGAAAAACGTTTAGTGAATTAAGAATATTAATAATCGATCTCGTAAGTGGATGATGAATACTGTTAAAAATACTAAGACCTATTTAATAGATTCAGTCAAGCTATGTCCAATATGAAATTAGATCAAAGGAAATTTAAGGAAGTCTTGCAGCAAAGTGAGAAAGACTATGAAACTTTTTATAAGGAATCCCAGCAGTCTCTAAAGGCAAAATTAGAGGAATTTAACACTCAAACAGAAATATTGAGATCAAGCATTTCTCGATTTAAAAAGGAAATTGTTAGATATTAAAATAGAAAAGAAATCTTGCATAATTTAAAGAAAGGTAGCGAATTCATCTTATCAATTTAGAAACTGATGAGTCTCTGTAAAGTCTACGTTAAGAGTTGAAAGGCTATGAGGAAAAGCACAAGATGATGTTGGCTGATTTAAGAGAGAAAGAGAAGCTTATCAATTAAAGGGAATAGCAAATAAAGGACTTTAGGATGAAAAATGTACATTTACAAAACTTTTAAAAAGTGTATGATTATAGAGTGAACACACTAAAAGATGAAAGAGAGCCACTTATGGATCACCTAAAAAATATGGAAGTAAATCATTGATTAAAATTATCTAGAAACACGTCAAGAATCTCTACAATGAATTGATAGAAGAATCAGGATTGAAGCAATCTAGGATTGAAGAAGAAAGAAAATTAATTACAGATTTAAATATATTTAAAAACTAACTCAAATCTGCCTTAACTGTTTTATCTTTATCCAAAAGAAATATGGATAACTTTAAATCTTCTATTTAAACATTAATTAATAGTGACACTGGAGATTGGCCAGAAAAATTGGAAGAATTGTATCATATGGTGTAAGAAGAAAATAGCAAAGCAATCACTATTAAAAATCCTGTGTTTTAAGAAACATTAAAGGATATGCAAAAGGATCCTCTATAATAACAGATTGATCAAAGCTAATAGAATGCCATCTATAAAGCATTATCAAGCTAGAAACAATACTTACAATAGAGTCTCTCTGAAGTTGAGGCTTCTGTTAAGTATCAACTTGGTTAAAGAGTTGTTGCTCATGATACTATTCAGGATTAAAACAAGCATCTCATAAAACAATGCAAAGAATTGAGAGAAATTAAATAGGAACTGAAATCAAAGTTAGATGGCATGAATAAGGAATATAGAGAGAAAAAGAGAGAGCTAAATAGTTAGGGCATTGAAATACCAGAAGAAAATGAAGATGATAATTAATTTGGCAGGACCTATGCCACTACTTTTACTTCAATAACAAGAACACCTGGAACGAAGTCACAATAGAATTTTAGAACAAAAATTATTAGAAATATAGGTTGATAATATTCTAATTATTTCTTTAATTTTAATAATAATAATACATCTATTAAATATATCTTATTATATTCTTGATAAATATGCGAAAATACCATTACAAAAAATTTATTCTCAAAATCAAAATTTTTGTTTTTGTTGTTTTTCTCTATTGTTCTGAATGAAATTATTTCGTGATGCATTTTATAATTATTTTATGATTTATATAAGTCACTCATAAGATTTTAGAATTGAATTAGACAGTATGTTACAAAAATGTTTTTACTGTCTAGAAATATTCAAAGAAGATTATCATAATTTCTATTTGAGAGAGTCGAATATCCTGATTTTAATCGAATTGTGCAAAGAATACTTTAGTTTTTATCAAATTCAGACTGAAGTTTGAATTTCCAAAAAATAATATAATGACGATCAAAGTTGCGGTATGCTTACTGCGATGTTCATATATTGGCAATACACATCTAAAAGGAATTTATCTAGGCTTTAACGAAATTATCATTGATAAATTATTAATTCTATAGTGTAAGAATATAAATATTTCACTGTGTAGGGATTAGGAATTGAAATCTCTCATCTATTTCCATGTCTGATTGAGACTAAATAAGCGTTTACTTTTAGGTTTGAGATTTTGAAATAGTTGAACAAGGGGGATTCGAATTTTTTCCGATTCCAACAAACTATTGGAATTCGAGGATCAAAATAATGTATAAATTTATTTATATTTTAGGAGCATGTCATAATGAAGGGAGTGCTGAGTTTGAATAAAAAATATAATAATCAATTATCCAAACAATTAAAGCTAATAGTACACAATTAAAATGACGTATGTCCCTTTTTATGAAGATATTTAATCGCAGCAAAAAATCTTATTTTCATATATATATTTATATAAGCAATATAATAAATGGGTTGTGCTGCATCTAAAAAGTTTACGAGGAAAGGGACAGGCTTTGACGATTACACTTAAAAATTAGATTCTGATGATCAAACCAATTTAGGAATGATTGCCTTCAAAAGCCTGGAGAAGAAACACATGGTAGTTAACCTGGAGATGTTATCAAGTATGACTTAGTTATATTGAAATAGAAACTTGTTCTCCCGAGCATAAGTGCAGATTGGGTGAAATACCAGAAGACATTTGAAATGACTAAATTATACTCAACTGATTATTATTATTCATCTTCACTTCATAAATAAATGTTCTAATTTGTATTTTATGATTCAAAAAGATTTTATGACTGATTATTTTTTTTAATTCTTTTCAAGCAATACTTATTGTAAATAACAAGAATCTATTGTATATTTATTTAAAAATTCAATATAATAATAAAGAATTCCTTTTTATTAATTAAACAAGATTTTGTTGGAACCACAATGACATCACACCCAATATGAAATTTTCTAATTTCTTTGAGATGTTTTATGAATATATTATAATCAAAAGAGAGCCAGCGTTACTTGAAAAGTTGAAACCACTACCTCACGTTTTTCCTAATCATCGTAGATAATAAGCTAATATTATAATCAAATAAGCAGTGTTATAACTATTTTAATAAAGTTAATTAATGAATACAGGATTTAGAGAACACGGAGTCTGATTTAAATGACTATCAACAACATTTACATCGAATGGAACAAGGGATTAGCGTGTTCTTATGAAGGAAATCAAAAGGACACATGAAATGGTTACGTAGAGTTGATTAAGAGTGGAGAATTAAAAATAATATTACTTCAGAATTATATGACAAATTACAATTAATTATAAATAGTATATTATCATAGATGAAGGCTAAGGAATCTCCATTATAATTGAAATGTAGCAAGTTGTTCAAAACTAAGAGTTGGAGATTCATAATTAATGAAAAAAGCCATGTCACCTCAATTCTTATTAGTTATTTTTTGATCAGATTTTTAATAATCTTAATTGAAAAGTAAAGCTATATAAATTAGAAAATCTATTGAAGATCATATCTTAATATAGTTAAATGATTCTTATTGTTAAATATATAAGTTTATAATATTAAAATGAGAGTGTTGTTTTAAACAAAGTAGTATCTAGTTTAAATGGATTAATATTAATTCGTGTTTCTGCTTGGAAGGTTCTTAATATTTGTGAACCTGTGGTTTAAAGTTGATTTAATTTTTGGTTTATAAATTTTAATGAATGATTCAAAAAAAGTATAGTTAAGAAAAGGAATGATTGCATTAATTATAAATAAAAATAAAGTATGGAGGTAGCGAAAAAGCTCAAATTATAATCTCAGAGGTTTCATGAGAAGGAAATGAGTTGGAAGGTGTAGGAGTAGATTGAGGAGATTAAGCTGAAGGATCGAGGTCATTTGAGGTTGAAGGAGTGGACAAAAAGAAATCATTATGAAAAGAGCATGAAGGATTTAAGAAAATAATATGAAAAGTATATAGTAAAGTGATTGTAGGTATTTTACAATCAAGAGGGTTGATGGAAGATCACTCACATGTGAGTAATTTGTGAATTAATTTGAGATTCCTGATATTCCGTGTATAATTGCGAACACAGTTGACGATTGGAATGTTGAGAAATATTGGACATTCGAGAAGTTGTATCAGTTATATAAGGAAACCTCGTTCAAGGTGGGTGAGGATGATAAAGGCAAGAAGTTGAGGATGCCATTCAAGAATTTCCTTGAGTACCTCGTATATAATAAAGATGATTCTCCACTTTACTTGTTTGAGAGGTATGTTTACTGGAAGTAACATCTAGTTCATTGGAAGACATGAAAGATGGTGGAGCTGACATGATAGGTCGATTCAAGTTACACAAGTATTTTTCAGAAGATCTTCTAGCTCTGGTAGGAGAAAAGCATCGTCCTCCCTATCGATGGTTCTTAGTAGGGTAGTTTATGTTAATGTTAATAGCACACAGTCCATAACGATCGGGTACAACAGTGCATATTGATCCTTTGATGACAAGTGCATGGAATACATCATTGCAAGGCCACAAGCTTTGGGTTCTTTTTCCACCTGATATTCCTAAATGCGTAGTGAAAGCAAAAGGGTTGGCAGCCAAAAGATTGATAGATCCTGTGGACTTAGATGAATCGATCGATTACTTTATGAGTGCATTGCCTAAGTTGATAGAGTAGGAAGGAGCAGATAATTTAAAAATTATTATGGGTATATAAGGTCCTGGGGATACTATATTTGTGCCTGGTGGATGGTGGCATGCTGTCTTGAATCTAGATAATACTATAGCTATAACTCAAAATTTTATGTCAATTAACAATTTTGATAAAACCTGGAGGTAATGATAATTAGAAATGTAATGTAGATCGGTGAGAGATGAGAGACCCAAGTTTAGTAAGCGTTTATTACAGGTGTTCTAGGAATAGAGGTCTGATTTGTATGAAAGAGCACTTAAATTAGATGAAATCGATAAGAACCAATTAAGAGTGCTGAGACTAGCCAATCCATTGAGTTCCGATGAATCCACTGGTAGTTCATCATCTAGTAGTTCAAGTAGCTCATCTAGCAGTTCCAGTTCCGATGATGATAATTGATTAAGTGTATATTCAATATAATAATTTTTAAATCAGCCATTCCTTTGTCGTTCTTGATGTTCAGATCTATTAATCTAGCCTTCCTGATTTCCAATAGAACTTAAGTTTTGATAGGACCCGTCTTCTTCTTGAACTCTTATCTTCTTTTGTACCCAATACTTGTAGTAAAACACTGTTATTGAAGAGACCAGAAATAGGAATGCAACAACATAAAATATGATAGCCAAAGTCCATCTCAACTTCAAACCAGATTTAAGTTCGCCAAAGGTTTCATCAATTTATTCGCTGGTCCAATTGGCTCCTCTCATTAACGACATAACTGGCAAAACAGCATAATTGTCACAAGGGAACAATACATCCTGCTTGTACTCTACACTTACCATTAGATTTAACATAGCCGATAAAGCCACTCCAGTAAATGGTTCATAAATCACATATGAATCGTCCCAATCACTTGCCCACTATCTGTCAGTCAAATTATCATGTTTGTACACTTCAATCATCTCCTGTAATTTAATATCTCCATTATAAAAGTGAGTAGGACTATTCATGATTGGTGCATTTTAAATGGTAGTCATGTTTTCGAGTCCATCCCATTTGTAATTATGATATTCCGGATTTTTATCAAATGTATGTTTATTATTTCTGAACCTGTAGGCTTTTAGACCATGAAAATCCATTGTTTCGTTGTAATCCAAGTAAATATTCTTCACAATATCAGTAATAATAGTTCCAATGTGACCATTTGCTGGCAATTAAGGCTCGTATGAGAATGCATCTGTACCTAACTCACATGACACTTCAATGTTCCATGGATTGAATTATCTAAAGGTTGTTTAATTGCCATCAAAGAAAGGGACTTTAACATTCAAGTAATCCAGTCCTTCAATCTAAGCGTACTTCCTTACTTTTGAAATATCCTTCTTCCCAGTATACACACTCTATAATTAACTTAATTCACTTGGCAAATTCAAATTTAATCCAGTAATTGGAGTCGATGGATCACCACCCATTGCAGGGTTCATTTCTTTAATTGCAACTGTGAGTGATGGCCAATATCCAAACAGAATTTCATCAACTGTTCTTGTATCAGCAAATCCTTCCAATCCCAATTCAATCATAACATATCTTAAATAATGCAATATGTTGTAATCATCAAAAGGTAGAATTTTCTAAAACGATTTCTTATCATCATTCACAAAATGAATAAAAGCGTTGCTAATCATTTACCCATTGTATAAACACTCAAACGATAATAAATATCTTGCGAAATCATAATCTAATTTCTTATCCGTAAAAATGTCTTTGAATTCTGCTTAAAACCAAGTATATTCAAATCTCTTAAATATTGGATATATGTCCCCCATAGTTTTACTAGCTTTATACAATTCATCTATGGGATTCTCTGAAATCATCGAAAAAGCCCATTGCTTGACTCCAATCTCGAACTTCGTGCATCTTTCCAATTTGCAATCATACTTCGTCTTCATCTTATTGTTTGCAAACTTCAATTCTTTACCAAATCCTTCCTCTTCTTCGTCACATAATTGTATCAACTATATATTAGTCATTCCTGTTAAGGTTTACAGTTGTCCCCAATAAGCACTTTCCTAATGTTCACATATGTATAGCAATCGATTAATTGACTTTGAATTCCAATTCTTGTATTCATCCAAACCACAAAATTTCTCTTTCTAAGCATCATTAATTTTATCCAGTTTTTCCAACACCTATTCACATTTTGTGACCCTCTTAATCAACAAATCTGACATCACGTAATCAAATAAATTATCATTCAAATTTGCCATCTCTCCATAAAGAGCCTGTGATACAATTGTCCCCAATCCAGCTATACCTTTAGTACCATTGATTGACTTCTACACTCCAAATTCCTCTTCCATATACTTTATATACTCATAAAACACTCTTGAATGATAGATTGATTCAAGTTTGAATCTGTTTTGTATTTTAGTTAAATGATCCTCCTTTTTAGTTTTATCATATTGATTTCCCTCTTCATATAGGAATCTCAAGTTTCCAATATGTAATAATAAATGAGGATCTGTATAGTATTTTGGATCTTCAACTGAGTAATTCTCATAATTCCTAAGTAATTCCAAAGCCCACTCAGTAGAAAACTTTAGATTTTTATATTTTTCATTTGTTGGTTCTATAACTTTTAAAAAGTATTCTATAATAGTCCTCAATAATACCTGTATAGAAATAACTGAGCTCAGGGTAACCGTGACTGGTAGTATTACCGGTGATAACACTAGGAACTGGAGTTGTGCCAGCATCTGGATCATTTGTGATACTTTGAGTAGCCCATTACTTTGCACATAAATAAGCGTCGAAGCACTCTTCGGTTGGAGATTTCTTGCAGAATAGCTATTTAATGCTTCCTTCTGCACCTTGAATCAGTGGGGCCAATTATCTCTTAATACTATTCATCTATGATTAAGATAATTAAAAGTAGTTTCTTAGGAATGAATCATCAGTGTATTTCTTAGCAACTTACACCCAGTTCACGAATGCGGTATTATTGGCCATTCCAAACTCCTAATCAAACCAAATTAGATTTTATTTCTCTTCTGATAAACCAAGCAACACCGTCCTCTTCGCTGTATCCTCATTCAAAAAACTAGATATAACCGCCTAAGCAATCATGGTTGGGTAAAAGAATTTTTTCAATTCAAAATAAAACGAACTGAACACTTATAAGGCCATCATTGCTGGTTCTGTATTTTGAAGCTAATGCCATGCGCCTAAAGCAACAAAATTAGCAAATGTTATTTTATCATTCTATTTTTCCCCCACCGTCTGAATCCAAGCACGGAACGTCACTATGCTCTTGTCATCGTTGAATGCGTAATCCGTGAAATTTTACTTCTCCTAATAGGTATACGGACCTTTCTCAACCAAAATAGGTTTTTTCCCTCTAAACATTACGTCATATGGATTTGTAAATTAGAAGAAAGTGAAATCCCTCGTTAAATAAGTTTAGGTATCTCCTGGTATCTATCCCTAAGAAAATGAAGTATTTTATTGTATATACCCATAGTGCGTAATTGCTTGATGACATAATTGCTTCATCTTGGGCTTAACTCTTAATTACACTAAGTAGAACGAAAGGAATAATAATGGCCAATACTAGGAACGAGACTGTGCAACAGGTTAAAGTAGATAATATAATTTTCCATTTCTTATCCATTTATATAAAATAATATTTCAATCATTCTATTGTTAAGTTTGATTATCATATTTTCTATTGGATTTGAATTAACACTTTTATACCCGAAATCAATATTATTATAGATTGAAACCTTTCCTGCACTAGTTGGCTTTTGTTTACAAAATCTTTATCTATTTTTTGGTTTTCAACACTCTTTTTTCTTTTGATTTGGCTAATAATCTGAGCAGCAACTTTGATAACATCACAAAAGAACTCCTAAAATAGAATATTATAGATGCACTAGTGTTGAATCCAGCTGTTTCGTTTTCATTAATTTGGTTACTTGATTGTCTTAAATGATATATATTCTTTTTACTAGTTCAAAAGCTCAATTTAACTTCCTTTTTAAATACACTCACTATAATCCACACCAAATAAAATCCTTTAGCTAAAGGTTTTGCAAGTTATTGTTATCTCCATAATGAAAGATCCATTAACTCAAATTTATTAGTACTAATTTTATAAGTAGAGAAAATTAATTCTTAAACTGAGTAATCTTTGTATCTTTTGCTAAGGCAATATTGTAGCTCTCCATTTATTAAATTGATTAGAATCATAATTGTTATTCACTCAATTTAATTAACACAATTTTTCGATTACTATTGATGAATTCTCTTTAATCTCAATTAGAGTAACCTAATTAAAATGTCAATGATTATTATTTTTTTCAATTATCATACTGGCAAAACAGGCGTGATAAATAGTTTGAAGATTTCCTCCCAACTATTATGTTTATTGTTATGTAGAATATTAGGGTTAATTAGATTACAAAAGAATAAAGGATAATGGGATTGCGCTTGCTCCAAATTTAACATAATGGCAAAGACCTTATATCTAGTTTATGATTAATTCAATTCTGAAACTAAATTTGTTGTTGCTTGATATTATATAATAATTAATATTCTCTATTATCCAATTGTTATTAATATTATATTGTCTTGATATGATCTATTGTAGTTAATTGCATTAAAATATAAACATATTATTATAAAGGATACATAATATTATCGTTACTACAACAACTGATAAATTTTATCATTTCTAATTTTCCCATTCCTTAAGATTGTCTTCTAAATTTTTTAATGGCACTTCCAGTCCTGTCTATAATACTTAGGCTGTTAAATCATAAGCAGGTTTAACGATGAACTGAATAATATATGAATGAAATATACTTTGATGAATGAAATTTCTTATTTGGCTAATAATTGATTGAAATTTGGAGTTCCTAATGGTAAGAAATGCTGAGTAATAGGTAACGATAGTTGTTTCTCTTCAGCAACCTAATCAGAAAATTCAGTGGCGATTCGATTTGACCACTTCTATGCCATTTTGAATGTTTTAGATTACATGGTCAAATCACAAGTATGTACAATAGCACTGGATAGGAACTTTTTGTCTTCTTCCTTTTGTATAAATGGTTCATCAGGAAGCTTGGATAACTTGAGTTCCAATAGTTTGACGATTTCAAAGTGTTTCTTCATGTCCGTGCCCAAGATATTGGCAATGGCGTATTTTCTAAATATCTAACATTGATCCTAACTAAGAGAACTCAGAATATTATATTTTTCTTTTTGTAGAATCTTAAACATAACTGAAGCATGATGATTTTCTAGTACAGATTCATCATTATATCTTAATGCTAATTTGGACAACTTTTAACTCTCGAAATGATTGTTACGTCCCGTATGATCAATGTCATGACATAAGGCAGATAGTAAAGCAGTGAATTAAATGAATTTATCAAAGTATTGATTCATGCTTTTACTCTTTATGATGTAATAGCAAGCATGAGCAACAGTGAATCCATGATCATAGTTATGAAATGGGTTCTGTCGATAACTATATTTTTCTTGGACAATAACAGTGAACTAATAAAATACTTCTTTGTTGATTTGATAAAGATCTATGAAATTGCACAAATGAAATAGAGCCCACGTATATCGTAACTATTCATGTTTATCTTGAACAACAGTGATGTCAAATGAATAATCACTAAGATTAGAAATGTCATTGGCATCTAGAGTATAAAGATCGAATTCTAATTTAGATAACTTAGATACTTTTAATGTTTGTGAGTTCTGTCTCAATTATATATTATTGACTTCTCTAGACTGGATCTTTCATAACTTTGGATGATTCAGCCTTGTAATATTCCATCACATATGATGATCTGATGTCGTCAGTAATTGATTATTAATTATACACTTCCTTTAGTACATCTTTCTCTTTTAATAGATCGATTATCTCCTCATCCGTTAAATTAACCTTAAGGTACTCCCTCATTACTATGCATGCTTTAGATAGCTTCTCCATTTTGATATTGATTAAAGCTGCCTTGCTCAATTCTTGCAATTTGCTTTCACTAGACATTTAAGCAGACATCCTGTGATCATCCTCAAATTTTCTTTATAAAATTAAAGTTAGATACTTTTTTGGTGCATTAAAAACGATGTAATAGTCAGTAATCTCATCTTCTTCATTTCTTTTGGCAAAGAGATCAACATCGACTGATTTGTCACTGAAACAAATCTGACAGACACTTACAGCTCCTTTGACTGAAGACTTCAATTCCTGCATTTTTTGGATGAGACTCTGCTTGTTCACTTACTCCAATTAGAGATCTTCCAATGAACCTCCCTTGATCAACATGAAATACCAAGAATCAGGTATACAGCAACTCTAATATCTAATGTTTCCATCTCCATCTAATTAGATGTATAGCTTATTTGGGGAATTCACCTCAAGCATCTGTTTCAAGAACTCCTCATTCTTCAAATCCTTCAATTAGTATGTCAGTCTCTACCATAATTGTTGAATCTAGATTTCCTTTTAGATAATCTTACATAATCACTGAACGTTATCATATCTATGTTTGGAGATTCGATCTTAATGTAGTATTTGATTTTTTTGTCTAATTTAACTGGCAACACAACATAACCATGTTAATCTATGATCAAATCATTCATGTATTATATTTGATCTGGCATTTCAATCCAGCTGTATATTAATTACAACACTCATACCATTGACTTGACAGCACTTCAGTAACTTATGATCGAATGATTTCTTAGCAAATCCTGGTTGAGTTCTTAATGAACCTTGACTTGATTCCTCTTATGATGCTCACTAGATTTTCTTTGCTAAACGTTATAGATATAAATCTCACTCATATATTTCTTTTTGAAAATCGTAAGCAAGTGAAATAAATTGATCCAATATCAATCTATAATCTGGGAATGCCTTAAATGGTACATCCTTCACATCGTAAATCAAGTATGAATACTTGTTTTTGTACACATATAATTCATTTGTACCGAAGAGGTTGTCGAGTTCGCTTCCATTCACGTTGGTGCTCTCCTTGAATTTTAACAATCTTTGATAGGCATTCTCAAATTCCTTTATGTGAGTCGACATCCCATTCACTTTCTTGTTAATCTCATAAATAACTGTAAATGCAGGACTGCCCAAAATTAAATCTGCAATTTGCTACAAGAATTCTAAACAGTTTTCAGACATGAGTTGCATATTCATAGTGTAAAAAATGATGGAGTCTAGTTTCTTGAAAAAGTTCTAAGAAATTTGACGAATTCATACCATGAAATCTTCAATTTTCTTATCTATTTGATGACACAACTATTATTGCAAATTCAGATTTGACTTTGTTCGCGTTAACATCATCTTCCTTAAATAAGATGTATGATTTACCTCACTCTACTCTAATCGCTGTATACGATATTGAGAAACTAAAACTCTTCCAACATCTTTTGAAGGTGATGCAATTTACTCAGTTGTTTCAAAGATAAACTAATCGTCTACTTATCCGATATTATCTAAGTAAGCAAATCATCTGTGAGACTGAAAGAGTCCACAAATCTCGTAGTTAAATTCATTTAATTAAATTATTTATGGGGAAACCTAGATATTTTTTAAATTAATAAGGAAACTTAAAAATATAAAAAATAAATGCAATCATCTGATAACCTCCATGTTGATGATTTCCATCAAAACTTTCTCATCTTTTATGCCAAAGCCAAAGACATTACCAATGTTAGATTTAATTATATGAGAGAATTGTACAACCTTGGAGTGGATTCTTTCCCTGACAATCAAGAAGTCTGCACTATTCAACAAAATAACAAGTTGAATTTGCAATCTTAATAAAACAAGCTGAAAAAGAACTGGACAGATGATGACAAAAAGGTGCTCATATGGTTGGTGGGCAAATGGACTGCTGTCAATAAAAGAGACATCAAATCTATAGTATATCAATACAACTCTATTTGAAGAGCGATGCTGACTGGAATTCCATTGCCAGTATGATGCCAAGAAGAGACGCCTTCAAATGCAAATAGAAGTGGCTTCAAATGCTTAAACTGCCTTTGCAACAAGCTCCATGGACCCTTCCTGAAGATGAACTTCTCAGATCCATAATATATGACTATCAAAATTAGAACAAAGGAAACAAATGGAGCCAGATTGCCACCACTCTAAACAAAATTAGCTAATCAAATGTACACAGAAATGGTAAATAGTGCAGAGAACGATGGAACAATCATCTCAATCCCTTCATCAATCGGTATTAATCTCATGTAAATATTACCTACAAGAAATCCTTGGCAATTGAATGAAGATTTGAATTTGTTAGAATTATCCATCTAGAATGGGAAGAAGTGGGCCTTGATTTCAAAAAAACTAAAAATACCAAGAAGTGAGAATAGTGTCAAAAATAGATTCAATTGTCTCTTAAGGAAGGAACGAAGTCAAAAAACAGGGTAGGCTATATTAATTATAGAAGGAAAAAAGATGAAGAAGAAAGCGAATCAGAAGAATCTAAGAATTCGAATTTTCCATCCGCAGAAGAGTTGAATCACGATGAAATCAAACTCATACACACCATCATCAAAAAAATAGAGTGGAGAATCCAACAAAGTGATAACCTCCGAGAAAATGAACAGAAAGACATGGTCAAAGAAGAACACCAAGATATTGTTAAAAAAGTTAAAGTCGAATCTAATTTACCTCCAAAAAGGGAATTACGATAATCACAACCAATCCCTAAAAATTAGGATAAAATCAACTTAGAAATAAAAGACTGTCAACTCTCAGAAATTGAGATCAGCACACTTCAACCCTGTTTAATTAATAAAGAGAAAAATTAAATATTTTTTGTTTCCCCTGAACAACTCCATCTTTATCTAAATAAATCAGATATTAGTTAATAAAGCACCTTTCAAGAAAACAACCTATCCAATCAAAATAGTTTAGGTTCCTATTTTTATGATCCTAAACTATACCGATCTTATGTCATGATGCAATCAAATGAATATCCTCAAATTTAGAGTGGAGTTTACCAGTAAAGATCTATTCTTAATCCTAATGTGATGGGAACCTTCCCCAGTATTAATAACTATCCCTTTTCTATGACCATGTCAGCATATCCATCTCAAGCAAACTTGATGACCCAATTATAAAGATGATCATATATATATTATATTTATCAAATTTATTCAATTCATTTCTAAATTATAAAGTTCAGTTTTCCTTTAATTAGTAATCAAGTTACAAAGGATCGGATTGCCTTTTAGTTTGTATACCTCTTTAAATCATATTTGCTGATGTAATATAAATATTTTGGATATAGTCAGGTAAGGATTCTTTTGGAATTTCTTACCATTTTCTGATTAAGTCATAATTATGTCCTGATTGAACTACAAGAGGGTTTTCAATTTAATCATGTCTATGCAATATTGATCCAATTATTTGTTTTCCTCTTATAAAAGGCTAGTTGAAATATTTATTTCTGGTAGAGATTTTCTTTATTTCTTGCTTTTCCAAAAAGGTTGAGTAGTTAATTTTTCAATTATTTAGGCTTGGAACTCTAGTCAAAAGAGTACTAAATTATATTCCTGGGAATTTAATTCTTGATTTTATTAACAGCTTTTTTAATATCTTAAGTATTTATTGTATCTCTAATAAATTTATTAATTTTTAGTATATCAGTTCTTTACATGATGCAATATTATAAATTGGTTCTACTGGATTTATTTCACTGTTTATTTTATTCTTAGCTAACTAAGGCCTAGTTCCCTATATTTGAATTTATTGGTAAGAACAATATGATCAATAAAAGACTTTCTTACTATCACATTATTTTTTTGGATATCGTACACTTTATTAAAGTAGGTTTTATTCCAATATTGTATTTTTTTGTGTAAGTTATGGATGGATGGTTATTCCTTGATAGTTTAATTTAGAACATTCTGATGGTTGATAAGCGCATTAAGTCATTCCTTTTAGGGTCAGGTCAATCCAATATTTTGTTCTTTGATTTAATATATGTTAATTTTACTATTAGTATACGAGATGTAGAATAAAAAATTAGAGTTCGTGATTTTAGACAAGAAAGATATTTGAATTAATTTATTTTTTTATATTTTTGGTTGTTTTATTAGATTGTCAAATATTGACTTCTAATGATTTATCTACAATAATTTGATTCTAAATACCAACTTGTTAAGACTAGCTTAATTGTTGTTACACTCCAGAACTATTATCTGCTATCTATAATGATAGGGAATACAGATTTACCATTCCTAATTTCACCAGTCTGTTATTGCTATTTTTTTCTAGACAAGGGCTTTCAATAATTGTTTTAGGACAAACGGAATCTTATTGAAAATCAAAGAAATTTTAATAGGATCCAGGTGACAAAAACCCAGAACTTTAAAATGGTTAAGTTGAAGTCTTGATGTTTACGTTATTTGAAGTCTTCTTCAAATACTCTTGTTTTTGTTGCAAATGCAATTATTTCAACAACTACAATTCCTTCTCTTATCTCTATTCAAGATCTTGCAAAGATTCATCGTTTCTACAACTCTAGAAATATATTGATGCGTGTAACTTACAATGTAATCTTTGTAACATTTATTAAAGATTTGCTCGGTTTCATCTTCTGTTTGAATCATTAGATTTTTCTTTCTCAATCCTAATAGTTATGATTATTTTTGAATGCTGACTTCGGAATTAGTGTCAAATTTGCTACTGCCAGTAGTCAACATGATTTTGTTAGATAGATTGCATTTAAGAATGGATGAATCTGGGATTAAGGTGCAATTACTTTTACTGTCATCCCTCAATTGCATGAGGAATTGGTCATTGATTGGAACAGGGGAGTTGTCATTTTCGGTTACTTGAAGATTGAAGTGAGTGGATAACAATTGAGTGGCAGAAGGTCGTTCTTCTGGAGGTTTTAGGCATCTGGTTTGCAAAAAAAATCAATTTACTCTAAGATAATTGCTTTGATTTTATCATTCAGAATAGCATCAATTGACTGAGGCTTCTGCTATTCAATAACTTTCTTGATCACTTAGCCAGTTCCGCCTTTGCACTCACAAAATGGTTTCGCTCCGGTAACCATCTCTAATAGACACATTCCAAAAGCATAGATATCCACTTTAGTGTCATAATGCTCCTAGTAAATTTCAGGTGCCATAAATTCTGGAGTGCCCAAAACGGAAGTTGTAAAGGATTGTTGTAATCTAAATTTACCTTATATTTCTTACTAAATGGAGAGACCCAAATCCCCAATCTTTAATTCATTATTATTTGTGTCAATCAGAAGGTTTTCACATTTCAAATCTCTATGGATGATATTTTGTTTGTGTAAATATTCCAAACCAAGGAGTATCTGTCTACACCAATTTTTAATCACCTTCAACTTTGGTCTAGTGATTCTCCGTAAATAACTCGACATAGATAATTTGATACTTTTTCAACGAGCCTCCATTTATGATCTCAGTTATGAAAACAATTTCCTTTTTCGATTTATTATGCCATGAATGTACGAAGTTAATGATATTATTATGTTTAAGGCTACTTAGAATTGAAATTTCTTATCTCACTCTTCTTCTTTCATCTAATGATAAAATAATGGGAGATTGTTACTTTCTGGAACACTATTCAATTAAAATACATTCCAAGCTACTTCACAACCACTCTGATTATCGTATCCTCTGAATACACTCTTGTATGCTCCCTTACCAATTTCCTCGTTGTACTAAAAATACATATCATCACATACCTTACAAAATCTGCCTGTAGAATCTTGCTCGATTATTTGTGATATTTCATCGTCTTCATCACTAAAAAAATAGTCTTAATCGTCTTGGCTCATGAACGTAATTTGATTATTTTCCATAAACCAAAACTTATAATTAATTTAATCTTTGAAAACTCGAAAATGCCATAAACTCAACTATTATTATAGATGGTCTTGGTGTTTCTAAGGGATCAAAAATTATACAAGAGTCTTCTGCATTTGGAACTGGAGACACAAGTAACTGATTATCGTATCATCCCAATAACTAGATTTCGATAGACAACTACACAAGAGAATTATCATTTCTGAGATAGCAAATTTTGGATGGCAATTTTATAGGAGCAGAGCAATATCTCCAACCTTTGAAAACCAGATTGAATGATCAATTTTCTTATGTGTTGTTGGAATTGAAGAAGCAATAATATTTTGAATTGATCAATGCAAAACCAGATGTAGAGATACTAATAACATTATTGCGACAAATTGAATAATTGGCATCGTCAGAAGTGTATAAAAACCTTTGTTATTTTTTGACGCTGTCTTGTATTCGCGATCATCCAGACTTCGGCGATTGGAGTGTTGAAAAGGTAAAGATCGAGTGTCTCTAATCTTTTAGGGAAGACTGGATTGCTTCGAAGGAATTGCATAAGTGCTTAAGAATTTAGGTAAAACTTTTCGCATAGAAAAATACAATGGCATTACACTTCAACAATTATACGAGAAAGTTGAAGAAGATGAAGAAAACAACAAGCATTCCAAATGTATTAGTAATACATATAGAATATTAGTTTACTCCAAAAAGAAGTCCCAATTTCAAATGTAATAGTCTAGTTCCTCATAATTGCCTGTTGACTTCGACAAAAATATCATCATAGAGAAATTGCACATCTCCGACATTAATGAAAATGATCAATCAATGATAAGGAAGGAAAGTATTTTGAACACTACTCCACCTCATAGCAATAGCAGCATACAGTCACAACTCTTTAATTATAAATTTGATGAAATGGATTAAGTTGCCACGTTGTCAGACACTCATCCCATCAGAGCAGCTGCATTTTCATCAGATGGTGAAATGTTTGCAATCGGGACCAATTCCAAAAGTCTCAGGATCTTTTCAATGAAATCTGTTTTGCAGGAAAGTCAAGTTGAAATGTAGATGGAAAAATAAAATCATCATCAAGGATCTATCTATTGTATTGATTGGAGTCGATCAGGAAGATTGATAGGGACTGGTAGCAATGACAAAACTGTTAAATTGTACAATGTAGAAGATGAGACTGATTTCGTTTTGATTGGTCACAGAGGTTTAGTGAGATCAGTATGTTTTAGCGATGAGAATCGATTGATGTCAGCTGGATAAGATGCTGTGATCAAAATATGGGATGTGGAAACATAAAAATGTATAAGAAATCTAGAAGGCCACACATAAACTATATATTGGTATCCAAATTAAATATTAAGTTGATAGTCTCTAGACTGCAGGAGATGGATCATATCAAGTATCTTGTGGTATGGATAGGACTTTGAGAATCTGGGATTAGAGAACTAGTAGGGCCTAAGGAGTAATGACCATGCAAACAGAAATTAATTATGTTTCCCTGTCAGAATCAACAACCAATTATAATCTATAAAATTTAGTGAAGGGATCCAAAAAGGCTCCTTAGTTCTCATCCTAAGGGTTGGCAGTACTTGCACATTCTGATGGTGTAGTTTCAGTTTGGAATATTCAATATTAGAAGTGCGTAAAAACATTGAAACATCATACTATGGATTGTAGATGTGTTGAGTTTGATCCAACAGGTAGATATATCTGTAGTGTATCATTTGATTCAACTATTGCCCTTTATGATTGGGAACAGCAGAAATTGATTACTTAAATTACTGATCACGAGGATCGAGTAGTCTTATGTAAATGGCATCCATTCTATCCTTTTATTCTGAGCACATCTGCAGATTGTACTGGTAGGATATTTGCTCCTCATGGTTTTCTAGTATAATTAATGAAATCTTTATGAAATAATTAAAATATATATCATTACAAACACTTATTTAGGATAGACCATATATTTAATGACAGTATTAAATATTAAAATATAAACATCATTAAACAGAGATAATATAAATCTATGATATTAATTTGAGAATGTAATATTTTGCATTGAATATGCTGAATTAATGCAATAAAGTATTTTCTATTTATAAAGTAGTACAATGACATTGCGATTAATTACATATTTAATATTATCAGGCATAATAAGGATGCGGATTTGCAATTTCTTATAATTTTCTTACATTTTCTTCGCTTATTTCATCCTTAAATACTTTTTGACAATCTTGTCTACTTTTCCAATACACAGAGACAAATTCTTAAAGAATTCTAAATGATATCAATTAATACCTTTTATTTTTAAATTCTTAGAATATCTCAGTAAGGGCTTGATCTGTCCAATTGTAATTCCTATCTTGACGGGAAAGTAGCATACTCATTAATATATAGACTCTATTTTCTTATGCAATTTTGAATAGTTCTTCCAATTCCTGTTTAGTATAAAGCTTCAAATAGTCAGCTAATGAGGAAACAGCCTGGAATTATAACTAAAGATTATTATCTTGGAACATGGTGAGTAATTATTTTGGTATTTAGGAGAATGAGTACCCTTCAAATTTTAGTTTAAAAAACCAATCTCTCAAAAAGAAGTTAGCTCTTTTCCTAATGTTCCAAATGTCATTTTTAGTCATTTATTCTGCTATAACTAATAATTCAGTTATCTCATCATAATCACATTCTATATATTTCCTTAGAATTTCTTGAGCATCGATCTCAGTTTGAGTACTTTGGAAAATGATCTTCATGGCTTCAACGATGAACTTCCAAGAATAATTATCAAACTTACTAATTGCAATGAACTCTAATATTCTTGCTGATAATTCTTGATAAAACTTGATCTTATCTGTATTAGAATGATTAGAAAGAAACTCATTAAAATTTTTGAAAAAGCTCTATATGTCACTATTGTACCAGATTTGAAAGTTTGCAGTAGTTGCAATTAGATGCTCATCTAAATAAGGAGCATCTATGGGAATAGGTATTAATATGGTTTGTAATAATGCAGTTGCTAGTGTACAAGTGTATTCTTCAACATACACACTTGGAGGATATGTGACAATTATCGAAGCAAATTGTTGGAGAATTTGATCTTATAAGTTTATAACTCTTGGACCTTACGATTGAATCAGAATTTTCAATAATTAAATGTACCTCAGACCCTTGAAACCTCCTAGAGGGATAAGAGTTTAACAACATTGCAGCATCTTCAAATAGACAGGTGAAATCCATTGCCAATCCTATTCTCTGCACATGTAAAAGAATGCTAGATGGTAATCATAGAATATTTCTTAGGTGATGTTTGGAAGGATTGTAATAAATGAGTTCTAAATGTAAGAGCCTACGTTTAATAAAGATCTATGAAGTGCTGTTAAATAACAACATACCAATCTTTGCTTTTCTCTCTAATCAAATTATTCGATGTACTCATCTATGATCTCTCGGGTTGAATAAAATGCAGCAATTCCACAGACTTAAAACATTTTCTTAAATAATCTAAAATAAAATTCAGACATAAAGATAGATTAGGTTGCAGAAAATGGAGATTGTCTATTCCTATTCTTTCCATAAATATATGTGAAAAAGATTTAGACATACCTAGCGATTCCTTATGCAGACATAAATTAGACTTCCTAAGATGGAGTATCTGTTATATCAAATTCCGAAGCAGGAGCCACATCTTTATCTATCAAAATCTTTTCCATAAACTCTCGCATATATTATTTATTAGTGAAGAGTTACCTTAAGTCTTTTATGAATGGAGTGACAGTGTCATTAACTATAGTTACCTTAGTGATATCATTTTTCGTAAACATATACTTCTCATGCATTTTAGATCTATAAATTGGGTACTATGCTTTAAGTATGTCGTCTAATTCTCGAACAGTTTAGTAAGATTTATCTATAATTGACAATTATTCTTATGTTAAATATCGATATTACACGAATTAAGCAAAAGGGAGATATTTTTCAAATGGGGAACTGCTCACTTACTATTTTTTATAGATCATCTATTTGGCCAATCTAAGGAAGTAGAACAATCCTGCTCTTCCCAATTGATTCAATGTAACATGGTCATTGATGCATAAATCCTGATACGCCTTAATGCAAAATTCAGGAACCTGTTTGATGATGTTAATGTTATTCAATAAGGATAAACTGTGAATGATCTTGCATTTCCAGAAATACTGACTTTGTAGAGCTCTTATGCTATTATTGATTATTTCCATTCTATCATTATAATCATTAGATTAGACAACAGTACTTTCATCATATTAAATGGCTAAATGGTGAACGCAAGATTCCATAATTAAATATTTGCATTTTTGATTATCAACGTATTCCATTACACTGATGAATTAATTCAATTATTTCTGAATAGACATGCTTATTTCAATATCTGAGGAAATTTGTTAAACCGCAGAATTAAATCCTTACAATAAATCAATTAGTTATTTGTATTCTTTGCTTCTTTCACTTAATTAATTGATCTTACTCAATTTGCTATCTTTGTCATTATAGTTTAAAATCCCCAACAAGTACTCAAAGAAGTTATTTCTCACACCTCTAGTTAAAGTTTATGTGGTTCTTTCAGAGTAAGGCAATAAATATTGGGGACTGCTGAACTTAGAATGACTTAGCAAATTGAGGACAATTATATAGTTGTAGATTTAATTGTATTAGATAGGGATACCTTGTAAGTGTAACATGAAAACATGTCTTTGATAGAGATATGTGTTGATATCAATTACACACTGAATTCGACTTTCGAAGTATAATTTACATTAAGATGATTGCATCAATGATCTGCATCCTTCCATATACTCTCGAGCTATTTGCAATTCTTAATTCAAGATTTATGAACTGATACATTCTGAAGCTATTGTAACTAAAAGATCATTAATGTCTTTGTCGTGAGCCACTCCCGTGTTTATAGCATAGCAAATAGAATTGATAGCAAAAGTGCCTAGTCTCTGCCTTAAGTCCCAATACTCTGGTGGACACACTCTCTTTAAATAATCTTATTGGATCTACTATAATTTCATGTGTCCTTTGCTACCTTCGATTTCGTCTTATGGTTAGAAAGGTGTAAATAGAGAAGATCCAGTAAAACATCCAAAAACAAGAAGCCAAACTCTATAGCAAATTTGTTTAAGAGTTGGATCCATTGGAGGATTCCTAAAGATCATCAAATCAACCAGTTTAGGGAAGTCACGTGGCATCTCATAAAATTCGTATTCTTTCATGTAGGTCTTTTCGAATTACTCAATTACTCCAAACATAAACATTCTATTCCAATCAAAAATATATTCCCAATCTTATCGAGTTGGTAGTACCCATTCAACAACTAGATCCTAAGGTTGAAATAGGGTTTTTTTATCGAAATCTTTTTTAAAAAATTGAGATCTTTCATTTTACCAGGATAAATTATTGGATTTAATGATTTGATTTGTTATTATTACTGAATGTATAATATCACTAACTTTAGTGAAGACCTCATCCTCTTCATCCATTAAATAATTGATTACAATGGCTTGAATCTTCATATCATGTTTTTAGGTGGCTTTACCAGCAAAAGTAAGTGATTTCTCAAGAAGTGTCAACCATAAGAGTTTCGATTATTTGTTACCTGGAGTGGGTTCATATTGAAGAATGTAATTCTAGTACTTTGATAATTGGAAAATAAAATTCAAGTAGTGATCTTTAAGCGGAGATTATCTCTATTTAAGTAACTTTTCCATACAAATGTCAATTATATACTCCAATAATGAGGGATCTCTGTAAATTATGCAATCTATCAAATTACCCATGGCACCTAAATCTTGCATTTCTAGATTTTCTAAATGCTATTTGATTTTATCTACTATGTTTTCCAGCATTTGTTGTGATGAATTTGCTATATATGGCCAAAAGATGTTGATAAGATTTGGCAATACAAATCCAAAATCGACATCTTTGTATTTAATCAAATTAAAGTTTTTGATGATCAACCTGAATAATTCTGACACAAAATCACTTAGGTATTGACACAATTCATTGTGTTCGCCATATAATTCCATATATTCTTCTGGAGTGTAAATTGGAACATTCATGAATATTTTGCAGTAAAATTCTAATGAATCCATGTTCTCACCTACTCCTTAAACTTCAAACAATTTATATGTCAAATCCATGAATTCCTAAAGATGATAGATAGAGTACTGACTATAAATTATAGTTTCTATTATAAATACCATTTTCCTTATAAAATCGGAATAGCCATAAATATAAGTATACTCTTAATTGTGATGAATTAGAGAGCTGTTACATCATTGATGGCTTATTTCATTTTATTGAGAAAGAAATCTATTAGCTTTGGTTCAAAACATGATAAATATAACACAGTTTTTGCAGTTGAATATCCTTGATCCTCCATGTAAATCATTTTGTCTAATACATCCATAACCATTTCAATAAAATCCTGTTTGGCTTATTCATCCAACAAAAATGGTAGTAATTTATCAATATTGATTTTAGTGGAAGGAATTTTATTGGAATTTCTTTAATTAGGATAATTTATCTAAAAACTAGAGTATCCTTGATCTGGATTAATAAATAGCAACTCAAGTATATATTTATCACTTTCAATAAAGTCTTGAATATGAACATCATTGAATTAATCAATCAAATCTTACATTAAGGATTCAGAAACGTTTTCATCGTAGTTTTTGTTTTATTGCATATCATAAATTCTTAATAATAATTTATCTCTTCTGTATTTTTGAATGAAATTGTCAACTATTAATTTTAATAATTTGAATATTTAATCATCCATCGTTTATTAGGAGCATACAGAAGTAATTGAGTCAATCAAAGAAAAAACTCTTTTAATTGTTAACATATATTCTTAATACCCTTCTCTTTTTGAATTTCCAATCTACTCAACTAATAACTATGGTATTATTTTGAATAAACTTGGTGCTCCCAAAGTTTCATCGGGTAATAGCATAGCAATTAACTTTTAATCTTAACATACATACTATTTTTACTTTTATCATCTTAACCCAAATCATTACGCCAATAACCATGAAAAAATCTCATCATTTATGGCATCAAATTCATTTACTATGGATAGACTCTTAAATAATTCATTATAAATTTTAATCTGCAATTATCTTTTTCTCCAAAAATTAACAAGGGATCCATCAAATATTTTATCAGATCATTGTAGGAGTCTTGGGGTATATCATTTCTAAAAGGAACAAACAACATCAAATATGCCCATGCCACTTATTTATCTTAATAACCTAAATATTGGCGAAATTTATGAAATGCAAATTAAATCACATCAGCATCAAAGTAATATTTTACTGTTCTAAGGAACTGACAAAATTGAATGAACAATTGAGTGCTGAATGTTTAATTTGTGATTGTCTTATCTTTATTAGTCATAAACTTATCTTATAGGTATTAATGCCAATATCTCCAATCAATTTTTAGGGATAGATATTTTTGCTTATTTTGAATGACTGTGCAAACAAGGCTAAATCCATTCAAAAGTCCTACACTAGATTTCAATCCTCCCAACTTCGACAGTAGCAATTCTGCAAGCTCTTATCTTTCTTCGTTCAAAAAGTAGTAAATCTATTTGAATCTCTGAAGCAGGTTCATAATTGGAAACAAATGCTTAGAGGAACTAGCCTTAAATCTTGATAATACCTCATTTCGAAATCCTTTAATAATCGAATAATCTAATTATAAATTAAACTTCTTTCTGCATCAAAGGTATTCATCCGCACCTCTTTTGGCAAATGTTCATAGTTAAATCGAAATGCGCTTATCATTAATAATAATATTATTTATCATCTGTATATAATTGGTATTACAAAAATATCAATTATATTATATAATTGGAATCTAAAAAAATATATATTATAATATAAAATCTCCTTGTTCAATAATCATAAAATTAATCAGTATTTTTGTAACCATCTTAATTAAATGCATAATATAATAATAGGTATAATAATCTGATATCTATATGATATACTCTGTTCAATAGTAAATAAGTTGATAGCCTATTTTCTTTAAAAATATAAAAAAATCAAATTAAAAACACATTTAATTAACCAAAAAAATTATGGATCATCTTTAAATTTAGGAAGTGATTAATTATTTACATTCATTAAATTTAAATATTAAATAAACTAACGTTTAGTAAAATTTTTTTTTATCATAATTTTAGTAATTATTTTTATTAATCATTACAATCAAGTTAATTGATATTATCTATCGGGTTAGCCATCAGATTTTTCTTGCTTAATATAAGTAGGAGATACATGTAATGAAAATTAGTTATCCTATAATAAACTTTGTACTAAAGGCTAATAATTTTCTATACTTAAATCTACAAGAATATTAATGAAAGTGTTTATGATAACATAGGTTTACTCCTATCATTGAAATTTTGATCAAATCTTCCCTATAGTGTTCCTTGTTTTTCTAAAATGTATATTTCAAATTCCTCCACTTAATGCAACATATGGGTTGCATATATTTATCAAATTATAAACATTTAATAGATGAGTTTAGATAAAGGGGTAATTATATAAATTATGCTAACTTAACTGCTATAAATGTTTAATCTTAGGTGTTTAGAGTTTATTAGTAATGATAAATTATATTTAAGATATATATGAATTTATGCAAAATTTGAGTAAAATTTGAATAATTAAATTTATAATGAGTTTAGAGATTCTCGATTATCTCAAGCAGGAGAATTAATAATTGTAAGAGCAGGTTCGTGAGCTCTAAGGATTGCTTTAATTAAATAAGTAAGCTTTGAAGGTATTGATGCCTCAAACAAGTGATGAATAACATAAAGGACTATTAACAGTATTAAAGAATTTGTAGGAGGAAAATGAAACATTACAAATGAAAATAGAGAAATTAGTTAAAGAGCGTAACGAAGCTTAATGTGATTAATTGATAAATCAGCAAATAACAGAGGAGGTCTAAAGATAAGAGAAAGAACTAATTTAATCATTACAATAAAAAATGCAGGGTTTGCAAGAAAATCTGATGTCTGCAGAAAGTAAGTTAGCGAAGATGGAGGAATTAAAACCGGAATATGACGAAATAGCTGGAGTCGTAATCAAATTTAGAGAAGTATGTGATCCTGATCTTATTGGACTAAAAATGCATAATGAAATTCAAATGCTGAATGAACAACTCTTAATTGAGCAGAAATAGAAATAGAAATTAATCAAAGAAAAATAGAGCATACAAGGACTAAATTTAGTAATTTAAGAATTTTATTTTATTAGAGATTGATGAACGAATTATTGCAACAAAAAAGCATGGCTCATGCTGGTAACAAACTGATTTTCATGAATCAAGATCCAGAACAATTAATTGATTTTTAGGCAAGAGCCCTTAAATTAATGAATAACTCTTCCTCTTGTGATACACCCTCTTCAAAATCGTCAGAGGCTCCACTAGATGGAAATTATTCTCCTAAGATTTAATAGTTTTAGTTGAATTCAACAAAGGGAACAGTTATTCCTAAACTTGATTTAACAAGAGCTAAATAAATATAGGAGATTAATGCTAAAAGATAAATACAATAGACCTAAAAACCTTTGAATGATATCTAAAGTATGGAAAGGATCTAAAAACTCGAAAAAGCTCTAGATGAACTCAGAAAGAATCATTAAAGAGAAATGATCTTGAACAGGACATTATAAGCACACAATGATGAGTTGTAAAGATATTGCGATGAGATGGAAGTAATTTTAAATAGTAAATTAAGCATAGAATAAAATTGCTTACAAATTCAAATCTTCGTTACTAAGAAAGAGCCAAAAAGATGAATGCAAATTATAAGTTTTTGCATCAGTTTTATTTGAATCATAAGGACTTATTACCAACAACTTCCATAAGTAGCAATCATTAAAGACAAACATCTGCGAATTAAATTGAAGATGAATAATCTTAATCTAAACAATTTGATATTGATGAAATGGAAAGCCCAATTTAAAGATAGAATAATGAACCTTTAATATAATAATAATTAGCATCAAGTGTTTATTATTATATACCAAATAAGAAAGATGAATCAGTAAAATATTTATTGCAGACAGCTTAATAGATATATTCAACAATTTATGAAAGAGTGAATCGTGTGATACAAGAAGAACCACAATGCAAACACAGATTCCGATCATTTAGCGAAATCATAATAAATTGATCATTACTGAGTAAAATTATTTATTATTATGTATCTATTTCATTATCTTTAAATTCCGCTTCCATGTAAAGCACTTATACATTCTGCGACAGTATCCAAATTGCTGTGATATTCAGAAATTAATATGTTATGGCTGTTTGTTGCTAAGCCTTTCTCTTAAATGGACTATTTCAAACTTTCCCTAGCGGCATCAAGATTTGCTTGAGCTTCGTTAGCTAATTGTCTTCTTGAATCGATTTCGCCTTAATATAGACGATATTCTTACTGTCTTTTCCTTAGATATCTTATTGCAATTATGGAATGACATCTTTGACCAATGAATCAATTTTTGCATTCAATAGCTCAAATAAATCTTAGGCTTATTGTTAGGCTGCTGTAAAGCCTGCTTGTAATGTTTAAATATTTTGATTAAATTAATCTCTAATGTTTTGTAACAAATTAATGACTCTAACAACTTTAAGTGAATAAATACTTTTATAAATTTTATGCACTCTTGTAATCTTCAGTGTTTAATTAAAGTAACAAGGTATGTAATTCTGGTGTTCCTGAGACTAAAGAAGACAATTATTGAGCATCTTCTTCGACAAATGAGGAGTCTATCTTTAATTGATGATTTACACTTTGCTTTATCTAACACTTTCAATGCTTCATCGATCACAACAATGGCAGCACTCAATTAACTGGTTCTTGTTTTAAAATCAGCTGAATCTTGTCTTTATTAATTCTCAATGTTAGCTTTTTGTTGTTTAGTGCCTCCCAATTCGGTTCTTGTCCTTTCAAGGTCTTCCTCCAGAGAAATTCTTGACTTTAAGATTTCCCTGATTTAAATATTGTACTCAGCCACCTCGTTTTCGTATTGAGCAATGAGAGCTTTATAATTTGTTTCCTCTGTTTCTACTTATTAGACGAATGCTCCATATGATGAATTTTCATCGGCTATAGTTTGCTGAGATTATTCGATATATTACCTCGATAAGTGAAGCCCAGGCTTCCAATGCATCAAATAAGGGATTGAAATTAGGTGAACCCAATTCAACCATAGCAAGAACTGCCCTACCCATACTTGTGGCTTTTAAATTGTTGGTTAATGCTTCTTACAAAATTGTTGCTTATTCATTCACTTGTACTCCAAGTGCCAATCCTAAGAGAACAATCAAGACAAATGTTTTCATTATTTATAATAACATAATCCGTTTTTATATGCATAAAATATATTATTTTTGTTATCATTTCTTTCTATAAACTGTAATCTCCTATTATTTAAAATATTTTCTGTCATCCTCATCAACCAGTATCAAATTTAAAATGTATTTCACACTAAACTTGCCACTCACATTTTTTAAAGTAGGTGACATATCAATACCACTCAAAAACAGTCGAATGGGTACTACTTCTCCTTTTTAAGGACACCCATCCATCAACTCGTACTTCACAAGGATATCATTCTCTGTTTACTGAGTCGTACCTTATCCAATCTACTCTTTACGAATCACAGCCAACTCCATGTGCTTGATTTTTATTTTAACTAAATAGAAGTTCACTTTCCCTGTTACAACATCTCTCAAATGATATCTTGATTTAAAGTATTCAAAGTCTATGTGTAAACAATCCTCGATTCCCACTTCAAGCTTTAAAGAAGTTTATGGTTGATCATCTTAATCTTATTCCACTATTTAAACTGCGAACTCTACTTCCTTTTTCACTTATCCGTAATTTCTATTCATTGTAACCCGTAAATAATATCTATTTTTAATTAACACCCTATCTTACCTCAATTTGACTTCCTTGCCATAATAACTTTCATATTGCTTCTCAAATTTATTAAATTAGAATTTATAAGTTTTATCTTCCATCAAAATACCTTAAGCTTCCAATTCCCTTCCCATTGACATAAAATCAGATGATTGCTTTTAATCATTGAGAATTTCTAGATTATTTCAATAACTTACCAATTCTACCAATTAATTCGATACGAATTCCCAAGTGTTCAATCTTTTTATTTTTATTCATCTTCAAATCTACAACACCTGATATGTCATCATCTCCCTTGATTGTTCAATTTATATATTACCTAATACACAGGCAATTTGATAAAGCCTTATTGCTTGTCATTGAATCTCGCTGTTTTCCTTGAATCTAACCCATCTAAGTATATATCTATTGTTGGAGCTCCTTACACCAAATTTAGCAATGCTGCCTCTCTATAAAAGTCTAATCATACCATGAGTTCTAGATTAAAGTAAAAATATATTTAATTAATTAATAGTATTTTCAGTATTCATTTATAAGATAAAACCTTCAAAATTTCTAAATGTCTAAGTTTCAATGCAAGCTATCTAGGAGTCTGTCCCCATATATCTTTTAACGATTCATCAGCTTAGTGTCTCAACAACAATTCAACCATTTCTTTTAAATTCCTTTTGCAGGCTAAATGCAATGGTGTTTCTTAAATCTAAAATATTTGATTAATTAATACTCTATTTCTAATATTTATGAAATTTTTGTTCTCCATTAGTAATTTATGAACTGTAAAACTATCATTTTTTAGTATTGCATCAAAAAGTTGATTTTCAGAATCATTTGATCTTTTTATTAACTTTGAAAATTAATTTGATAAATTTACCTTGATATTTAGTTTTTGCAGTTATTAACTAATCAACTAAACTTTATCAGGATTAGTTTGATATTAGTCGAACTCCGATTCTGATGTTAGTCGTGGTTGAGGTATTGGCTTACTTTTCAACAGCACTTTGTACTTGTTTTAGTTCTCAATTGTTGAATATTTGTGTGTAGGCAAATTCAAGTCTTCTTGTCTTCTACCAAATTAATAAATTGAATTTACACTCCAGTTGGTGTCATCAACTCTTCTGAGTAATATTTGCTATACAAATTGCATCTTTCCTCAAATTCTCTAACTCCTTTATTTGTCATTTTCTATATATCCTCGAGGTCTTTCTTTAGGAGATTTTTAGACTTAGCCAGTAACTCTTGTTTTCTTTTTGATTGTTATTCTTCTACTTCTTTTTGATATCTTTCCAATTTTAGTTAAAAGTAACTTTTTTTTTTCTTTTTGAGTTATTGTTTACTCTCAACACTCTTTGGCTTCCCCCCATCCTCTTTGATTGTCTGCGTTATCATTTTCTAAGATCTTTGAGTCAAAGGAACTTAGTGTAGTGAAGTTACATGAAATGAAGCAGGATGATTATTTCTTTCATTCTTAAGATAAGAGAAAATCTCATAATCATCCATCAATTCTATGGTTTCACAACAGAGAAATACTTTTTTATTCTGGTGATAGGCGTTCTGAAACAGCCTTCTTTCGTTTAAAAACAGGATCTCTCTTAACAACAAAAAGCATAATTATATAATTATAAACATCAACGAATTGAAGCATATTAAGTAATTTCAGGTGTTTTAAAGTCTGGGAAACTCAAACCTTGATTTTGTTTCCTAAAATATAATAAATTTAAATATTGTACTCTCTTGGTCCAAATATTTTCACCTATCTGATATGCGTGTCCTTTCCACTATGTTAATTCTGTAACACCACTATTTGGATATTAATAGTAGAAACGTAAGGTCTAACATAATTTAAGCATATACTTTTCTTAGCCATTAAGCAATTTGGTCTTGAGTGCAAATACATACCATCCATATGGTTCTTTCAATTCAATGAATTACACTTCCTAATTCTATTCATCAAATATACCTTCATATCCTAGATATTAGTTCCTGTTCGTATGGAAAGTTTGTTTGGAGTATAACTTTCATCTTATTTGAAATCCAAATACAAAGCAACTTCCTAAACTCTCATTTTCTTTAAAAATTATATTGTTATATAATGTGGTTGTGTTCCATCTGACTACCAAAATGTATTCAAATTATCATCCCTTAATTGATCTACTCCATTTCCTGTCTTGGCCGATGATAGAGTCCAAATAGCTTAATCACCAATTTCTTTTCTTTGCATGTTGGCTACCGGTGCCATATTGGTTTGAGTGTATGGAGTCTAAATTGAGGAGTAAAAAGGATTTTCTATGTGCATGTTAAATTTCAAATATTTATATATTAGAACTAAATTTTAATATAATTATCAATGATAATAAATAGGGGAAAAATTTCAATTTTCATTTCCAATATTCCTAGTCTATCTGGCTTGAATCATCTCAAATTTATGTTGCCAACCTAATTTTACATTTCTTCAGGAATCGCTATTAATTATTAAAGAATGTGTTAGCTTTATTCGTTTATAATATGGAAAATGGTAATGAATATAGCTTTCATCTACTGAAAACAGCCATTATCTTACAGAAGTTAAGATTATTTTATATAAATATAGTTTTAATCAAAAGTGTTCAAAATTTGCTTTGAGGAATGTTATAACTAATTAAAAGTCTATTTTGTATTTCTATTCTAGTTTTTAGTTTTAATATTTCTTGATTTAATTCCTTTTCTCTTTTCATAAATTTTTTTTCTCTTTACTTGAAATGTTAAATCAATGTTTTTGTCTTCAATAATAGCGCATCAAACTTTATTTGGAAATCATAGGATAACGGATTCGGCTGATTAGAATTTTACTTATGTTTCTGCTTCTTTGGAGATTGTTAAGTTACATTTTTTTAAGATTTTAAATTCATCGTAGAACTTAAATTTATTGCCTTTGGACTTGTGCTCTGAGATTTAGTATTCGATAAGCATAAAGTTGATGATTGCATAGACATTCTTTTTGTGCTACTTGAGTAATTCTCGAATAAACGAGAATCTGTTTTACATCTACTATTGCTAATGCTTATCCTGTTATTATGCCGCGAACCTTTTTCATAAATTCTTTGACTTCTAAAATAATCATTGAAACTGTTTAAATTAGTATATTTAGTTATTGATGGCTAACTCAAATTTGCTTTATGTTTTGCATTCTTTAATTTAGGTGATATAACCTTAATACTAATCATTTATTTAATATTATAAAATATAATTAAAATGAAACTATTCATCTAATGAGTAATAGAATGAATAAAAATAATGTTTAGATATCAAAACTCATATGCATTCTAGAGTTTAATAAGCTCCTCAAGTTGATTATACATTTTTGATCTGTAACATGATATTCTTATAGAAAACAGTAATTTTTTAATGATCACTTGAAAATTAATTAAATTAATTTATTTGGTTATAATATTATTATTATTGAATGTACCAAATAGTTTGATGTTAAAAAAGATCATTTTGATTAAACTTTCATTGAAACTAATATTTAATCATTAAGCTTTCTACAATGGCAAACAAAATATCTCAAATTAAATGGTTGAAATTTTTACTAATTGAGAGTATCAAATGATTAAGCTTTATTTGAATTTCAAATTAAGTTACTAATTAAATTACAATTTTTGAGGAAAAATTGATTTTTGGAGCCGAATTGTTTTACCCAAATGAAGGAATATTGTTATTTGGATTCAGGAGATATCAGAGTGAGGTTAATTCAGAAAATAAATTATATATGGTCAATTACTTTAAAGTAAATTAAAAGAATTGATCTAAGTTTAAGTTGTGTGTTGAATGAAAAGATAGCATTGATTACGCTTAATAATTTTGAATTCTCTCATAAAACATGGCATACTCTTCTTACAAGGAAGTACTAATTTAAAATAAAATATGACACTTGATATCCACCAAGATAGGAAAACTATATTGAAGATAAATATTGCAATTTCTCACCCTAGGAAGATATCTCTAACAGTTTTCAAGAAGTTTTTCAACATCTAAGTGTAAATCTGCAGTTTCATAAAAAATTTGAAAATATGAGCAGGAATAGTACTTTAACTTAAACACACCTCATAATCTAATTATATTGAGATGATCAGCCTTATTAAGCAATAAAAAGATTCAAAATTTCAGCAGTAGTCATAATTTAATTCGCAATATGTAATTAGGTGTGCCAAAAATCCATTATAAAGCATGTGTGGTTATATTAAAGGTAAGATTAAGATTCGAAGTGTTATAATAAATAAAGAAATAGGGATTAAGCACAAATAGTCAATAGAGGAGCCTTTTAGGTCATTATTTAATTCAAGAATATCAAGTAGAGAAAGGACTCAATGTAGAACCGAGATTTTATGATAACAAGCTTCAAAGGTTTTGTAAATATATGTTCATTTGAATTACCTTAAAGTAGGAATAGATAATTCTTTCCAGAGAAGATCAAAATCTTAGATGACACATTATAGTAATAAATTGATAAAATTGTTAGTAGTTATTTAATTGGGATTCTGTTAAAAAATGGATAGCGATAAGTTGAGATTAAATATCCGTTAGATTTATAAATTATATGACTAACATTATGTAAAATTGGATTTGTGAAAATAAGATTTTTGAGTTTGAGTTGATTATTACGCAAATTTAATAAATAATATGTCAGACAATTCAGATAATGTGTTGACCCAATCTACAGGTTGTCCAGTAGATGACAACCAAAACTCTTTGACAGCAGGAGAATATGGACCCATCCTTTTGTAGGACACTCATCTCATTGATAAATTAGCTCATTTTGATAGGGAGAGAATTCCAGAAAGAGTTGTCCATGCCAAAGGAGCAGGTATTTGATATCTTTAACATGTAAAGGTGCTTATGGATACTTTGAAGTGACAGGAGATGTGACAAAGTACACTAAAGCCAAATTTTTGGATACAGTTGGAAAGAGAACACCAATATTCACAAGATTCTCTACTGTGGGAGGTGAAAAGGGATCAGCAGATTCTGAAAGAGATCCAAGAGGATTTGCTGTTAAGTTTTATACTGAGGAAGGCAATTATGATATGACAGGAAACAACACACCAGTCTTCTTCATAAGAGATCCAAGTAAATTCCCAGATTTTATTCACACATAAAAAAGAAATCCTTAAACTAACTTAAAGGATGCTAATATGTTCTGGGATTTCTTGAGTTTGGTGCCTGAAAGTGCTCACTAAGTCACCATCCTCTTTTCAAACAGAGGTACTCCAGATGGATATAGACATATGAATGGATACACATCACACACATTCAGATGGGTGAATAAGGAAGGAGAAGCATTTTGGATTAAATTACATTTCAAAACAGATTCTGGTAATAAGTCATTTACAGGTGCTGAGGCTGATGAATTAAAGAGAACAAATCCAGATTATGCTACTCAAGATCTGTTTGAACATCTTGCTACTGGTAAGACAGCTACTTGGACAGTCTAAGTTCAAGTGATGCCAGAATAAGATGGATTCAAATATAAATGGAATATTTTCGATGTCACCAAAGTATGGCCACACAGTGATTACCCATGTCTTAATTTCGGAAAGATGGTCTTGAATAGAAATCCAGAAAACTACTTCTAAGAAGTTGAATAATCAGCCTTCAGTCCAGGACATTTAGTCCCAGGAATTGAACCATCATTGGATAAGATGTTATAAGGAAGATTGTTCTCCTATCCAGATACTCACAGACACAGATTAGGAACCAATTATACACAACTCCCAGTCAACTGTCCATACAGAGCAAGAGTTGTCAATCAATAAAGAGATGGACCATAATCCTACAATAACTAAGGAAATAGACCAAACTATGAACCAAATTCATTTTAACCATTGAAGATGATTCCAGAAACCAAGACTAGTTAATATAGAGTAACTGGTTTAATCGGAAGATATAAACCATCACATCCAAATGATGATTTTGCTTAACCAGGAGTTCTATTTAGAAAGGTTATGAATGACTTTGAAAGATAATGGCTAGTAACCAATATTGTTGGACATTTGAAGGTATTTTTTTAGTTAATAATTTTAGAATGCCAACAGAGTAATTCAAGAGAGACAAGTCAAAGTGTTCACCAAATGCGATCCAGAATATGGAGAGAGAATTGCTTAAGGATTAGGATTCCCCAACAACAAAGCCAGATTGTGATCAGCATAATCAATTATATCATATTATCACATTATTTTTTTATCTTGATTCTTACTGTTGACTTTGCTTCTAAGCCAAGTTGGGATGTAAGGAATTGGATACTTTTATTAGTTGTATCCAGTTCCAAAAATAAAATCGCATAATCCCCAAATGCTGAAATTGCATGAATAGTAATAATGATGTAAGGTATGTCCAGCTGGGTCCCATCTTCCATCATGCGCAAATTGAGCATATACTGATGTTAATAACCCAAAGATATGATGACACACTGGATGGAATGGATAGATAAATGTTGGTAGGAAATGTCCAATAGGCCCTTAAATCAATGCTTCTACTGGATGTACAGCATCTTAAGCATAGGCTCCGGGTTCAACAAATTCATGATGTTCTCCATGAAAATGTTTCCAAAAAAATGGCATATGTCCAATTATATGTGAAGTATAAAACCACACATCAAATGTCACCATATATCTTAATTCATAAATAATATTATATTACATGATTAATGAAACAAAGAATTCCTTAAATCCAAATTCATGTGTCTCGTAATACCCATAATAAGGATTCAAAGGTTGTATCTTCCATATTATTCCTGTTGTTAATAAAATTACATAGAACAGAGCTTTAACTCCCCTCCTCATTTCTTCCTTTGTCTATGCTATTCTATCTGGAGTCTTTGGGGCTGGATGACTCCAAACCAAAATTTGACTAATACAAAAGTACATGGAATAATAGAATAATCTGTATCAGGTTATCAATTTACCCTATGTACACAGATGCTATCAAATATTCAAAAATTGAATTTATCTCTAAAACGTTATAACTCAAAGAATCTGGGAATCTTAGGAATGGTATTGTTACGTAGTCATTAGGATTAAAGCAATAACTATTCATAATTGATGTCATCAACAGTAAGAGTTTCATCATATTTCTAATTTATTAGATATTAATATATATAATAATAGTTCTTTTTTTTGATTAAAGTAATACTAATCATTCATGTCAATAGAAACCTATTATTTAATACATATTTTTGTTTTGCAGCAATCCTTACATATGAAGATTGCTAAGATAAAATGTGTTAATAATAGTATTCATATTTTCTTTTGTATTTTTTTAAGTTTTAAATGCTAATTGTAGCGAGTAAATCATTTGAGCAATACTTCTCCCCTGTGTGTGGTAAATTATAGAAAATTATTATTTTAAATTAACTAATTTATATAAAGATTATTGATATATTGTTGAATAAGAAAGCTGAAATATTATCTTTCTAAACGGATATACTAAAACTATAAATCTGTTTGCGAAAATTCAATTGTTTTAGCCATTAATAATATAACTGTTGGAAACTTTAGAAAATTCAATGGTTAATTTTGATAAAATCCTTATACTTTTATTTATGTTATTGAGTAAAATGTATTATATTCAATAATACAAATAAAATTTAGTTCTCTAATTAATATTAATAATGTCTTTATCAAATTAGATATTGAGTTTATTACGAACACAAGAAACCTACAAGTAAATAAAACAGTATGTGGAAATGGTTAACAAGAAAGATTAGTAATATCTGGCATAATATCTAGGTCTGTCTATTAACCAATCTGTGATGCTATTGTTTCGGCTCTCAAAATTAAAGAGTCTGTTTTGAACTTAATGGCTACAAGGTTGGGTAAAGAGGCAGTAGATCAACATAATATGGATTTCAATGTAATGTTTTCAGACATATGTTTGCCCTATTATGAAAAGATCGCTGAGTTTAAGAAGGATGATCAGAGTGATGATAGAGGAAAGTCATATTTCTCAGAAACTCCAGATAAAAATCAATCATCATACGGAAATAGCTTTTTGAGACTTATTCTTGAGAGCATAGAGGCTTGGGCTAAAATATACACATGTAAGAGCGATTAAGTCACAATCTCTCCTTTTTTTCTGGCATATGGAAGACTAGTGATGAAGAAAGTCAAATTCCCTAAAGAATTCAAATATTACAAGTCGGAGGAAGTGGACAAGAACACAACTGCCGCTTTTTGGACACATTCCAAAAACATACCTTAGGTCTTGGAAGATAGTAAATCAACAAAGCCAGTTTAACCGGATCCCTCATTTAAATAAAACCCATCAAGTTTAACAGAAAAAGCGCAGAAGCCTCCATATACTCCTGGCTCTGGTCCTGGAAGTGAAATCTAAAGGGAAATTAACCAAAGTGCACAATTGTTGATTAATTAATATAGCCAATTGAAAACTTAATTAACCGAGAAGGCATTAAGTTTAGGGTTTAAAGCTGCAGGTCAGTACATTAAAGATTTGAGGGAAGTAAACTAGAGCTTGTATCTTCTGATGGAGAAGATTGATAACAAAGTTGAAGAATTATTGAGTTAGGATGACGAAGATAGTTCTTTGGAATTATTGAATGTTTAGGATGAGATAAAGATTCTCTATTAATATTTTCAAAAGTTATAAAAGGATGAATTCACTCCACAACAATATAAAAATAAATTTGAGAAATACAAACAATAAGCTCCCAGACAACAGAAAGTACATTTGCAATCTATCTATGAAGAGACTGAGAATTCTTAATCATCAATGCAATTCGGTAAAGTTGATAAGAAGTTTGTTCCAAATACCAACATAGACAGTCTTGGATTGCAGTATAATCCTGAGTAAATTATGCAAGATTTTCAAATCCAATTAAGCGGCATAACAGAGCAACACGAGAAAGAAAAATTAAAGATCCAATAGGAACATGAGTAGGAAGTATCAAATCTGAAAAGGCAAATACAAGATTCAAATTAGATGAGGATCATGTTGGATAATCAAGTTTAGGAGTTCAAAAGAAAGGAGAACAAATACAAAGAAATTGAGTAGCAGTATATAGACATTCAAAAGAGAAACAATTCATCTTAATCATCAGACGAAGTCAAAAGAATTAATACTACCTTAACTGATTAAATTAAAGCATTGAAATTATCAAATGAATAAATGTAGATTTAAAAGGAAAAAGACAGGAATGATATAGATAAAATGAGAATCCACATAGCGGATTTAAAAGATGAAAAAGAATCCTACAAAGACTAATTAGAAAATCTAAAGAAATAATTGAATAATGAGAAAAATTAAGTGAATAATAGATTACAGTAATTAGAAGAAAGTCATAAATAAGAAATTAGATAACTACAAGAATAAATGAAATTCTCTCCTTATCTTGATAATCATAATTTTGACAAAACAACTAGTAAGGAGATTCCTGATCTTCAGAAAAGATTAGAGAATGAGAAGTCTAGATCTGCAAATTTAATACAGGATCTTAATCACAAAAGTGAACAAATAAAAATACTAGAGCAGGAGTTGAAAGCTAGATAACTAGAATTAGATTAATCAAAAGCTGAGTAAAATATTTAGAATACTGCTTTAAACATAAAAATCTAACAGTAACATTAAGCTGAAATACAAAATTATAAATAATAATATTTATTATTGGAAACATAGAAGAAGATAGAAGAAAATTAGTATAAAGAGAAAATTAATCTCCTTGAATAAAAGTTAAAAATCTAATTTAGTGAAAATGAAAACCTTAGGAATGAAACTTAATTCCTTTAGAACAAAATCTAAGAATTAAATCAACATTTATAATTAGAGAAGACACAATAAAAGTCTGAATAGATCTAAATTGAACCTCAATAGCCATTATTTAATAATAAACTTGATTTGTCTAAGATCAAAGAGACGGGTTTTGAGTATGTCTAAGTATAATCCCCATAGTCAATTTCAAGCAAATAAAATTATTCTTAAGTTGTGAATACAGTAAACCAAAATAAACAAGAAAGACCTCAATCTAATGTTCCCTATTCTGGTTATCTAAACTTTTAAAATTTACAGATTGAGTTTGTTGACAATGTTAAGAATTTATTCATAAGAACTTAATAAATTAAGGTGCCTGTGCAAAGTGAAATGATATATCCATATCATACAGCAGAAGAATACTATGAGAAGAAGATTCGTCCTCATAAAGGGATTGTATTATAATGTAAAAGGACCATACCTAGCATGATTATTAATCAATAAAATTTGCAATTATACAAAATGTACCATTTGAATAGAGTCAATAATACCATTTTTGTTGATAATTAAGATATTAAAATAGCAGTGATAAAATATGTTCAAAAAGTCGGTTCTCAATTTTATATTAACTATGGTATATATTTCAAAACAGACCAACAGAGTTTGAACTTGAAGGCATATGTGAAGAATTTGATAAACTTTGAAACCATATGGACATCACAGCAAGAAATCTAATAAAATTTATAGAGAAAACAACAAATACTTTTGGAAGTCAGTATTAAACTACAACAATCAGAGATCTCTGAAGCGCCAATATTGGAAGTCAATTATAAGTAAAAATATATGATATTTATAATTTAGTAATAAGATCTAATAGGTTTTATTGCCCTTACAAATTCTAAGTTTGATTCAATACCGAAAAATAAGTAAAATTGGATATCAGAGAAAGTGGAAGACTGCCAAGATATACAGATCGGAAGTGTTTGAATACAATACATTAATATTGCCTGATCATAAAGATATCACAAAATTGAATGAATGTTTTTCTATCACAAATCCAGAAAAATTAGATAGTTATGCCCAAGGTTTGGATGAAATTAAATATTTTGCTCAGTTTTAATTGTAATTTTACAATATAGAGGGAATCATAAAATTTGAATTGATGCCTAATCAAAAAATGATTATCTTTGTAGGAGTAGAGAATTCTAAACAGAGTTAATAGATTTAGAGATTGATAAGTATATTTTAGGATATTTTTACCTGATTTCCACAACATTATATTAAACATATATGATTAATAAATGAATTTATTCTAATTAACTAAATAAAGGCGATTATAATATATTTATAATCGATTACAATATAACTAGTAAATGCTATAAATTGGAAACTATGTTATAAATACAAAAGAATCAAAGTCGATCTCAAATGGGAGTGGGAGAATTGATTCATCACAATCCTATGTAATTCATAACATTGATAATACAAAATTGTATTATTACAATGTATTTACAATAGTTAGAATCCCGTTTTTAAGATGGCTCCATTAGAAAATTTTCAGAGTGTGAGTGAAAACAAATATTCGCACATCTTTAGCTCATTCGAATAATCTCCAAGATAAGAAGATCAATAAAACTAAAATTAGTAAGGAAATAAGTAAATCATTAAAAAGAGAGCATTTTCCTTTACAGAACATGAAACCACAAAAAACGAGCATAGATGCAATACATCAGGAGATTTAAGAACCAAGAAGTCATATGTAGTTTTTACAACAAGAATATTGGAAAGCAAAAGAAAGGAACAAGATAAATAGTTGAATGCCGAAACGCCAAAACTTGGAAAAGAGTAGTTATAGGATTCACAATTGACTGTGAAATAGAAAATGGATTATTCACAACCTTCATCTCCTAGAATTCAGGATTTTAAGTTAAATGATAATGCTAGTTTAGAAGCTAAACAAACACAAACAACAGCTTGGGGTTCAATCACAAGTAAGAGCGAGTTGGATTAAATTTTGAAAGATTGCTTGTAGAATTTTGAAAAGAATAAAGCCTAAAAGTCCGATGAATATGTTGCTTGTTTTCTATTTTGATACATAGATATGAATATATTGATATTTAATACATAATCATTTGTTGTCGAATTAATGTTCAGTTGAGTCTTCGCCTGAAGATATCAATGTACTTTGATTAACAATAGTCATGACATGATCTATTATTTCAGCTCCAGACCATCTAAATGAGTATACAATTAAGATTACTTTTGATGTCTCAATTAATCAACATTATGTTTCTCTTCCTTTCTTTAAATATCCTCAACATAGGCCAGCATATATCTCTCGGACAAATCTTTTGAGAATCTTTCACTTTGTAATGCATTCAAATGAAATCCTGCCAACGTAATAAACTAAATAAATAACATTAAATATCAATACTTGCCAAGTATATCCTAACTTCCCCAATTCAGAATTAAAGTTTTTGAGTTCACTGTCTGAGAATCCGAATTTGCTCCAATTAAAACTTGGAGAACAATTGTAGCAAAGGACCTTATTATGCTAGAGTTCAAATTGTAATTCATCAGAGAGTTCCTTAGCAACTTTCAAATCAGGTGTTGAGGTTTCCATCCACAAAGCATCTGCATATTTCAAATATTCCTATTATAGATGATTATAAAATACTTTAGCTCTTATTGCACAATAATGAACACTACTCTTAAGAGCATAGAACCCATCGGGATTTCTACATTATTCCCAATCGAAATCAAGTTCAAATCCTAATCTCTTTGCTAAATCCTTAGCCTTTTTGATTCCCCCAATCTCACATTGGTTCAACCATTAATTAGTGGCTTATATTCTCTTTTCTTTATCAATCATTTGTTCTATTATAAAAACTCCTGCTTCTGGATAAGTGCAAGGTTTATCATGAAACTTAGTTATGCCAAGAATGTATGGTTAATCAATCAAATCTACATTTGTTTCTATGAATCGTGCACCCAAGGCATCAGTTCTTGCAATAATAAATAATTCATTTCCCATCATATCAGCTTAAAGTCTGGACGCTATGAGTTTTTAGACATGAGTGTTAGTAGATGTTACAACTCTTCCAGCCATATGACCGCATTTCTTCAAATCAGGTCTTTAATCCTCCAAATGAATCCCTGCAGCTCCTGATTCAATAAATAATTTTGTCAGTTTCATTACACTGCTTGTACCACCAAATCCTGCATCTGCATCACAAATGACAGGAACCAGATAATCATAAGGTTTTTTTTATTTTCGTTATTCAGCAGTAATTAGGCTTCTTTCATATTACTGCCTTCTGTCTTAAAATCTTTGCATCTACCATCAATTTTATGATTACTTTGACTAACTAATCACATTTCTTAGGCACAGTGTCATATGGATAATCAGCAAAATCAGGTCCTGGGTCATTCGTTGTAGAAGCTGAAGAAGAACATTGCCAACCTGATACATATATTGATGTCATGTATTTCGACATGTTGATAACCTAAACAGTATCTAGAGCTCCACATGCAAGTGAGAATCTATTATCATAATTATTGAATACCCTTTGCTTTTTTTTAAATCCATCATGAGATTATAGAATTTCCTTGCCATGAAATCAGAGAATTGATTAGGCACTATCGATCCTCTTACTTCAGCAACCTATTTAGCTGTGTATGGACGCAGGACATTATTGAAACGTGGACTCTTGAACCAACTATTTGATGAGATTATTATGGATGATTACTTATCCAATTCAATTATCTACTACTGCAATATCTACTCTTCATCATATTGTCCACTCAATTAGGATAATCTATTCATAAATTAAAAATTATTTAGATATAAACTATATGGTAATTGGGAAATTTTTATAAGAATCAAATTATAAGTATATTCCATTGATAAATTTCATTAATGCAAAGATATTAGAATTCTATAATTACTATATGTATAAAATAAGCATTCATAACTTTTTATACTAATTTGAATTACTCAAAATGATTCTATTTAATTCTAGACTAAATTTTATTTATAATGAAGCTTCTTATTAATTTTGTCTCAGAAAATGCTATTTTAATTAAACTAACAAAGATGCATATTAAAAATATAGATAGAATCATTTGACCTTCAAAAATCCTAAAGAATTATATTTATCCTTGTGTAATAAGATGTAAACCTTTTTATAGTTGTAATTACAAGATAGATTGTTGAAAAATTGTTATTATTTAACAAAAATTTGGTTCATCATCCTATTTCTTACAAACATCATAGATCAATCTACAAAATCTTGATCAAGAATTTTCAAAGCAAATAATATTCCCGACATTTATTATTAGGTTAATATTAATAAAATAGTAAATATTTAAATATATTTGAACACTTCTACTGTTTAGACTCAAAAAATTCTTATATAGGTCTTTTAGTAGCGAAGAATAACCCTTGAATTCTAAACAAATTTTTAATTCTATAAACATCATTATCATCCTTTTTGACTCGTAAGACAACTAATAACAAAATAATATTGTAATGTCGAGCCATATTCTTTATTTTCCACTTATATATTATACTATTAGTTTTCGACTGGTCAAGAAATTTTATTAATATAATGAATCTCAATTAAAAAAACATAAAGAAAATATATTTAGGTTAGCAAATATTTAAGAAGAGAGCATCAAAAGTACAATGGTGCACGAATCGAAGCTAAAATTAGTTGTTTCAGTAAAGGAAATTAAATTGGATAAATGTTTGTAATAATTTCAAAAACAGCGTCAGTGATCATTCATAAATGAATTTTGGCTTTAGTTTCGCCTATATGCAATAATATAGTTCCGTTTATATAGACTATTCGATCTGTATTCTTTTCTTAATTCCTTTAAATATTCTTTTTGTCCTTTCTCTTTCTTTGATGCAGAACAACCCATTAATACTTTACAAAAATAAAAAAATACACATAAATAATTCAAAATTACGCTTATATTTTTATATTTAGATATTTAATGTCGAATTTTAAATATGATGTAGGATAAACAAATTTTGTATTTCATTTTAAGATTCATACGCTTAGATTTAAGGTTTTTTTTAAATTCAGAGGTTGGAAGGGGGTACACATTTATTGCTGGATAATGAAAGGTTGAGGTGTTTGTTAGTCGGATTAGATTTATGTGATTGATTATTTAAAAATTTTTTGTGTATTTGCTAAAAATTATTTAAATTATTTCTCATATCACAAAATGAATATTGCCGAGAGATTGCAGAAGGAAGCCGAAAAGAAAAGATTACAATAGGAAGAATAGTTGAAAGTAGGCAATAAGGCCATCAAGGAGAAATATGAAGTGGAATATTAGGAAAACAAAAATAAATTGAGTTAGGAAATCAAGCAAGACATTAAATTAATCTCTCAATAGTATCCTAGTTTCTAAGTAAATTCAATTTACAATTAAAAAGAAATTTGCTTTGTACAAAATTTATAAGCAGTTCGATTTCAATAGAGAGATTGCAAATGAATTCATTAGCATTTAAATCTAAAATCAAAATTAATAAGACAATGGCGATGATGATTGGATTGAAATAACTAGCAAAAGGAAAGCACTCTTTCATAAGATGACCAAATCAAGTGAAAATAATCAGAGGCCAAAGAGATCCTAATCCGTGACTAATAAACAAGAATCGGAAAATAGTCAATAAAGACAACCTCATTAATATGAAAATAATTAAAGAACTTAAAGAAGAAACGCCTCAGGGGATCGAAAGAGAGAAGTTTCTCCAAGAAAATTCAACTATCAAAATAGGAAATATGAAAAATTTGATAATGACAGAAACAACAAATCAGATGGGCGCAGAAATTAATAAGGGAATTAAAAATACAGTACACCATTTCAAAATACGTATTAACCTAAATACATCTATGTACCAAAATACTAAAATGATGACGATTGTCCATATGTGCCTAAATCAGTCATATATTAGACTTAAAATTAAAATTAAACCGTTCATCACCAGAAATAACAAGAATAAAATAAAATTAATGGGAATAATGAAAATACAGAAAAAAGTAATTAATAACCAAGTGAAGATTAATCTAAACAAGATAGATCTTCACATAAATTAAATTAAAATTAAGAAGCTCTGACACAAGAGAAACTTAAATAAGATTCGCTTAAATAATAATAATAAGAGCAATTAAGATAAGAATAATTAAAATAAGAATAAGTAAAATAGGAATAGATTAGATAAGAATAACAAAGACAAGAATAAATTAAATTGGAATAAATAAAGCAGGAGTAAATTAGATAAGATCAAATAAAATAAGAAAAGTTAAGATAAGAATAATTAAAATAAGAGTAAATTAGATAAGAATAATTAAGATAGGAATAAATTAGATAAGAATAATTAAGATAAGAATAACTAAGATAAGAATAAATTAGATAAGAATAACTAAGATAGGAATAAATTAGATAAGAATAAATTAAATTAGATTAGCAATAAAAATAACAATAACAACAATAACAATTGTTAAATTAACCATTATAATTCAATTATTAAAATTAATCTCTGTAACAAGATTTATCCTAATCATAAACTAGTAAATAACAGGTTATGAGTTCGATGTTTGCTCCTTAATTTTAGATAGCTCCTTAAGGATTTATGTAGTAAAATTAGGATCAATAAGGCATTAACAATTAGCCTTCTGTCTATGATATGCTTATGAGTTATATTAATTATGAATGAGGTTAGATAATGATGATTTATTTAATTATACAAGTTGATTCAAAAGTTTTAAATTTATTAAATGAATGAACAGATTTAAGAATTTCTTAACATGTAATTTTCGATAAACAATTATCTGATAATATATATTTTGAAAGCAATGCAAACGAAATAAAAATCTCATCAAATAATCTCCTTCTATAAGTTTATAAATAAATAAAATCATTCGATAAATATCTAATTTTTTCCAATGCAACCCATAAATTAGTTGCTTATCACAATTGCTAAAATATTGGAAGAAATTTTAAAGGAAACAGATCAATTGAGTTTGTAATAGTTATCCGTATTCCATGCCTCGAGAGCACCATCTATATCAATTCAAAGTTATATACAGAGAATTGCAAAATATACGAATTGCAACAGTGCTTGCTTTGTTCTTGCTTTGATATATCTAGATAAAGTGTAGGAAATGCGCTAAGATGTAGTGCTTAATTCAAATTGTATACATAGGTATGAACTTGTAATATTGTGTTGATTTATGATAGTGTCTATAATGGTGGCAATAAAATATTATGACGACGAATATTATAAGAACGAATATTATGCAAAGGTGGGAGGCTTGTCATTAAAGGAAATAAATAAATTGGAGATGGAATTTTTAGATATGTTGAATTACGAATTATATATATAAAATGAAGTATTTGAAGTTTATGAAGAGAGATTAAAATAATATGAAGTAATAGAGATCTGATGAACTTGAGGATTTAATAGATGATTATATTGTTTATGATAATTTAGTAATAAAACACCAGAAGTCTGTTAATTTTAATATTTTATACTTCATTCTTTTTTTCCAATATGATTGTTATAAATTACATTTAGGTTTTCTTAATTTGACATCTACACTAAATTATCGTTCATATTGTGTTCTGAAATATCTACACTTGGATAAGCTTCCATGAATCTATGTAATAATTTCATAAACTCAAATACCTCTGTCTTATACCATCATCTTTGAGGTAGACTCCTGGGAGTTGATTCCCTAGAGTGATCCAATTTGGTCTACAATTATGAGGTCTTCCAAATAATTCAACTTTTTTTCCATTAGGACACATTCTGTTAATAATACCATAAACTTCATCTGGTTTTCTGGAAGTTTCTCTAACTTCTGAGACAATGACATCACAATCTAATCCTTTGATTAATTGAGGATTTCCTTTGATTCCAATCAAACAGTGTTCCTATGAGATAAGATAATAATTTACTTTGCTGTGATTAAGCCAATGGCCAGTTCTTCCTGTTCTGATGATACGATGCAATTGATTCACTTTAATCCAAACCAATTCTTCAACTCTTCTGTAACCCCAAAGAATTAAACATTCTCTTCCCAATTCCATGGCTCTGCCTGTGACCCATAAGAAAATGATTCCATCATTCTGCAATAAATCTACTCTTAGTGCTTTCATTTCCTTGTCTTTTAATGTTCCATAAGGTAAATTCATATGGATATCCCAAGGTGGATCAGCCATAATAACGTCAAATTTTCCAAGGACTCTGAAATCAAAGATTCTCAAATCACAATTAATCCATTGAGGTGGCATACTCTTATGATTAGACAATGCTGTCTAAATTCTTTTTTGCCAATCAACATCATTTCCATCGAGAATGTAATGTATGTATTTACATTATTCTTACTCAGGACATTAATCCAGATATGTACAATTACCTAATTTTGTTTATGTATTTGCTTTGAGTATCTTTCTAAAATGGGTTTTCTGACATTAAACATTTCTACACTTGTCTCTTGTGAAATTTTCACATATTTAAAGTCCTCTTTCTGTAAATTTTCTTTTTGCTTCTTCCTCATCGTAATTTTCAGTTTTCAACAAGGCTGCTCTTTTCCTTTCTAATGCCAATTAAACAACGTTATCTTCATATTTTAAACTAATGTTTCCTACATTTTCAATCAATCTTTTTTTCTAAGCAGCAATCTTTGGCAATAAACTAACATTAGTTTTTTAATTTCTAGCTTCATCCAACAAGTGATCAATTTTGAGAAATGTTTATCCACTTGTAATTGATCTGATTTCCTCTTTAATCCATTCTTCGACTGTAGGCATTTGCTTTGGCTTATCCTTTGAATATTGGATATTCATTTGTCCCAATTTCTCTTTTGAGATAGATAAAATGAAATCCTGTAAATATGTGCCTACAGCAAGTTTAGATAAATTGATTGCTCCAGCCTCCGATAATTAAATTAGAATTGGTTCAATTTAGAGATTTCTCAGATATGGAGTACTTGTTTTGGTCTTAAATGAATGAATTAATGCAATACTAAAAATATTGTGTTTATGTAAGTGTATAATTCACCGCCTGAGATAGGGTAATCAAATTAATCACTCAGCATAAATTCAATAACAACTGCTCTAAATTACTCCTGATTGATAGGAGGAAACCTTAGCACCTCATTCTTTTCTTTGTCTCTTGACCTAGAACGATTTGGATCTCCTTTTACCTTCTTATATTTATCTTTATTCATTAATAATAATATATAATTATATGCTTAGATTCTCATATTCATTCTACCTCCAAATGTAAGTCTGGGTTTATTAATTGAAAGGCATGCTTTCACAAGAGACAAGAGATTTTGATTAGATGATCAATCTATATATATTTAACATATATAAACAGGAATTAAAATCGCTTATTTCAGTCCAAAATATCAATATAAACACTACTTGTTAACTTAAATTGTTTTACTTTTTCAAACTGAAAAATGCGCTGATTAAAATTTTTAGTTCTTTTAATCGAAATTTAATGTTTTTATATGACTATTTCTTGTTCCACTTGATTTACAAGTATGGCTAAGACTGTAAAAACGAATGTGAGTGTATCTAGAAACATTAAAAATATTCATTTTAAAGAGTATTGTGAGAATCTCTATTTGGGGTGACAAAGAATTAAGACATCCCAAAAGAGGAACAGGAGTCAGTTGGTTATTTTTTGAAAATATATGAATTATCTGGAAATAATCATAGTTCAAAAATAATGGAAATACGTTGACAGTTAAAATTTGGAAATTGTCATTATTATAAACCAGAATATGAAGTAAAATAAAACATGGCTTCATCGGATTAATTAGATTTTGAGAGTGTTTTTGATTAAAAGTTTATGTATTATAATCAGTCGAAAAAGAGGTTTGCCCGATGAAGCGGCTCTCCTCCTCAATCATTGATTTCAATCAAGAGAATTAAGGAATTCTTCCAAATCCTTTGTGTCATCTGCAAGAGAGTCTTCCTGTGAGAAGTTTTTTATCATTGGGTTTTGAGCGTCGGCCCTTAAAGTCTCTATAAAACTAAGATCCTCATCAGTCGAACAATCCGATCTTGCACTTTCCATTCTTTACAAGACAGGTTGTGATATCTTAATTGGTTTCAGAAGCCTCTACATCTGGATAATAATAAAATAATTATAATGTTATTTTAATAATAATGATATTCTTTTTCACCTCACTTTTTCGGTAGTGAAATTTGTTTAAACCACATGAAATTTAACCATCCCGCAGGATGTTCACTCCATCAAGACTTCCCACCTTCTCATAATCACTCCTGCTCATGTCACTAATATTACATAAAACTTTTGAAGTTCTTAAATTGGAGTTTTGGGATGAACTCATTTTTTTAATTTTAAATTAATGTATATTTTGAATATTATTTCTAAATTTTCAATCATTCCTTCACTCGCTTCTCAATTTCCTATAGCACCTCCTCTTCTGGAGCTCCATTCATTAAAAATTCATGTTCCAATACTTACTACAATGATATTCTTTTCTCGGGATCGCATTCTAACATTGCCATTATTAGATTCTTGAACTCTTATGGGAATTACTATTGTCTAAATGACTCGCATTTACTCCAGAAAAGATCGAATTGCTTACTCTGGATTAAACCCCACCAGCCATCCTTTACATTGGGGTCATTTGTTTGGAAGGGAGGGAATCCCATCACTACGATAAATAATACTACACCCAAAGCGAAGATATCACATTTAAATAGGTTTACTTATGGACTAACATACATCTCAGGGGCTGTGTAACCAGGAGTACCTCCTGGAGGTCTCAACGGTTCCTTACAGATGCGAGCAAAGCCAAAATCACAAAGTTTCAAATTGTAATCTGCGGCTATTAAGATATTTTCAGGCTTTATGTCACAATGGGCTATCGATGCTGCATGAAGTGTAACAAGCACTTTTGTAAGATAGGCTGCCAAAGTCTTTGCAAATGACAACTGGAAGGGACCTTTTTTCAAGATTTTCAAAAATGTATCATTAGGCATATACTCCAAAAGAACACAAGTGTAATCTTAAGCGTATCCTTTCAACAAAACTATTCCCGTGTGATCTATGCGTTTAAGAATTTGTATTTCGTTCGCTAAATAAATTGTAATTAAACCTGGAGATTTATTATGTGATCCTGTGATAAATTAGTTAGCACTTTTAGAGCAAACATTTCCCCCGTTTTCTTGTGCATAGCCAAATAGACTCTCGCATCATGTCCTTGACCCAAAGGAGGGTTCAAATTCACAACAAAACAAGTTTAGAAGTCTTGCTGAGTGAAAACAAAAATATTGTTTCCAGATTACATAATATATTAGTTCTTGTTTAATTTAAAATTTAAATATTGAAAAATCACTTGATATTTTATCTGCTTTTTGAACACAAAATCTACATACAGCATTCTCAATTATTTATGAAATTTTATTTAATAGTATATCATCCCAAAGTTGATTTCTCACGTTATTTTTCTTATGTATCTAATTCACTTATTTAATGAAAATTACAAATTGAATTTTTGTAAAAATTTTACCTTTGCTTAAAATTCACTTTGAATGAGGAAAGGAACATATCAAAACAGATGATTTTGGTTTTATAGATATTAGGTTAATCGATTTATCTACTTATAAATAAAAGTATATTAAATTTTATTCATCCTTAATAGTCTGATTTTACAAATAAATCAGATTCATAGAATTTAGTTAAGATAATTATTTGAAATGCAAGAGTAGAAAGAAAAATATTAAATAATAATTATTTAAGAAAAACGAAATTCATACTCCTTACTCATATCGTTATTTTGTATAATTTTATTACATTAAAATTGGAAGTGATTAAAGTTTATATCCCTTTGGAGGATGTTATAGTTTTAAGCTAAACACTTTTGGTTTGACAAATGAACCATTTTGTATCTACACTTATTATTAATAGGAAATTGAATGCTATTAGATTGGAGGTTGATAATGTGGCTAGGGTTAAAAGTATAACTAAATTAATATTGTATAATTTACTTATTCTTAATCAAACTATTTAAGTTGTTTGTTTTATTTTCTGATTGAAAACTTCTTCTCGTTTTTTTAATCTTGAATGGATTTAATTTACATTAATGGAGATAGATTTGATAGAGAATTTTATTGACTCATTTAAATCATCTAAAAGCTAGAATTATCCTATTTGCTTTCCGCTCTTCTAAATTAAATTAAATCAATAAGCTAAATTTCTGGAATTCTCTTTTCAGCAAAATTGTATAAATCTTTGAGTGATTCTGATTGTTGATAATCCTCATAGGTCACAAAATTATCTGGCTCAAGCTGAGGTTAAGATTAAATAGGTTCTGGTCCTTATTATAGAGTTTAATCTGGTTCTTCTTAAGTGACTTCTTAATCAGCCTTCGTAGTTTTGGTAGGATATAAATTGGTGTTGACTTTGCTTTAGACATGCTTATACAATTAGCTTTTCTAATTCAGAATTGGTTTCTAAGAGCAAGATTGCGGTTTAGGCAACTCAGCAATCGTATCCCTTTTCATGTTCCTTCTTATATCTAGTAAGAATATAAATGAGAAGTACTTGCTCCAGTCCAATCTTCATATAATTTCTAAGCATGTTGTAAGTATTCATCATATGATTTATCACATGGATATATCAATTCAAAATCTCCTTTATTTTTTGACTCATATTCATCTCTCTCTTTTTAGGCCTACATTTTGAGGACTCTCTTCTCCTCATATGATAATTTAGTCTTTTTTCCAGTAAGAACACGTTTTTGCATTTGATCCTTCTTTTATGAGATGATATCATTCTTTGTTTTGACATTGATATTCATTAATGTGATAGCATCTCTGATAAGATTCTTTTTAATATAGGAATCCAAAGGAGTATCAGTAGTAAAACTAGGAGTGTGATTGACTTCCAATAAATATGGTTTAAGTGAACTATCAATTAAAATATCGAAACCAAGAATTTCAAAGCACATATTGTTTGCGTAATTTTCTATTTATGTATAGTTTTATTATAATATTGGTTGAACGGCACAAAACGTTTTAATTATTAAATCCTTGATATCACTCAACAATTAATCTACATTTTATTTCTATATAACTAGTTATTAAATATACTTAAGTTCTTAATAAATCAAAGACACTCGTCATACTTCTTTTATGTCCAACATCCATTTTCTTTTCGTCTTCATTGAATACGAAATTAGGATTGTCTTTATTTATAGCGTAATTGGTGAGATGCATACAAGCGTCATCAAGATTAGTTGAATGAGGAGAGGAATATAATTAAGTGGCAAATCTAGCCAAACCTTCCTTATATAAGTAAATTCTTAATGGATCACAGCCACAAATCATTACATACATTCTTAAGTCAAATTTTAATCCATCTATCAGTAACGGTTTATGAATATATCTTTGAGCGACATAATGTTCTTGGGGATTGATTGAATCAATGGATCGAGTCAAAAATATACCTTTAATTATCATTTGATTGAATACCCTTCCCTTAACATGATGCTTCTGGTTTTACAATAAAGGTCTTTGCTTTCCCCTTTTGAAACTAGGCCTTGAAATCTCCATATTCGCTTGGAAGCATCCAAGTTCTCGGATAGAAATCATATTCATCTGGATATTATTTTTGCATTTTATTGAGATTACGACCAAGGTGATTTTTTCTTGCCAATGAATACATACCTGGAAAATGATTAATTCTTTAATGAGCTAATAAAAAAAAATAGAACTATACGTTGCATTTTAGAGAGAGTTTCAGGTAGTACAGCATTATCAGTCCAACAAAAGTCCCAATTATTATTTTCAAGATAAGGAACATAAGACAATTTAAACTTGTAAATCATCTTACCAACAAATTTAACAACAGGATACTAAGTGTCTATTTAATGATATACTAAATACCTGAAACATTCATTATTAACTTCTTGCTAGAATTTACAACTTTCTTTTTCTTCTTTTTTATTTAAATTTGTTCTTCCTCGCTCTCTGACTCCTATGATACTTCGTCATCGTCTGCTTCACTATCCTCAAAATCTCCATTAAAAGGCATTTCTTTTTCCTATTTCATTTTTTTATATACAGTTATTAAAATAATAATAATGCTTTCAGAACCCTTTGTTTTACTAAAGAATTATCGCTAATAGCAAGATGCCTTATAATTGACATAAAAGAAGAAATTGATACCCATTCAAAAAAAGCTAGTTAAGAAAACTCATGTACCAAATAGATTGCAGAATGAAAAAGAAAGAAACCCTTAAAGGAGTCAAATTTAGCCTGATTAATCCATAGAACCTTAGATTCAAATGCAATTCTATTCAGATGATCAAATAAACGAAGATTAGTATTCTCCTCTCCTATTCAATGAGATCAAATTCTCTTTTCATGACTCATTTTGTGAGAACATAAATCTATCAGACGAGGCATTTGAAATTTGAGATGGCTATTAACTAGAGAATCTAGAAAATTACCAAAATGAATTAACATAATAAGATTAATCAAATAGTTCCTTTTTGCTTCTCAAATAAAAATATCTTTATTAAAAGTTCTCAACTTGATTTCTAAACCATTCAAAGTTTGAATCATTATCATTTGAGATATTACATGTTATTTAAATATAAACAACATAATAAATAGAAGTTCTATAATTAGATCAACAATCCTTCAATTTTTGTAATCTAAATAGATAGATGAGTTTATGAAACAAATGAAGAATCAGATGTTATTCTAAACTAATCAATCTTAGTTATTAGGTAATCATTAAACTATACAGAATTCTAAGATGAATTCGATTCATTATATATATAAAGAAATGTAAAAATTAATGTTTAACACTTAGTTAAATTATCATACTGCTTTTGTGTTTATATATCTATATGAGACACAGAATAAATGGAATTGGGATGCTATAAAGTAAATATGAAAAGAAGCTAGATAGGATTGTAGTGTGGATTAATAATATATAACATGGTTATGTTAATTTGAGATTTAAATTAAATCTTTTTTTTTAAAAAGTATTATGATTATCTAGGTGGGTCACCTTAATGGAGAGGTGAAAACATACAACTTAGCAGACTAGAGTACTGCGAGTTAATTAATGAATATTTTGAACTCCGAATTGGCATGTGAAGTTCAATTGGTTTAATGTGGTGAATTAGTGAGTGCATCATCAATTTTGGCTGGAGAGAGAATCTATTATGTCACAGTCGATGCTGAAGGAGGAAAGAAAAAGAAGAAGAAGAAGAAGAATTTCGCAAAGCCCAAGAAGAAGAAGCACAGACACCGAAAGGTTAAGTTGGCTACTCTTAAATTGTACAATGTTGACAACAAAGGAGTAGTTTAAAGATCACATAAATAATGTCCTTAATGTCCTTAAGGCGTGTACATGGCTAAACATTTCGACAGACATTATTGTGGAACTTGCCATCAAACCTTTAGAATGGATGAGGCAACAGTAATTGTTAAATTTTATATCTAAGATTAAAGCCAACTTAGAAGCAATCAAAAAATAACAAGCTGCCAAAGCTGCTGCCGCCGCTGCTAATGCCCCAGCTGGTGGTGCTGCCGATAAAGGAGCTGCTGGAGGAAAAAAAGGCAAGAAGAAGTGACATATATTTAGTATATTAATAAATTATGCAATTAAGTTCATCCATTTCTACAATATAAGTTGAAGAAGATAATAATCTCTTTCCAGCTAATCCAATGATTGGATCTCATATATAATAACCCATTGATCATAGTTCACCAGAAATTCGTTTGCTTTGTTTGGCTTAATCAAATGACTTGGAACAATTTTCCAATTTGTTAACATCAAGACCACTTGATCTATCAGCTATCTAGAATAGCAAAGGATTTACTGTTCTACATTATGCGTGTTTCAATAATAGTTATCAGATGTGTGAAATAATAATAAACCATTAAGAAAGAAGAGAGAACAACTCATTAAATATGGAGAATTTTATCAATTCTGCCACAATTGATAAGTATACTCCATTGCATTTTGCTGCTTATCGAGGAAATCTACAGATTTTGACTCTTTTAAAATTAAAAGGAGCCATTTTAAAAGCTACAAATAAATAAGGTTTAAATATTATGCATATTGGTGCCTAAGGAGATCAACCCATTAGCATTGTATTTGCCCTTGCTAATGGAATTAAATTAATTGATTCCGATCTAAATGGAGGCACTGCCTTGCATTGGGCATGCTATTATGGTTAGGAGAGCTCTGCTAATTACTTGCTACCATTAATAGAATAAAAAAAACCATATTATCCACTAAACTCTCTAGACTCTCATCAATACACACCCTTACATTTGGCTGTTTAAAGTGGAAATACTAAATTAGTTAAGAAATTGTTAATTTATGGGGCTGATAGGAAAATAAAAGGGTAAGGTAATAAAACTCCTGCTGATATTGCTCAGGAGAATGATTTTAAAAACATATATAATCTCCTTACAAAAAAACGTAGTTTCCTCATCTCATATTTTAATCTGAAATAAGGTCTAAAGAGAGTAAGGAAAAATGGATTAGAATTAATGAGATTTGGTGGATTCATGATTTTTCTTTTGGTATCTTATTTATTGTATATGGTCGATGATTTCATACCAATAGTCCCAGATTACATTTTCTTTGGAATTACTTTACTCTTTTTTATTTTAATTGTTTGTTCTAATCCTGGCTATCAAATTAGAAGAAAAGAACCACTCTATACGTTAATAACAGCCTTTAATCACCAAGACATATGTCCAATTTGTAATGTCGTGAAATTACCAAGAAGTAAGCATTGCGACATTTGTCAACGATGTGTTTTGGTTTATGACCATCACTGCCCTTGGATTAATAATTGCGTAACATCCATATATATTCACTAGGTTGGAGCACAAAATCATTTGATTTTCATTTCCTTTTTAATTTCATTGTTAGCATCGCTTATTTATGCTCTTTTCAAAACTATATCCCAATGTTTGGTTGGGAATTAGAATGAATTAGAGATATTTGATGAACCCTTAATATTTTGGGCTGTCTTATCTATCAATATTCTAATCGAAATTATATTTGCATCAGGAATCACACTTCTTCTTTTGACTTAGATCTAAAACATATTTCTTGGTCAGACTACTTTTGAGAGATTTGCAATTCAAAATTAATCTGTTACTATGAGATCAGACATGGGCAATTCAAATAACAGTTCATTAATTGAAGTTGAATCACCCTCTTAAAAAAGAGATCGATTCGTCCGATGTTCATGTAAAAATGTCTTCAATTTCTTAACAAATGGAGCAACACAGAGAAAAAAAGAATAAGCTATTAGAATTTGATGATTTTTATTTTGTATTTTAGTAATTCATTTTATTTGAAAACAAGAATATAATTTCTCCTTGTTATTATATTTATTTTTGCGATTCACTCAAATATAATTAACTTACATTAGCTATATAAATTCATTCAATTGAAAAAAGATTTCTTGAAATAAAAACATTGTTCAGACAAATTCTAAAATCAATTATTCGCAATAGAATCATATTATAATATTGTTTACACTTATATCATATGTTCCTTACTGAAATTATTGGGTGATAGATAATAAATGATATAGACATTGTTCTGTTATTCCCAATTTAAACAACCACTATTTTTTACACTCTAGACTTGGGTTTACATTATTGACAAATTTTAGAGTGCAAAAACCCAGTACAGAATTTAATTACGCGTTTATCGGATAAAATTGATTGGCATAATACATATAATTATACATATTGGATGTCTAATAAGTTATTCTTGCCAATTTGGCGAATTTATATGATTAATTTTTCATAATTATTCTGAGAAATGTTACATATTAAGATTTAATTCAAAATTCATTTTTGTTGAGGGTTATTTATATAAATAATAAAAATGAGTAGACAAAGGGTAAACTCCAAGTATTGATATAATTCTCATAATTAGGTCACCTACCGTAAACAAGCAAATTAGGAAACACAGCAAGGATTCAGATTCAAGTTCTTCAGAAAGAAGGTATGGAAAATTTTGGAAACCAAATGAGGATGCACTTTTGATTGAATTACACTCTAAATTCAATGGAAATTGGGGTTTAATCGCTGGGGAAATTCCTGGAAGAAACTTAAGTCAATGTTAACAAAGATGGAAGCGTATAAATCCAAATAAGGTTGGATTTTAAAGTTTATATATTTATAGACCAAATTACGTAAGCAGTGGAGTGATGAAGAGGACAAGCGAGTGATTCTGTTTGTTCAATAATATGGTCGAAATTGGAAAGTTATAGAAGGATTTATGGAAGGCAGATCAAGTAAGTAGATTAGAGAGAGGTTTTTAAATAATTTGGATCCCGAGATCAACCATTAAAAGTTTACTCCCTAGGAGGATAAAATAATTTTAGAATAGTATCGAATTTATGGTCCAAAATGGAGTGAGATTGCAAAGATGTTGGATAGAAGACCTGTATTATTGTATTTAAACTTAGGAAAACCAAGTGAAGAATAGATTTTATTCGTTTATTAAGAGGGTGCACATGTTGGAGGAGAAATCGGACGATGATGATGATGATGGGAATTCTTCGTTTTCCGAATAACCCAATATTCCTCAGCCAATTCCTATTTATCAGCCTTTGGAGACTATTTAATCAATCAAAGAGGAACATGACAATACAAAGAACGATTCAATAAGAAACGATTCATTTATGAACATTCAAAATCGTACACCATCGCACAGAATTCAACCATCAATTAATTTAATTTAAGGATTAGATTCTTTTGATTCAAAGTAATTTGAAGGGATTCATTCGCAAGACATTTCTCCTTTTCATTAGAGAAGAATATTGATGGACTATAGTCCAATTAATTTTGAGTATGCACATCATCATCCAAATTTCGATAATGTGTAAGAGGATGTGAGAGAATTGAGAAGTTAGATAGAATGTATAAGTTTGGAAAAGATTAATTGAAGTTTTTAATTTATTTATTATTTATTTAATTATTGCTTTTAGCAAAACAAATATCATAATTTTATCAAATTTAATTTAAATTCATTTACATAAATAAAATGAAAACTCGCGGGTAGAAACCAGAACCCCAATATGCATATCAATACAAAAAAGATTAAATATTGGGACAGAGCGAAAAAGGCAAGCCTCTTTTGTATAAAGTGGTTGAAGATATGAAAACCAATGATCATAGATCTCAATTAAGAGTAGTTAAACTTGAGCAATAAGAAAAGTTGAAGGATGGCAAAGTAGTTTATAAGGAGGCTGAAGAACTTTTGTTACCTGTAAAAGAGCGCACGTAATGATATAATATTTATTGTAGTAAAGTAGTTGATGATGTAGAAGTAAATTCTACAAAACCAAATCCAAGAAGCAAGACAGCTGTTACTTTTTTCACTTTTCCACAAGACACACTCTAAGAAATAGCAAAAAGTATGAAATAGCTTCCCGCCAATACAAAACAATAAAAAAAATAAGTCAGCTCTGAAAGCGAGGATGAGGAAGAGGAACCACCAAAAAAATACACAATCAAAAAGGGTTAAAAGCAACAAGTAGAAACTTAACCTGAAAAAAAGGTTTTGAAAGGCAAGAAACAAAAGTAATAAAAAGTGGAAGAAAGTGATTAAGAGGATGATGAGGAGAATGAAGATGAAGAGGAGGAGGAAGTAGTAATCAAACCATCTAAAAAAGGATCTGTTTAAAAATCAACTAAAACCAAAGCAGAAAATAATTAAAACTAAAAAGTAGTTTAAAATTAAAAACAAAAAATCACCAAAAAGAAAAAGTAGGAAGAGAGTCAAGAAAGTGAGTAGGAAGATGAAGAGGAAGAAGAACCAGAAGTTAAGAATGTAATTAAAAAAAAATAAGTTAAAAATACACCTGCTCCAAAATAATCATAAAAAGCTTAAGATGCTTCACTTATATTAAAAGACACTAGAAAAAGAGGAAGAGCATAAACACAATAAGAGGAAGAGGATGAAGAAGAAGATGAAGAAGAATAATCAGTCTCCTAATCTCTATCCTAATCTTTTTCTGTTGATAGTAAACGAAAGAAAGGAGGTAAAGGCAGTACTACTAGGAAATCCAAATCTTAACCTAATTAACCAGGAAAATTTATAAGAGGAAAAGTAAATCCTAATTACAGAGATTTGAGAAATATAAGTGACCAATATGAAGGACCAAGTTCAAAATTCCATGATTACACTAGTGTTATTATGAACAATAAAGAATTAATTAGAGCTGCCAGAACAGGCAATAAAAAATTACTAGAAGATATATTTGCCAATTCTTTGAAGATAAGCAGTCTTTTTACAAGATGGGGACCTGAAAATGAAATAAATGCTTTAGAATTGATCTTCTAAAGATAAGATAAAGCTATGCTCTTGTAATTTATTAAATCTATCGGTAAAATCAAATTAGGAGTTACTCCAAGATGCTCCTTAAAAGAAGTAAATACAGGTTATAATGACAAATATGCCTATGGAGTTAGAACCAGAAAAGTTGCTATGAGTAGAGGAGGAAGGGAGGGCAACAATGCATTTGTTTATGATTTAAATCAAGAAGATTGTCTCGGTCGTTACTAGATTGAAAGATTGATGAAAATTGAAACTGATCCTGAACTCTTTGGTTTAATGATAGCATAATTAGGTGATGAGCACTCGTATTACGAATTGATTGCAATGGCTGTAAGATGTGGTAATTGGAGAACTGCTGGTTATTTAGTTTCATAAGCTATGGAGAAAGGCCATATGTATGGATATAATTAAGTACATGTCGATGTCTTAAATCATACAAGTGCTAGTCGTATTGGCAATATCAAGAAAGCATCTGCAACCAAAAAGACAATTGGAATGTATTTGATAACCCCTATTCATTGTGCAGCCATTAATCCTAATCATGGTTGTTTACAAAAATTGATTGAAATTTCATAAGAATTTAATATATTAGATGAAATTCACAGAAAACCTGTTCATTACGCTGCTGTTTCATAAACAAATGATTGCTTAAAGTATTTGTTAGAGAATGGTATTGATGCCAGAGAAGGAGATCGATAAAAAAATACTCCCCTTATGCTTGCTGCCTAACACGGAAGAACACATAATGTCGAACTTTTAGCTGCTAATAATATTGGTGGTAAGAACAAGGAGGGAAATGCCGCACTCCATTTAGCTTGTTTTGGAGGTCATTTAGAAACAGTCAAAACACTCTTATAACATGGAGCTCTAATTAATTAACCTGGTGCACTTAGAATGACTCCATTAATGATTGCAAGTGCATATGGGCACTATGATTTGGTTAAGTACTTGATTGAATCAGGAGCTAAAGTGATAAGCAAAGACAAATTTGGAAGAACTTCTTGTGCGATGGCTGCTCGTAATGGTAACGTGAAGATTTTGTCACTTCTTCTTTATTATGGAGCAGAATACAATATGCCTGATTCATCAAAAAATACTCCTCTTCATTATGCTGCTGCTTACGGATTCCCTGAATGCATTGAAGAATTAATGAAAGCTGGGGCAGACTAGAATTTGCCTAATTCATGGAAGTTGACACCATTGTCTGTGGCTCTATAGAAGAATCATTTGGGTGTAGTCAAGACTCTCTTGAATTATCCTAGTACTGATGTGAATTGCAAGGATGATGAGGGAAGAACATTAATTTCTTCAAGTTTGAGTCGATTTAATGCTGATTCTTTTGAATATATGAAATATCTGATTCTTGAGAAAAATGCTGATGTGAAAATAGCAGATTTATAGGAGAAGACTCCTCTACATTATGCTGTGTAGATATCTAGAAAGAATGTTAAACAATACTACTAAAAGTGGAATGAGATGACAAAAGCAGAGAAAAGAGATATTAAAAATAATTATGAAAAACTATTAGGAGAGTTGATTGAATTGTTAATCAATGCTGGTGCAGATGTCAATGTGCCAGATGTCAATGGATAGACCCCATTTATACAAGCATTGATGAGTTAGAATTTCAAAACAGCAGAATAAATTATGAAATTAGCTACTCCAAAATTCGATTATGTTGATAACAAAGATAGAAACATATTACATAAACTTATTGAGTGCAAGTTATTTTTGAATCCAAAAGGAAATACTATTTTAGAGAATGTTATTAAAACAGTTGATTAATCCTACATTAATTAATATGATGAAAATGGTTGGAACCCATTATTATATTTGATATCAGAATACACTAAGTCTGCTGAACAATAACATGATAAGATTTACATTAAGAAGGTTCAGCAACTATAAGTTAAGTTATTTGAATAGAAAGTTTCTGAATTACCCCCAGAGAAAGATTAAATAGATGAAGAAAAGAAGCATGATGAAGAAGCTGATTAAGAAAGAGATTAGAGTAAAGCAGGAGAACATGAAGAATATAGTGATGAAGATAGAAGTGAAGAAGAGGATGAAGAAGAAATTCCACTTAGAAAAAAGTAGAAAGCATTTAAAAATCCAGCCTTCATCCCAGCAAAAACACCAATGGCAGCAGCTCCTACTCATATAGGTTCACTTGTGGCTTAACCATCTTTGTTTGGTAATCCGTTTGGCAGTCAAATTAATAATCAATTTGGCGCATCATTTGGTTTATTGTAATAATAATAATAATATTAATTATAACAATAATAATAATAATAATAATAATTAACTTCAACAGGTGGACTTGGTGAAAATGTTTTCAATCAAAGAACTTTTTATTATAACAACAAACCAATTATTGTTCATTTAACAAAAGAATAGGTGGATGTGTTAAAATAAGAAACGCTCTAAGCCTCATTTTTATTACAAGAGACAGTTCTAAAATTGTTCCAATAACTAATTAATATGGGAGCAAAATCCAATAGTGTTGTGATAAAAAGAAAGAAATTTAGAGAGCCAGATGAAACTTAACAAGATGTTAAAGAGGATCCTTACATAAGTGAAGGTAACTACGCTATTGCGCATTTTTTGTTTAGATCATTTCATAGTGTTTCTTTTCTTTAGGGATTATAAAGAATTTCCAACATCTCATTCAAAGTAGCTACTCATAATGATATACACCCAATTCACTTATTTGCTGGCTCATGCAATCTATTTGCAATCTGTGGCAGAGAATAAGAAACTAGTGAAACATTCTTAAAATATGTCCTAAATCACATCGATATCAAAGTTAAGGATGGAAACTTCAATACTCCCATTAGCATATTAGCCTCACGCTACTATGGGGATTTGAACTGGTTTATTGAGACATTATTAGAAAATGGAGGGTGCATTGATAACTTAAACAAAAGTAATGAAGTTCCTCTTTAAAAGTGGGTTAAAGCCAATAATATCAACATTGTTGAACTATTTTTGACTAAATTTAAAGCTGATCCAAATTTCAGAGATAAGTATAAAAGAACAGCATTGCATCATGCTATCAATTCATCTAATTCTCAAGCAGATGCTAGTTTTGAGATGGAACATCTTTTGATTATGAATGGAGCTGATACCAGTGCAATTGACTTTTTATAAAGAACTCCTATATTCTATGCCTTCACAAAGATTAACAAACAAAACGAATTCTCTGAAATCGATCCTTTCGAAACAGTCTCCTCTATTTTAGCAGATAAAAATTGCTCTGTAAATTGCTTAGACTTTTATAAAAGATCTCCTTTGCATTATGCTGCTTTGAGAGGTAGTGTAATTTCTGGCAGATATATGATTAAAATGAATGCTGTTGTAGATGATGTTGATAAATATGGGAATACACCCTTGGGTCTAGCCTTCATCAGTGGACATTCTAATTTCTGTACTATGCTTATTGACAATAAGGCCAATGTCAATCGAGATGCAATTGTTATTGACAGAGAAAAGGTGAAGCAAGAAGAGAAACGATTAAGACAGGAGAGAAGAGATAAAGGAGAAGAAATAGAAACAGAAGATGAAGGAGAATCAAATCCAGTCGAAAATGATGCTCATAACAACACATTTAATAGTGGTGGTCTATTCTTTGGTAATAGAATTTAAACATCAGCAAAAGTAGCAACCAGAAGTGCATTTGGATAGAATAATTAACTAAATTAATTGCCTTAACCAACTAAATTCCCTGCTGGAACTTATTCATATTTTAAATTAGCAATCAAATAAGGATGGCAAGGTGTTGCATACTTATTGATCACTGATGGATATGATCTTCAAAGAGCCATCGAAGATGCAATGATGGAAGATCAATTCAAATTAGTTAGAACCTTACTCTTGAAAGTTAAGGAGGATTCAGTTGTTCAAAAGTATAACCAAAACCATTAAAATCTATTCCACATATTTGCAATTAAAGGAAGAAATTGTGGATAAGATATGGCAATTCTGATTGCAGAAGAATTATCCAGAAGGGGAGTCGATAAGGCATCGACTGATAATCAAATGAATACTCCATTACATTATGCATGCAAAAATGATTTCCTTTAAATGATTAAATATTTCTTGCATAGGAATGGTGATCCTAATGCTTTTAATTCTGACAAAAACACTCCCTTCTCAATAAGACTGCAAAATAACTATAAAGTTTTTGCAGATTTTGTGGAAATGGGATTATGGACAAGCAGTAATGTTAATTTAAATATTAAATTTAAAGTTAATAAGAAAGATTATTCACTTACTCCTTTGTTATATTTAATCTAGGAATATCACGTAGAAGATGAAATCCTTCTCACTAAATTTACTGATGCAGGTTGTGATATCAACGAGAAAACTGAAAAAGGAGAAACCTCTTTAATCCTTGCAATTAAGAATAACTCTTTGAAATTAGTTAATTTCATTCTAAATCATCCTAAATTTAAGAAAGAAGCCCATATTTAAGATCAAAATAAAAGATCACCTATTCATCACGTTGTTTAGCCTTTGGAATTTGGTTCTTATGAAAATACTGAGATGTTAGAAATCTTAGGAAAGGTCTTTGATGTGAATCTCATTGATAGCCATGGAAAAACAGCTTTAGACTATGCTGTTGATTAGGATTCTGGTGTTATGGCAGGAATTCTTAAGAATTTCTCAGCTGTCAAGAATGTTAAGTCTAAATAACCGAGACTTCCAACTAGTGTAATTTCTTAAGCTTAATGGGTAGAAGAGGAAATTGATGTAGAGGCTGATGCCTAAAAGTTTTTGGACTTAAATGGAGAATAGTTGGAAGATTCAAAGTAGGATTTTAAAAATTAAGTTGATCAATATGCTGTTCTAACTGGAAAACTTGAAGTTTTAGTAGACAAGGAAATAGGTCCATACTCCTTATTGATGACCAAAGTTGATATTGGAAATGGGCAATACTCAGAAAATGTGTTTTATAAGATGTAGGTCTTGCATGAAATCAATCGAAATGTTTATGTCTTATTTACTAGATGGGGCAGAATAGGAACTGGAGGATAACATTAATAAACTCCTTTCGAAAATTCTGAAGAAGCAATTAAAGAATTTAATAAGATCTTTTACACTAAAACGGGTGGCAATGATTGGAGAAAGATTAAAACTGGAGAAGAAGAATTCGTTAAAAGACCTGGTAAATATCAGTTAATGAATGTGAAAAAGCTGAAGAACTACAAATCTCTATTGAGTCCTTTCGATTTCAGTAAGACTTCTCCTTATCCACCATGCAAGTTGGATAATACTATAAAGAGATTCATTTTGTAGTTCATTCAGGTCAAATTATATTAAAAAGATTTACAATAATTCCATGTCGATATGGACTTCTTGCCTATTGAAAGACTTGATAGAAAATAATTGGAAGTAGCTAAAGCTATTCTTAATGAATTAACTGACAGTGTTGAAGAACTAAAATAACTTAGATCGAAGGGAGACTTGGATATTAAGAAGATATCTAGTATATCATCTGAAATAGCTGATAAATCAAGTAGGTTTTATGAACTAATCCCAATGGTTGAGTTAAGAACAGAGCCTCTGCCTCCTCTAGATTCGATTGAAGGAATTAATCAAAAGCTATTGCTAATTGAAACTTTGCTCAATTTTGAAATCACATCAAAGATTCTTATGGGAGCTCACTTGGTAAAATAATCCTTAAATCCACTCACGTATTGTTTCAATGCACTTAATGTGAGAGTCATTACTCTCCCTCGAGAACATCCAGAATTTAAGTTGATTGATTAATATATAAATCAATCCGCAACTCCTAAAATATCTAACATATTTGCAATTGAGAGAAGAGGAGAAGCAGAAAGATTTGAAAATAATAAACAACATAATAGATTATTACTTTGGCATGGCTCCAAAATTTCCAACTTTATGGGTATTTTAGCCTAAGGACTCAAAGGTAAAATTATAAGTTTAACTATTAGTTGCACCACCTTGGGCTCTCAACACAGGATCAATGTTTGGAAAGGGAATCTACTTCGCTGATATGTTCTAAAAGTCTTTTGGCTACACAGACGATTGGTCCCTACATTATAATGCCTATAATGGTCTATTCTAAAGCGGTGGACATTGGAATAGATAATAATAAGTAGTTAAAGATGAATAAGAAGAAATTCAAAGATATAGATACATGTTACTTTGTGAAGTTGCTGTTGGTAAATCATAAGAGCTTTACCAAGCAGATAATGTTCAAAACTTACCACGTAATCTAGCTATTTTTATCGTTAGAACAATATCAATCCGTGAAGGGATGTGGAAGAAGAGGACCTGATTACAAATAATCCGTTATTCTATCAAATGGATGCAAAGTTCCTGTTGGATAGTGCATAGATTATCCAGATCCTAAAAAGAAAGATAAAGATGGCAATCCAATCTAATACTATTTATAACACAATGAATATATAGTATACGATGAAACCAAGGTTAAATTTAGATATATGGTCTAATTGGATACCAAAGATACGGTTGACGAATATTGAGTTTCTAATTTCCATATATTTTACAATCAAATATTAATTCTAAAAATTAAGAAAGAAATTATTAAAGAACTATGAAATATATCGACAAGTTTACTTTTTTTATTTAAATCAATAAATAAAAAAAAGTTTGTTCATATTCAAATTCTCCTGTTAGGAATTAATGCTTTCAACATGCCATCTTATTCTTTTCTTTATTTTTTGCTCACTTTTTAAGTTAATTGTAGCAATGAAGGATCAGCGTTGTCTAGAATTAAAATTTTCATATACCTGGTTCATATTTCAAGCAGAAGCAAACCTTCTTAGCGTTTGGACTGTCAGAAGGGGATCCTCCGTGAGCTAATTAACTCAAATATTATCCTAAAGCACACATAATATCAGCTGCATTGGTTGCAGTTATTTCAACAGTTTCTTAACATCTAATTTCATTATAATTATAATTACTTTTCTTCTTATTCTTCTGGTTAATCTGGACTTTCTTCAGTCTAATCAGCTGGAGTTTCTCCTCCTTCTTCACCTACATCTTCTTCACCTACTTCTTCTTCGCCTACTTCTTCAGCTCCTTCTTCACCCTCTGCTGCTACTGATTTGGATGGGGTGGTTGTGCTCTCTTCACCTGCCTCCTCACCTTCTTCCTCACAAGCTTCTTCACCATCCTCAGGTAAGCTTGGAATTGAAGAAGTTCCATTTTTATTTGAAGGAATATCTCCTGGGAATTCATTTTCTTCTTCTTCAGGTAGCCATTCTTCTTCTTCTCCAGCTTAAGGTGTTGCAGGTTTACTGTGTGGTCTACTTCTTGGTTTACTTGGTCTACTTCTTGGCTTACTTCCTGGTTTATCTCCTTCAACTGGAGTTTCTTCTTCTTCAGGTAACCATTCTTCTTCCTCTCCAGCTTAAGGTGTTGCAGGTTTACTGTGTGGTCTACTTCTTGGTTTACTTGGTCTACTTCTTGGCTTACTTCCTGGTTTATCTCCTTCAACTGGAGTTTCTTCTTCTTCAGGTAACCATTCTTCTTCCTCTCCAGCTTAAGGTGTTGCAGGTTTACTGTGTGGTCTACTTCTTGGTTTACTTGGTCTACTTCTTGGCTTACTTCCTGGTTTATCTCCTTCAACTGGAGTTTCTTCTTCTTCAGGTAACCATTCTTCTTCCTCTCCAGCTTAAGGTGTTGCAGGTTTACTGTGTGGTCTACTTCTTGGTTTACTTGGTCTACTTCTTGGCTTACTTCCTGGTTTATCTCCTTCAACTGGAGTTTCTTCTTCTTCAGGTAACCATTCTTCTTCCTCTCCAGCTTAAGGTGTTGCAGGTTTACTGTGTGGTCTACTTCTTGGTTTACTTGGTCTACTTCTTGGCTTACTTCCTGGTTTATCTCCTTCAACTGGAGTTTCTTCTTCTTCAGGTAACCATTCTTCTTCCTCTCCAGCTTAAGGTGTTGCAGGTTTACTGTGTGGTCTACTTCTTGGTTTACTTGGTCTACTTCTTGGCTTACTTCCTGGTTTATCTCCTTCAACTGGAGTTTCTTCTTCTTCAGGTAACCATTCTTCTTCCTCTCCAGCTTAAGGTGTTGCAGGTTTACTGTGTGGTCTACTTCTTGGTTTACTTGGTCTACTTCTTGGCTTACTTCCTGGTTTATCTCCTTCAACTGGAGTTTCTTCTTCTTCAGGTAACCATTCTTCTTCCTCTCCAGCTTAAGGTGTTGCAGGTTTACTGTGTGGTCTACTTCTTGGTTTACTTGGTCTTCTTCTTGGCTTACTTCCTGGTTTATCTCCTTCAACTGGAGTTTCTTCTTCTTCAGGTAACCATTCTTCTTCTTCTCCGGCTTATGGTGTTGCAGGCTTACTGTGTGGTTTACTTCTTGGTTTACTTGGCCTACTTCTTCTTGGCTTACTTCCTGGTTTATCTCCTTCAACTGGAGTTTCTTCTTCTTCAGGTAATGGTCCATCTTCAGGGCTAAATTCTTCCTCTGGCCAGAATTCTTCTTCCTCCCCAACCTCAGGAAGGTCTGTGGGAGTAGTATTATTTTTTTCACCGCCTTCATGTGATTCTTCTTCTTCAGCTGGTTCTTAAAGTTCCTCTTCAGCTTGTGTTGTTGTAGTTTCTTCAGTTTCAGTCTCAGTCTCTTCCGCTGGTGTCTCCTCTTCTTTTCCAGGATCTGGCAATGGTTCATCTGTAGGGGTATCAGGAGTAGTTGGATCTGCAGGCTTGGTTGGTGTTTCTGGTTTATCACATTTTTCATCAGATCCTCCCATTGGAATGTCAATAGTTTGTCCTCCTCCACATCCTCCTTAGATGATATGTAATTCTTTGATTTATCCTTTGATTTTAATGACAGTGACTGGATTTTGATGGCATTATTGATTAATGCTAGATAATTGTCTAATTAGGAAAGTAGCCAATTTCAAAAGTGCATCACAACATTCGTTTCTTTCTGATTCATTATCACTACTTAATCTCTCTAATTATCTTTCAATTTCATCGCAGTGTGCTTATCCAATTTTGCTAGCTGTTTATGGAAGAACTAAAGACTTAATTTTTTTAGTCACAACTTAATTTATTTATTTCAATTGTTATGGAGCAATCTCTAGAAATAAAATAAACTAAATACTTTTCTTTTATGTTTATTTTTTGACTTATAATAAGATGACTTCCAATTATTTCAAAGTGTTGATATCTTTTTCAATGTCATCCTTATGATCAATGATGTCGGCCCATGACTCGAGATTTTGTTACAACTACACAAACTGTTGCTAAGATGTGTTTTCACAATTAACATCCCCTAAATTGAGGTTGCTAATCTCATTTAATGACATCGACAAGAGTGTACCCTCAGCTTCAAAAGCTTGACATAAAATTAAGAGATACCTTAGGTCACTGTCAATGCACAGACTAACAAGACTATGAACTTGACTTAAACCATTTTTAATAATGAAATTGTTTGCGTCCTTTATTTATTTTAGACACAGAAACGGATAGTGTTCTGAATAAAATTTTAGAAAAAAAAATTAATAACAGCAGAAAAACTCCTAGAAGATCAATTCTAGAATAATTGCAATTTGTTTGCTAAGATAAAATCAAACACCTTAGACTTTTATTTGAAGATACTCATTCTGTTCATCTTTATTTTAATAGATTTTGCTGTAAAAAATAATTGAACTGTCTTGATTCATGATTTGGTTGATTTATATAATGCAGGCAAATTTATAGAAGTTAAATATGAATCCTTTATTAGAGAAACTTCTTTTAATTTATAAACTCATTTGCTATTGAAAGAATTCAATATTTGGTATCTATTTTGAAATAAATACGCCATTAGATATTCAATATTTTCGAATTAATAACATTTCATTTACAGAATTATTAAATCAAGAGATTTAAGTTTTTTATTATTCTGTTGATGCATCTGAAATTTATTTCCCATTTTCTTTTATATTAATATTATTAGCTTTAAGCGAAGCCTTAAGCAACCCAATTTTAATGAGAAAAGGTTTAATGAAGTCGAACATTAAGACTAATAGTCCTCCCATTGGCAGGAGCAAACAAGGTATGCAAAACAATAATTTTATATTAAATTTAATAGTAATTATAAATATACATTCTCATCTAAATGAAGAATTTCCTATCTTTTTTAAGGCTTAAAATTTTCGAAGTAAAATTTTAGTCTTTATCCTTTGGGTATAATCAGTATTAATATTGAAAGGTTTAAAGAAGGGAATTGGAGTTTTATTTTTTTGATTACGTTATCCAAATTATTTAAAGACGTAAGGGCTTTATTCGGTGTCTGTCATTCCAACTGTAACACGACTTAGTTAAAGTGAGGGTAATTAAGAGTGAAACCTTCTTTTTGTGGATTGCTCTTCAGGATTAATCTCAATAAATTTGAGCACAGCATTTTCAAATCTCTCAACTCTTCTCATATAATTTTATTTATATATTGGATTATAAGAAGTATTTAAATTTCAATCAAAATGATTAAAGACAACAAGTATTTATAGAGTAATCTTGGTTAATTATCAAACGAAAAATTTACACACAGTTATCCAAAAGAAACCTCTAATTTTATTAAGAATTATTTTTTCGCATTATTCTCAAATAGAATGATAATTTTGGCAATCCAGAATATTATAGAATAAGTCATAACTATATATTTTAGTTTTGCTCCAAAATTTTGAACAATTCAAAAATTAGAATGTGTAATAACTTAATTACATGAGCTTAGATTACAATCTAGTTCATGATAAAATTAATTCAATAATCGGGATTGTATCACATGTTCATAATATTTCATAATATTATATAATAGTGTTTCATAAAAAAATTGAAAAATCAATTCTATATTCATACTTGGAGGAATTAATATGATATAAACCATCTCAAGTATTAAAACCATTATCAAACAAAAAAGTATCTTTAAAAACCTTTATTGTCTCATAATAATTAAGCAAGAAATTTAATTAAGCCAATTTATAATAACACCAAAACTTGAGGATTAAGATTAAACTATAAATGATTAGATCTACTTTACTTTAATAAAATAATTTTATAGTATACAATTAAAAATGTAAAGAAATAATTTGATTTATAACTCATTAGTATAATTATTTGATGTATTCAAAGTACTGTTAAAAATTTTGTTGTACAGGTATGGAATTCATTGAAATACCTAGGCATACCGATATTATAAGAACTACCAATATGATGTAAAATAAGTTCATTATTAAACTATAAGTAATCTTACTATAAAATTAAAACAATAAATTACAGAGTACTATAAATCATAGAGATGATGAAAGCAACAGCCATCATCAATGAACTCAATATTAATGGTCGAACTAATTTTGGAGGTAATTCTCTGATTATTGGGATTATAATAATCTTCACTTCATTCACAATTGGTATTACGGTCAAGCTTCTCAAAATTTTTACTGCAATCAATGGACAATGACTTTCGTATTCAGAATCTAAACAAACAAACAAAACGCTAATCATACTTAGGCCAAGAAGACCTAAATAAATTATTAGTGTATTCTTTAAAATTGTAATCATTAATATTATTGTTTTCTTTATTCTATAAAGTATAAATAATATAAAATAATTGATGATTAAAGATATAATGTATTGGAAAATCAACATAGTAAACTGTTTCCTTAAAATTGAAGTATCACATGATTTCGACTTATGAATTTTAATTTCATTCCATATGATCCTTTTCTTATTGTATTAAGTTAAGAATATATTTGCGAATTATAATCTTTTACCTAATCTTAATGTCAAATGTAATATAGTCATTAATTAAATTAAGAAATTCAATAATCAATATAGAAAATAAGAGTAATAGAATAACTCAATTCTATTAGCTAAATTTTTTCATTCTATTGATTGTTGGATAATTCTTGTTCTTTATATTTCCAAATGATAAAAGTATTTACAATCTGAAAATTGCTTATCTTAGCTATAATAAAATTTAACAATTTTCAATTAATGGTCTATTAAATATCTTCCATAATAAATCATAGTTTATGATAATAATTTTAGCCAAACATAAGATATTAAATATTATATTAAATTATTTTATACTATAAAAATTAAAGATTAATAATTATATAAACAATGGGACTTAAATTAAGTATTGACAAACATATTTCAAATTTAGAAGACATTTAGAATTAATATTAAATTAATAGAAAATGTTAACTCGATAACAACATTCCGAATTGTATAACTTAGCACTTGATTGTATAATTATTTAAAAAATGACAGATTTGGAAATTTTATAAAGGCAAACTCTATATTAAGTAGGTAAAGTCTGAACCAATCAATCTAAACTAAATATAGAAAAATGGACCAGAGTTTTGCTATTAAGAATTGAATAAACCAAAGAAAAATACACTAATTCTAATTTTTTAAATTTATAATCAGAACATAAGCTTTATGTCTGGGTAGGATCTGAATGTAAGTAATAAGAAAGGTAAAATATTCTTTAAATTTAGGTTTATTTAATTTGCAATAGATTATTCGAATTACTTAATATAATATGAAAAAGCACCTTAAGTTCTACCTACATTGATCAAGGCTAATGATGAAGCATAAGCATTTTGGAGTTATGGTGGAATGTTGGAAAGCCAGAGTCTGTTTGTAGATAAATCAAAGAGTGGGATGATTGTAATAACGAAGTCGAAGAAGATGAATTCAATAAAGAAAAAGAAGAAAATTAATTATTATACAGCTTTGATAGAACAGAAGAAGCTCAGATTGAAAAGACAGTATTATACCTCTATCCCAATTCTGATGAATATTTACACATTTTTGATTTAGAAGATTTAGATTAATCTTAATTAGTTATATTATTAGAAGAAACTAATAACATAACTTTAAAAATTTTTTGTATGGAAAGGATAAAAATGAATGAGAAACAATAATGCATAATTTGTTGTTATTTTAAGTAAGAACAAATTTTTGTGAATAACATTATAAGCAAATATTATTCATCTATTAGTGAGGCTAATATACATCTTTTAGGAAGTATATAAATTGTTTTAATATTATAGTAGCCGAATGAAGAAAGTGATATATTTCTTGATTGGTTTCATGACTATAATTTCTAATTTTTATAAATTTATCATTTTATAATCTTAATGTTGTAACCCAAAATAAGTCGGTCGTTATACTCAACCAACTTATTAATATATTTTGTAAACATTATTTAGTATTTCTATTTTTTTTTTATTTAAAATTATAAAACAATATTTAATTTTCCCATTAATCTGATTTTTAAGAATTTCAAATTAAGAATAAGTAAAGTTATTATATTCTTAACACTAAAATTATGGAAAATTGAATATGCGTTTTAATTAGCACTTAGTTAATAGCCCAAAGTAATCAGTTTCTAAAATGCTAAAAGATAACTAAATGTCAAAAAAGTGATTATTGAATTTCGATATATAATTGAAGTATACTTTTTAAGATATTTCAATATCTTTCTAAAAGATCTCCTGGAAAAAACCTGTAGCTTGATCCTTATGATTTACTACTGTTTAAACTGTATATCGGTTTATTGATATTAAATTTAATTAATTTTTATTAATAATTCATATGTCAATGCTTTCCCTTACATCTTTTTATATGATTAGAAATACAAAATTTCAAATGATCCTTTATAGGGCATTCATTTTATTTAATTAAGAAATAAATTTTTGAAAATATTAAAAATATAATATACTATTAATGGTTACGCAATAAATTAGTATAAACATAATATCAAAATCATTGAGGTGTGAATAATCTGAGCAATAATTCCATAAATATTATTAAACTTATTTTAGTACTGGTTTTCAAGCATGAAAGTTTTCTAAAAATATAAATAATTTAAATTACCTTCTTATTACTATTAAAAGAATAGAAATTAAAAGTCTAATTTTAGATCTATATTGTTAGACAATGACTCCTCGATTGTATTCCCTCAAGTAATTCATTTTGATATCTTTATTAATCATTTTTTAACACCATTAAGAAATAACTGTCTTCATCTTTGGCCATTCGGAATCATTATGCATTTCATGAAAGCCCTATTCGAATATTTTCATAGTTTTTTCTTAGGATTGAATTTACATGTAAAAATCAACTGAATCTAGATGCGAAGAGATCTTATCTTGCTTACCATGCAATATTAAGATAGGAATTTTAAATTAACTAGCATTAGGTAAAATGTATTATGAAAATTGCAACACATTCAATGCAAATTGTATGCTCATGAAGGGACTAATTAAAGGATCTATTGCTAATTTTCTGATATGATGGTTATTTTTGGATGCATAGGATAAATTATGATAAGTATTAAGCTATAAATCTGGACATACTTTAGCCATCATCTGTAATGTTATCATCTTTATTCTTCCATATCTTGGTGGCACTCTAAATTGAGCACTGCTACAAATAAGTCCTTGTATTTCAAATTATGGATTCATCAAACAAAAACTGATTACAATTGCTGCTCCCAAAGCGTGACAAAATATGAACAAGGGTATTGATTTGTCAACTTAGTCTAATATGGTTTCAAGATCCATATGCATCTCTTCTATAGTAGCTTTACTTCTGATTCCACCTGAAAATCCAAAACCTCTTTAATCATAAAGATGAACTTTAAAATTATTGAGTAAAAAACAATCAGTCAACTAAAAATAGATATATATGTAATACTTGATTGTAATTTCCTGAATGTTCACCAAATCCATGCACAATTATTACTTAAGCATCTATAAACTAAGGAGTGAATTCTTGGTAATATAACTATATTCCATGTGTTTTAGTGTCAATGTACTTCCTTGTAACCTTAAATCTATTAAAATTGGATTACTTTAGAAGATTAGTGAACCCCTAAAAAAAAGGAATTCAATTCTTTCTTAACTTTTTAACTGTCTGAATGTATATCTGTACTTTCGGTCCTTTTTGGTGAATCCATTAATCTCTCTTCTGTGGTTTAAAAGCTCATTATATTATTACTTTTTTATCCATTAAAGCCAAATGTGAGTGATAAAGTATGAGGTATTAATAGTGATTATGACGCAAGATTTAAGAAAGGCAATTAAATTATTTATATATTATTATACAGAAGATGCGGACACTCTCATTTGCATGATGCTTCCAACTACATCACTGTAAAACTTTCAAGGAAGCTTTATATATAATTTTATAAAATTAATTATTTTTATTTGACATTTTATTATAATATAAATTTAAACATAATCTCAGATCTAGGCAATTTGTTTCAATCTTTATGACTTCAAATTTATAAATAATATATATGAAGAATTTCATTATTAAATGATCTATTTCAGTTTTGGAATGGATTCTTTAATATGCTTAATTAGAATCTTTATTTTTAATAAATTCATCTAAAATAGGATGGCATTAATCTCATAACTCTATTTGATGAAATTTTTAGATCCTGAAGTATATTTATCAAGCAGAACGGTTTATTGATTATAACTTGCATAAAAGATAGATGATAATTTTATTTGAAGAAAACCATCATATAAATAGAATATTCATTTGAGATCTGGAATAATTGTTCTTAATTTTTCATATATCAGTAAAATTTTAGGTATTATCGTTTACGAAAATAGTTATAATGCATATTAAAAAACATAAAATTTAATGTATAAACATTTATTGAAATTACGCTATGCATATCACCCAAGTATTAAATTTACCCATGTTCATCCTTCAACTTAATATACCCCCATTAAAATGACAGTCAGAGAGGCTATCAACCTAGCAATGGATGAAGAATTGGCTCATGATCCTAATGTGTTTTTACTTGGTATACGATTTAATTTAATATAAATCAGGAGAGGAAGTGGGACAATATTAGGGTGCCTACAAAGTATCAAAAGGATTATTCTAAAAATATGGAGGAGATCGAGTTATTGACACACCAATTACTGAGGCAGGGTTTACAGGCATAGCTGTAGGAGCAGCCCTTTATGGTTTGAAACCTATTGTTGAGTTTATGACTTGGAATTTTGCAATGCAAGCTATCGATCATATAATAAATTCTGCAGCTAAAGCACATTATATGAGTGCTGGTGATTAGAAGGCTTCAATAGTGTTTCGAGGAATCAATGGGTAAGATCAAAGATTTATAAGCCTTTAGTGCTACGGCTTATGTTGCAGCCTAACATTCTTAATGTTTTGCTTCATGGTATAGTAATGTACCTGGATTGGTTGTATTATCTCCCTATGATTGCGACGATGCTAAATCACTTCTCAAGGCAGCTGTGAGAAATCCAAATCCTGTAGTGTTCTTGGAGAATGAAATCCTCTATAGTGAATCCTTTGAACTCTCAGCTGAGGCCAGAGATCCTAATTATTTAGCACCCATAGGAAAAGCCAAGATCATGAGACCAGGAGATCATGTTACTATAGTAGCCTTTTCAAAAATGGTTTAATACTCTCTCAAGGCAGCTGAGTAGCTATCGAATGAAGGAATCAATTGCGAAGTTATTAATTTAAGAAGTTTGAGGCCATTAGACAGGGAAACAATTCTTGGAAGCGTTAAAAAAACAGGTCGTTTAGTGTGTGTGGAAGAAGGATGGCCACAATCTGGTATTTCAGCTGAAATTACAGCACTTGTTATGGAGGCAGGAGCATTCAAATATTTAGATGCACCCATATAAAGAGTGACTGGAGTAGAAATACCAACTCCTTATGCTTTTAATTTGGAAGCTATGGCATTCCCTAAAACTGAATAAATTGTTGATGCAATATAAAATGTCTTAAAGGGAGTTCGATGATTGATTATTAGACAGAATAATACATATAAATTTAGAAATTTCATTAAAAGTTTTTGAGCATTCTAAAAATATATATATTAATTTTATAATATAAATTGATCTAAAAATTGAAGATATTTATTTATAATTGATAGGTAATATTCTAAATCTACATTGTCATCAAAATCTTAATTCAATTTTCTATGATTTGTATTATATTTATAATTTAAAAAATACAATAAAAAGAGAGTGAATATAAAAATCTTAAGTAGAACATGTAATTATTTCATTTTTAAATATTGTTGATAGGATTCATCAACAATTATCATTTGTAATGGAATAAAATGTATAAGCATCAATTTTTAAGAATAATATTATTCTTATTTTTGAAATTAAAACTCATATTCTGCTAATCTTCTAAATAATAATAAATGTAAAAATTAGCTCTCATATTTGCAATCATAGCATTAAGTTTAGCTATTGATGTAGTAGATGACTATGATGTCGAATCATATCTTGGTGATTGGTTTGAAGTTGCTAGTAGTCCTTGGGTGCATACAACATTCGAGAAAAATGGATTTTGTAATAGAGCAAGATACGGTGCATTGGCCAGTGGAGATCTCAGTGTTTATAATGTCTAAAGAGATGGCGCTGGTGATGGAGCAATAAAATCCATTGATGGATATGCTAGGATCCCAGATTTATCTCAGAAAGCCAAATTGAAGGTGTTTTTAAATGGAGGATAAGCAGGAGGTGGAGACTATTGGATAATTGAATTAGGACCAGTTATTAACAAGAAATATCAATGGGTTATCGTGAGTGAACCTGAAATGTTATTTATGTGGGTTTTATCAAGAAATCCTTAGTAATACAGAGAGGAGTATGAAGATTATGTGAGGGATCGAGTAAGTGCTTTGGGTTTCAATGGTGTTTTGAATAAGTATGTTCCTAGATTTTTCGATAAATGTGTGCCATATGATGATTGAATCAACTGATATTTATAGATATATGGATTATTTATGTTTATCAATATCTTCTTGGAGCTGTGATAATCTCATAAAACTCTTCAAATGAGATTTATTCAGGACTCTCTGTTTTTCTGAGGATGTGAATATGATGGATCATTTCATGCAATTCATCATCATTCAAAGTTTCTCCTAGTTCTTTAGCAACACGTTTTAAATTTGTGAAATCAATGAAACTAATCTTATGATTAAAATAATAACCCAGTATCTTCAGGATCGTAGATTTAGAACAATTTCTATGCTCCTTCTCTTGTTTTATTGTTTCCTAATCTGTTTGAAATAATATCAACAAAAGTATCAAAATTGATTGACTCTCCATGACTAGCATTGAATATATGATGATGATTACTTTTCTAAGTCTTGCACCATTTGATACACAAATTTATTTCTTGCATCAACACCTAAGTCTTCAAGTACTTTCTTTATTTCATGAGCATCTATTGTGCCACTCTTATCATCATCAAACAAATCGAAAGTTTCCTTAAAATCATTTACCATATTATTACTCTCAAGTCATTAATTTCCTCTGGAGTCAAATAATTTTCCTTAGGTTTCTAAGGTTTAGCTGCTGGTGCACCTTTCTATTTATTATTTTAGGCAGGTGCTTACTCGGCTTATTTATTTGCTCTAGACATATCTATTTAATAATTTTATTTATAAATATTCATTCTCTACAATCAAGCCAATATATGATCCCAAAAATTCAGTATCACCAGATTCATTCTTCCTTTTAGAAATTGGTTCTGTGATCTAATTGGATTTCTGCCTTAATTTTGGAGGAATTTTAAGAAAACATCATTGATAATTCAAAATGTACAATAGATGGGATGATTTATACTTGAATTTTAAGTATAGGATTGAATTTGTTCAATATAAAATGCTGAATAATATGAAAATACTTAAAGATCAATTTGATTTTAGAAATATCTTCGGAAGATTGAGCCATTCTAAAATATATGAATTTTCAGATAAGAAAAAGTAAAATTATTGATAATCTAAGGTTTTCTATTTTTCTTTTTCTTTTTCTTTTTGAACTTCATCAATTAAATCTTCATTAAATTGCTTGAATGTGGGCATTGATTTATTAAAAATAAAATCTAACTCTTAAGCAATAAGTTCTTCAACCTCCTCCTTAGTGAGTTGAATTTATGGAAAATTGGGTAATAAGCAATTAAGTGTCTCTATAATCTTTTCTTTAGAAATTACCTCAATATGATAATGAATCTTACATTTTCATTTTTGTTATCGATTAACTTAAAGAGATATTTAATCTAAGCAGCCTTATTTTAACTGAGGAATGTGGCATACCCAAAGAGAAACTCCCTGAAATTAAGAACTCTATCGTTATTGAGATCGATTCTTGTGAAAATGAGATTCGTGGTTTCTTGTGATCTTATAATAGAGGAGATAATGAATTTACTTGTTCTGAAATCCTCGATGGAATTCATTGAAATCAATAACTCCATCATCTTTGATGAGACTACTGAGAATTTAAAATATTTTATATAAACATTGCACATCTTCTAACTGGATATTGGCTTGATCAGCAAATTCCTATAGTTCATAGGTTGTGAGTAAATATTGTTTTGATTTTGTAATTCCCATTATTAATTATAATAAATTTCATATATGTAAAGAGAAACTGTTATTAAAATAGTTGTAGTAGCAGAGAATGGAGTTGCCAAGTCTAGTGTGCTCTTTCAATAGTGATTTTCGTCTAAGAAAACCTCCTACTACAGGACATGAATATAAGGAAATAGACATATTCAAATGGATAGAGTGTTTTTGAATTATAAATATGGGATAATTGTGGTTAAGAAAGATTCAATGCTCTGAGTAAAATGTATGTAAGAGGGGCAAGGGTATTTTAAATAAATACAAACAATTTGTTAAATAGTGTGCGACATCAAAGATCCTAATTCTTTAGAGGAAACTTTAAAATGGAAGAAAAGGATATAGGAAAATAGAGATTAAAATAATATTATATTCATGCTGATTCAGAATAAGTGTGAATTGGTGAGTGATGATGAAAAGACTACTTTTTATCAGAATTTATAGGCTTTTGCATAAGAAATAATTTTGTCTCTTGCATTCAAACTAGTGCTAAGGAAGGTACGGGAATCAAGGTAGAGCAGCGTATTAGATTTATAGGAACTATTCACAATTTTAGTTTTAGAAATCATTTACTAAGGAGTGCTTGTAAAACAACAGAAGATTTTCAGTTAAAGTACAAATGTACAATTAAAGGCTGCTCAAAATTCAATAGAATCTATAGTTTTGCTGTTGATTGAATATTAATATATATATAATATATTTTATATTTTACATTGTCTTTTTAAAAAGATTAAAAGGATTTTTAAATAATAAAAAAAATTTGTTTTATTAAAGATGGTATATATAGCATTCAATTTCTATCTAGGTACTAGCAAAGTTCGTTGAAGTTGGAAGAGTTGTCAAAATCAATTATGGTCCTTAAGAAGGCAAATTGGCAACAATTGTTGAAATCCTTAATGATAAGAGAGTCCTCATCGATGGACCAACAACTGGAATTTAGAGATAAGTCATCCCAATCAGAAGATTGACACTTACCAAATTCAATCTTAAAGGTGCAACAAGAGGAGCCAGAACTGGTGTCATTACCAAGGCAATTAAAAAATCTGATCCATTTGCACAATACGCTCAAACCGTTGCTGCCAAGAAGGTTGCTAAGAAAGCACTCAGAGCTAAATTAAACGATTTTGATAGATTCAGAGTCATGATTCTTAGAAAGAGAGTAATGCTATCAATAAATCATTTATTAGAGAAGTGCCCTCCTCAGCACCTAACTCAAATCTTTGAAAAAGAACACTGGTGGAAAGGCCTAAACTCAAGCTAAAGGTGGAAATAAGAAGAAATGATCAGCTTATTATAAAATAAGTATATTAATACATTTGAATTACAATAACCTGCATAAATATATTATTATTTAATGGTTCATGGTTCATCTATTCTTTATTGAATCTATATTATATTTTATCAAATATTAAACAAAACACATTTAATTCATTAAATTCCAGATCCATATCCCTTGGAATCTAGAATCAAAGTTAACTTCTTTCTCGTTCCTCATATTGTAGTTAATAATTATTTTCATTCATTATATATCTCAAAGTCATTTGCTATACAATTTGTGCTTACTAAATAATTCTATTTCTGAATAATAATTATATATTAATAATAATACTTTTCACATTAATTTGATGAAATTAACATATTATTAAGATATAAATGATTTAAATATAAATTTTCATTATGATCATTATTAAATTACAAATCTAATGACAAGAAATCAAAGATTTTGTATTTTTTTTTATTTGTCTTTATAAAATTTTAATAGTATAAATCTAGATAATTTTAATAATCAATTGAACATGAACAACTTCTAAAATATGTGTACAGGTGTTGATGAAAAAAGACAATGATAACAGAATTACGTTTCAAGATTCTTTTTTCAAATAGGCTACAAACAACATTTAAGCAGCTTTCCAATATATATCTTAAACATATTTATTGCTTTTCTCAATCTAATAGAATACTTATAATAAAGACCTATTAAAAATAAAAGAATTTTATAATTTCAATCACCAAAAATTGCTAATTAGAATCAGAATTGTCAATGATTCGTCTGATACCAACACTTAATGTTTAGTGTTTAGGGATTATGAATATTAAGGCCTTAATAATATTATCATTCAGAATTTCTAATATTAGCATATGAATACTATTAATATAATTAAAATTAATGGCAGAAGAATTTGATGATGATCAATTTGATGGTTATGTTTCTACAAACACCAAAAATAGATATGACTATTTTAACGATATTCAACCAGAATAAGAGTAGACTTAAGTATAGAATGCTCCAATATTTGCTGTTACTCAAATTCCATAATATACATCCCCAAACACTTAAACAATTCCAGATATATCTAGTTTGTATCAAAATCAGCCATTAAATCAATAATCCCTTTTCATTTCAAATCCGCCCTTGTAATCAAATATTACACATTAAAACGATAATTAACATAGCCCCATTTTTCAAATTCCCTAACAAAATAATCCTACCTAATTAGATTCCTTAAACTCAAATGGCCATTCCAATTTTACACACTAATAATAGCAATAATAATAGTCCTAAGCTTATGAAGATGAAGAATTTTAAGAAGGGGAGTTTATTGAAGTACAAAAACCTGTACAAATATAAAAAGAATCTTTGCTGGTAGATCAACCCTTAGTCTTAAGCACAAACAAAAATGAATAGCATTAATTTTATGCAAATATAGAATAATAAGATTAATTAATCAATTTCGAAATCCCAACAAGTGGAAATGTAATACCACCACCTTAATAATAATAATAAAATAATCCACCTATTTAACCAGAACCTAAAATATAATTAACTTCAATTTATGATGCATTTCCTTCTGAACTAAATGAAACACCAACATCATTATAACCATCTCCTTTATTGCAAATTACGGATTTAAAACAAGAAACATAAAACGATTCAAAATATACGAATAATGTAAATTTGATTGAGATGTATTAAAATTCTGTTATCCCTCCCATAAATGAACAACATGTGAACTAAAAGGATGAATCATCTGCACCTTAATAAAAATAGGACTTATTAAATTTAATTGATTTTAATAAAGAGTCAAATCCAAGCATAAGGGAATAGCATTATCAATAATAGTCTGATTCTTTGTTATAGTTTTCAAACGAAAAATAAGAATAATAATAACCAATATAATAAGAACCCTTATTAATATAGAATAACTTATTATCATTACATAACGATTTACCTAATGATACATTTTAATCTTACTAATAACATCAATAAATTAGTTCATACAATTTTCAAAATATAGAAATAAACAGAAAACAAGAAAATGAGGATTTACAAGAAGAATCCAAAACTCCAATCTAAGAGTTATAAAATGTTTCATTCAAACCTGATTAGGGAGCTCTACAAAACACCTAATTAGACACTAAAATTGACAATGAAGAATTTGATGAATTTGTAGAAGGAGAGGAAATAGAAAGCCCAGTCCAAAATCATTAATTAACTTAATAAATATAAGTGGAATCTACCATAATAAATTAATAATAATAACATTAAGTAGTATAAAATTCATAAATAACTCAGTAAATTTATAACATTTAGGAACATTTTGGTTCACCGAGTTCTTACTAACAAATATAGTTTTAGGAAAGTAGTTTACATTAGCTTAACAATATATAGTTGACACCAGAAATAAAGATAAAATAGGGACCACTAAAAGTTGACCCAATTTAGAAGCGTAACTGGAGAAGCTAAATTGAAGATATAGTTGGATTCGATGCAGAATGTATGGATAGTTTTATTGAAGAATTGAGTGACTTAAAATTAAATTTGTATAAGGCTTAGGTGCTAGAATATGCTTAATTGGCTAAAGATATATAGGCTTTGAGAAAGAAAAAGTAGATTCACGTTGATAAAGAAGAGTATGAAGAGGCAACTGTTATTAGAGATACTTTAAGAGCAAAAGAGCCGATAGCTATGGTTTTGAAGAAGAAGATTTTGTAGATTGCTAAGGTCATTGATCTAATGGATTAGTAAGATTTGGATTATCATATAAAGAAATACATATTTGATCATGAAAACGAAATACCAGAGAATCCATCAGTAGAAATGCTTTTACCAAAGATTCAGATTGTAGAAGATTTTGTAAGTAAATTAAAAAAAGAGTTGAAAAAATCAGAGTCAGTTTTGTCTATAATAAAATTATAAGGACAGTTGGAGAAGGTGAGATATGAAAAGAAATATCAAAACTTCATTTTGGGATTGAGAAAGATTATAGGAATGAGTCATAGATTTTCTTAATTGAATGAGATTGTCTAATCTGTTAATGATAGATTAAGTGATTTAAAAATAGATGTACAAATTTATTTTAAATTTTGAATAGAAAGAAGTGAATAAATTGGATTATGAGTTCATTTTTGAAAATACCTTGATTCCCTATTTGAAAGGATAGTAATAATAGTAGAATTATTGTAATTATTGTTTCCAATCAAAATCAGATTTGATTGAGTACAAAGGGAAGTTGTACGACGTTTGTTGTTTGAATTTTTATTATAATATTAATTGAATTTCTATGTTAAATAAGTATAATCTTAATAAATTCTATCTTGATAATTATATTTATTTTATGAATCTTATTACTTAGTATTAAAGGATCATTTTTACTTCTAATTCACTTAGATAATCGATGAATACAATACATTATTGACCTATTCTAATTTAAATTTTGTCATTTTAATTTATATTTGTGAATGAGATTCAATGAATGCTTGCAAATAAATGAATAGTAATATTTATAAACTTTTTAAATAGTACTAATTGCAACAAAGGCCAAAACTTAATGACAATTGATTACTGGTAGGCGGATAACAATTAATCATTTTTTTTGCATCATGTCATAATTCAGTCATATTTGATAGAATACGTTATAAAAATCTATTTCAAGTTATATATCTATAAGATAATATCCAAATTTCTGATAGGGTATAATAATTTCAATATTACTCTTTTTTCTTTTTATCATCCTCCTTCGAAGCATTATTAATCAAGCTATTTGGTTTAAACTTTTCAATTTATTCATCTATTTCAGGTTACCTAACATATATTTTTTGGTATTTAACACTTGGATATTGACAAGAGTAGTCTTAGAAGGAGGATGGATAATTAAATTAATAAATAAAAGAATTTAATTGCAGAATATTTTCATGATCATTTAGCCAAAATAATAAAATTTCAATTTAAGTGTGAAATGAAGTAGAATGGAGAAAGAACCGTTGAAAGGATAAATTGGAGGAGTGTTAAAAATTCTATTGTATGGAGATTATTAGAATATATAAAATTTAAAACGGATTTATAAGTGAATAATTAATAATAAAGGGGAAAATAGCGAAGATGAGACAGGTGTTATTCATACTGATTTTAGCATCTATATGTTTTGCCCAATCCCAACTGAGAGGTCGCCAATAAATTGGTATAGCTGCAATTGATATGTGTAGAGAAATAGGATGTTAGCTTAGAGGATTATTCATTCATGCAATTTCACTACCACACACCTCCAATGGATGTCATGATGATGAATCACGAACTCGAGATACAGAGAATGATGGGAGTCCCTGGAGTTGTGATGATGAATTATGTTATAGAGGAATCTCCGTACAATCCAATATCATGGTGAAATTATTATTAAAATATATAAATCCATCATTGTCTTACTGCAATTTCATATTATTCATCTCATATGGGTAGAAATGAATTGGATTGTGAAGACTTGAAGCAAAAAGACATTATCTATTTTATAAGTGCAAGTATTTATTTTGTAATAAACTTCATTCCAGTGATCCCAGCTGGAAATGAAGACGCAAACAACCACCCCAAAGATATCATCTAAAGTCTTTAAGTACTCAAATACCTAAGCAATCGAAAAGACGAGCACCAATATGTAATTCTTGTGGATCAGACTAAAGTACACTGTGGCTATTAGCATAATCACATAAATGTTTGTGTAGATGAATTTTTCCTTGTTGCAAAACATCTTCATAAAGTTCTTTCCTCCTTTTATAATGAACAAGGAAATCCATAAACTTAATGATCTATATAACATTTAAATACACGTCTTACCCTAAACTGAATAGTCCTCCAAATTTGGCTGGAAACACCATGATCAAAGGTAAAAATGTGAATGCTACAAACATGAAGCACAATCCAATGCCAAAAAATATTGCAAAATTCTTCCAATTCATTGCTGCTTATTATACATCCTGCACTTTTGTCACAACATTTTCTTTGAAATATTATTTAAATTTTTACATGGCTTTAGAAATCTAAAAGATTAAGAAAACTTAGACACGAATCCTGATTTCTCTTGAGGATCAGATTGCTATTCAATATCGTTGCTTTAATTCCAAAATTAAATATATTTCATTATTTTATTTTAAACTCTCTGAACTTCTATAAGTTTATTCCATTCAGAGGTGATTTTATTAAGTATATATTTTGTTTCTATCGAGAGCTATGAGTTGATTGCTCTCTTTTCGACATTGGACTTTCTTTTTGTCTCTTTTCGAAAGCATCCAAATTAGGCGCTGAATTTCTAATCAGAGTAGAAGACTGACTAGTTATCAGTTAAGTCTTTTCAATTAGATTATTCAGATTGTTTATTTTCCTAATGTAATCTTTCATTAAAGGTTTCTTTAGCAATGGTAATTGATTCACTTAGGTCTGTTAAATGATCTTTCGAGATACTTGCTTACATTAAAGTTCCAAAACACTTGATTTAGCCTCAGGACTAAACTCCACTTTCTCTTCTCTTTCTCGTTCCGATTGCAAAGTTCTTAAATTCATGCACACCTTCGCAGTTTTAGCCACCTGATTAAAAATTCCTCTTAATTTCTGCCCATTTCTTACAATTGCTTATGGTTGTTCTTCCTCTTCCTCTTTAACTTTTGAAATGATAATGTCATGAAATTTCCTTATTTTCCTCCCAACCATTCCACACTCACCACATCCACAACTTAATCTCCTTATTTTATACTATAACTCCGGAAATTTATAATGTTTTTATCTACTTCTCTAATGTTATCTATTCTTTTTGATAGGAGAGCTTCTTCCATTGACAAATCCAAATTCCATCAAAGTCCTTTAAGTGGTCAGCTATCGTGTAGTTGAAATAACTTATCTTGTATCGATGCATTGTTCTGATTTTTGATAGCATGTTTATTATAAAAGTCTCATAAACCCATCTAAGCTTTTTGCTATGTTAATTACAATTCTATGATACATCGAAATAATTGAGATGTTTTCATGCAATTCCCAATACATTTTTTCTTTCCACTTTGTTTGGGTACTTCAATTTTATGAGATTTGATTATATTTATAGACATTACAAAAATAATAAGATTATGAAATTTGAAAAGTCAAATGTAATACTAATGCTAATTTGTTCTGGTTTATTAAATAACTAAGAAAAACAGTTGGAATGCTGGATGAAATGCAAAATAGAGTGAAAGGAGGATAAATTTATGTTAATTTAATTATATATATTTAGAACCAAATACAGCATTCATTTTTTTGAGCTTTTATCTCCCTTCTCTTCCTTTTTCCTATCATGTTTTGTTCCCTTTAATTATTTGTTTTATTTTGCCAATTAGGCCTTAGTTTTAGACTTATAAATTTACAGAACATCCTCATCTGCTAAAACATGATTTAAGCCCACCTTTTATGGATTAAACCTAAATATATTAACAAAACGTACTTGCAACTTCTACCCCAAACAATAGCAAACTTGAATTCATCAACCAACTCTCTATGAATCTATGCACACACACTTCTAACCATCAGACCATTACGATCATTACTAAGAACAATGGGATCTGAAAAATCTGGCTAGTTTCCTCTCTTTTTTGTATATACTCTGACCAAATCGAGTTTGTCCCACATACACTCTAATAAATAATCCAAATTAAGCTTCAAATTGCATGATATCACACAATGATCTTTCCTTCTGGCAATTTCATCCACTTCTTCAATGGATATCTTATCAATTTTATTGAAAACATAGAGACACTTGACATATTTTCTATTTCCTTCAATAATATCAATCAAATCATCTACAGTGATGTCCTCTCTGATCAGTATATCAACATTGTGAATTTTGTATTCTTACATAATGTTCTTAATTAATTTTTCATCTACTTTGGTCAATTTGATAGTCGATGTAATACGAACCCTAAAAAAGTGATAATGAGTTAGATTACATTCCTGATTTGTTTGGTGTAATGGTCACGTCTGGTTTCTTTCTATTGAGTCTAATACCCATTTTATCTAATTCCAAAGTGAGTTTTCTTCGTTGATCCTCAGCCTTGTCAGCTTCCAAAACCATCAATACAAGATCACAAGCTTTGGCTACTGCAATGACTTGTCTTCCTCTTCCTCTGCCTTCAGAAGCTCCCTCTATAATTCCTGGAAGATCGAGCAATTGTATTTTGGCATCTTTGTAATCGATTACTCCAGGAATGCATGTTAATGTGGTGAACTCGTATGCAGCCACAAGTGATTAAGTTTTTGTTAGAGTCGAAAGAATGGTGGACTTGGAAGTAGAGATGTGTAAATACCTTTCCGACAGATGGGAATCCAATCATACAGACTCTCGCATTACCAAACTTTTGAACTTCAAATCCTTCACCTTTTGGGCCAGATTTGGGTGGCTCCAATAATTGAGTTCGATATTTGGCCAATTTAGCCTTCAATTAACCCATATGATACTCAGTTGCCTTATTCTTTTGAGTTCTGGCCATTTCATCTTCGATTTCCTTGATTTTCTCAATGAGCCCCATAATTATTTTTATTAGTAAAAAAAATCAAATTTATTTTTTATTGAGTAATATGAACCAATATTACATTCTAGTCAAAATAGGAGAAGGCACATTCTCAGAAGTCCTTAAAGCTAAGTCTATGATCACTGGATAATTGGTTGCAATCAAATGCATGAAAAATCGATTCGAAAGTGTGGTAAGTTGATTAAACATTCTTAGGATTAAGTAAAGAACCTAAAGGAAATCCAAGCCTTGCACTAATTATAGCAACATCCCAATATTGTTAAACTTAATGAAGTTCTTTATGATGAACCGAGTGGAAGATTGGCTTTGGTATGCGAATTGATGGAAATGAATCTTTATGACTGTATAAAGAATAGAACTTCCTATTTGAGCATGGGCAAAGTTAAAAAATATATGCATCAAGTGTTAAAAGCCTTAGATTACATGCACAAACGCAACTTCTTTCACAGAGATATTAAACCAGAAAACATTTTGATTAAAAATGATAATGTCAAAGTAGCTGACTTGGGTAGTTGCAAAGGTATACACTCTACTCATCCATACACTGAATACATAAGTACCCGATGGTATAGAGCACCTGAATGTCTAATGACAGATGGTTACTACGACCAAAAAATGGATCTATGGGGAGTGGGATGTGTGATGTTTGAAATTATTTCATTGTAACCTCTATTTCAAGGAGAAAATGAATTGGATCAAATTAATAAGATCTTCAAAATATTGGGAACTCCTGAATCTGAACTGTTGAACAGATTCAAATCTTAAGCTTCTCATATGGAATTTAATTTCAAACCTTAAAAGGGAATAGGGTTGGAAAGATTAGTCCCACCACATGCTGGATCCGATTGCATTGATCTACTGTACAAGTTGTTGTAACTCGATCCAGTTAAGAGAATAGGAGCAGAAGAGGCACTGAGACATGAATTCTTTGAAGAATTTTGGGATGCTCCGATGTCTCAGTCAAGTGATAGTACTCAATTTGGAAAGGTTATCACAATCACAAAACCAAAGAAGAGATTGAATAAGGGGATCTATCCTGGTACAATAAAGTTGGAGGTGAAGTTGGAGGGCAAGTTGAACTAATCTGATGATGAGAACGAGAAGGTTAGAGACGGAAGTTTGCACTCTAGATTACCTCCTATTACTAAACCACACATGAAGCCTAAGGTGAAAAATCCTTATGTTAAGAAAAAACTTTATGATGATTATATTATAGTTGGCAAAAAAGCTTTTAATTGATTTACTTAAGTAACATAAAAATTACACAATTATAGATATAATATCATAATAAATTAAGTTTTTGCAATATTGCCATTAAATTGGGCTAAGAGGCATCAAATATCTCCAAAAAACCTTTAACTAGTTATTCTTAACAGAATAATCTAATGTCACTGTAGTTTCGGGTTATCAACATATTTTTGTGATACGACAACATAGCTAATATCAATTTGTGTATGATTTCTTCGCCTTCAATGAGGAAGAGATCTAGAATCATGCCTGAAAATCTCCAAGGGATATTGTACATCAATAATGTCATATAGAATCGAGATAAGAAAGGAAAGAAATCAGTCTAAATACAAATTCATCTTTACAATCCCTTCATCGTAGAAATGTTTGTGTAATTCAGGTATCTTTTTTTTCATCATCTACTCAAGCACATCTATCTTGAGTCTTAAGCCTTCAAAACCCTCCAAAAATACCACTCGCCAATTTTGATCCTTCATTATGTATAAGAAGATAAAGAACACCGTTTCATCCCTTTCCTCATCCATAACTTCAAAATCATTTAATTATTAATCATTAACACTTAAATCATAACAAACTAATAGATTTGCTACTATGATATTGAGTCCTTAAACATACCCCAGCTCTTTATCATAATTCGCATATGCGATTAGAATATTTTTTAATGATTATTAATTTTCATGCTATTCTATAACAAAACTCATACTTATTTAAACATATCGTGTATGATTGTCCTTGCCACATCCTTCTCAATCTGAATCTTATGCAGAGTGTCTGCCTTTTTCAATTTTTAATAACTCTGATTTCTTAGTTCCTTCTTGTTCTATTCTTGATTACTGACAAAGATCCACCATTGTCTCCGTCTACAACTAATTCTATCATTTACATGTCATATTCCATTGTCTACAACATAATCGATTAATGTATTTATTGAACCTTGTATCCTGAGAATGATTTATTTTTTAGGATAATTTACCAATCATTCTTCTCCAGAGTTCTATTGTCCTTCGTCGCTTATTCGATGAAAGTAATATCATTTATCTCGATAGAGTTATAAATGTACTGATCATCCTTTGAGAGCTTGTAGAAATCCTAACAATCAAATACTCTTATACTTTTATTATGTTGATTTTCATTTTACTATTAGCACTTACTGATCTCTATTTACACTTTTAATTCGGGCTTGGTTATTGAACTATTTCTTATTGTCCCTCCTATACCTGAGGAGGTTTCCTGATATGATAATCTATTCTTGTTTTTATGAACGAGTACGATTTTGTTAACCACATTAAATATATATATAATATATTATTTCTTGTAAAATTTGTAAAAATCTCTCTCATCCCATCCTCCCATCCAACTCAATATCTTCAAAAGATACAATGATTCCCCTTCCATCAATTGCACATCCCTTTGTATCTTCAAATGATCCTACTGAGTAAGTTTCACCCTCTTTTTTTAAATGCTAACACAACCAAGCTCTACAATCTTAGTTCCTTTTAGAAACAGCCATTAATTTCTCTAAGGAATGTTGAGAATATTCATTTTCTAATCACCAATTAAATTGATTTGTCATATTTACAGGTTTCTCTCAACTCAACTGTTCCTGCTCGAAATTATTGAACAACCTTTTAATCCCCTTTAGTTCTAACATTTAAGGATATATTTCTAATTAAGTGTTTTATTGGTTCCTATTANCAGGTATCTTTTTTTTCATCATCTACTCAAGCACATCTATCTTGAGTCTTAAGCCTTCAAAACCCTCCAAAAATACCACTCGCCAATTTTGATCCTTCATTATGTATAAGAAGATAAAGAACACCGTTTCATCCCTTTCCTCATCCATAACTTCAAAATCATTTAATTATTAATCATTAACACTTAAATCATAACAAACTAATAGATTTGCTACTATGATATTGAGTCCTTAAACATACCCCAGCTCTTTATCATAATTCGCATATGCGATTAGAATATTTTTTAATGATTATTAATTTTCATGCTATTCTATAACAAAACTCATACTTATTTAAACATATCGTGTATGATTGTCCTTGCCACATCCTTCTCAATCTGAATCTTATGCAGAGTGTCTGCCTTTTTCAATTTTTAATAACTCTGATTTCTTAGTTCCTTCTTGTTCTATTCTTGATTACTGACAAAGATCCACCATTGTCTCCGTCTACAACTAATTCTATCATTTACATGTCATATTCCATTGTCTACAACATAATCGATTAATGTATTTATTGAACCTTGTATCCTGAGAATGATTTATTTTTTAGGATAATTTACCAATCATTCTTCTCCAGAGTTCTATTGTCCTTCGTCGCTTATTCGATGAAAGTAATATCATTTATCTCGATAGAGTTATAAATGTACTGATCATCCTTTGAGAGCTTGTAGAAATCCTAACAATCAAATACTCTTATACTTTTATTATGTTGATTTTCATTTTACTATTAGCACTTACTGATCTCTATTTACACTTTTAATTCGGGCTTGGTTATTGAACTATTTCTTATTGTCCCTCCTATACCTGAGGAGGTTTCCTGATATGATAATCTATTCTTGTTTTTATGAACGAGTACGATTTTGTTAACCACATTAAATATATATATAATATATTATTTCTTGTAAAATTTGTAAAAATCTCTCTCATCCCATCCTCCCATCCAACTCAATATCTTCAAAAGATACAATGATTCCCCTTCCATCAATTGCACATCCCTTTGTATCTTCAAATGATCCTACTGAGTAAGTTTCACCCTCTTTTTTTAAATGCTAACACAACCAAGCTCTACAATCTTAGTTCCTTTTAGAAACAGCCATTAATTTCTCTAAGGAATGTTGAGAATATTCATTTTCTAATCACCAATTAAATTGATTTGTCATATTTACAGGTTTCTCTCAACTCAACTGTTCCTGCTCGAAATTATTGAACAACCTTTTAATCCCCTTTAGTTCTAACATTTAAGGATATATTTCTAATTAAGTGTTTTATTGGTTCCTATTATAGCTATACTCTTTATTTCTTTGTATTTAGTTCTTACAATATTTAATATTAAAACTGCAACTAAATATTTTTGTCTACTCAGATTATCATAATTTTAAGATTTGATTGTACATTGAAATCATATCAGAATTGATCAACTAAGTAGGTTACCATTTAATTAGTTACTATATTGTTAAGTCATTATTTTTTTAGTGAAAAATTGAAGTAATTTATTAGGATTTAGTTTTTATGAAAAACTGATAGTTCTCACTTAAAACAAAAAATTGGGTTAATTTTTAATAGATTTAAGCATTGTTCAATAAAAGTATTCCATCAACATCATTTTCCATAATGGTTATTTCATTTATTAATTCTCCTCAAACCCCATAAATTTTATAGTAACCAATTCTATGCCGAATTTCTCCACCTTTCTTAATATTTAGTCTTTTTTACAATTAATCATGAGAATATTTTTAAAACATGGATGATTTTGAACATTTTGAACATTTTTAACAATTCTATTACAATTAAACTAAATTTAAAATACTTAGTTTTTGAAAATGAGAAGAGATTTAAAACGTGTTGATCCATATCATTATTTACGGTTGGCATATTAATAATTAGAATAAAACATAGAAAGTTTATTTTCTATTATAATTCATAAATTTATTGTAATATACTTCTTATATTTATGCAAGAAAAGGCACAGGAATTAGTAACGTGTAAATTCTGTAAGGAAAGATTTCCTCTTACAATAATGTATGCGCATAGAACTGAATGTAATATTGAGAATCACCCTGAATATTAATCTATGATATAAAATGATGAAGCTATGCTCTAAGAAATCTAGGAGGAATTTCCAGATGACTCATAGAATATATTGAATAAACCTCAATTAATTAAGAACTAGAAAGTTGAAAACACAGGGTTAGAAAAATAACTTTAAGAAGAGTTTCCTTATTAACTTAAAAGAGAGATAGCTCCTTAAGCTATAAAATAATAACAGAAATTAGATGATCTATAAACAGAATCTATTTTGGTTAGAACTACTAAAAAGTGTGAATATTGCAATGAGCTTTTTCCTAAAGAACAAATTGATGATCATTATCCTAATTGTTAAGCCTATTTGATGATAGAATAACTATAAATAGAGGAGACTCAAAGTAAATTTTAATCAAATGAAAATTACATCGATAAGTAAGGTATGATTGGATAATAAAAGGAGACAGAAAACTTTTCTACAATAATTCATGAAGAATTGTAAAGTGATGGGAAAATACTGCAAAAGATAATCACTCGAGATCCACTTACTAATAAAACATATGAAAATGTGTTTTTAATCGATTCCGATAATGGCAAATAGTTAGAGCATGTTTCTGAATAAATAATAGTGCGTGATAATAACAATAGTTTTCAATAGTCATTTTAGAGTTTCATCAACAAGGATTTGATTGATTTGGATCAAATCGAAGGAAACGATCAACAAGAGTATAGAATTTATTATTAAACTAAGATTACTTATATAATAAATAAGAATTTAAAATTTAGTTAAGATAAAATTTTGTGATTCCAAATAGCTTGATTAGGAATTTAAATCATGTGGGATTTGCTTTATGAATTATTTAAAGGGAGAAGACCTAGTTTTGCTACCATGTATTCACAGGTTTCATGTTAAATGCATGAGCAAGTGGTTAATAGAATAATCGACTTGTCCGATTTGTAAGATAGATGTTGAAAAATAAAAAACTTGATTATTTGAAATATTTTTAATAAGCATTGTTATTTAGTTTAAATTCACATTTTGACTTTTGCCTTTGGAAATAATTCTTTCTAACAGCAATAGCACTTGGTACTTTTTTTAAGCATATTATGCAAACAATTTTTATGACATTTTAAGAGGCAGCATTGTAAATTATAAATGATCTCATCTTCTTTAAAGTAGTTTCTACAAAAGTAGCAAGTTTTTTAATCAAAAGATTTCTTAAATTTCAAGCTTTTAAACAATGCTTCTTCCAATAATTTTTTCCCTTTTTAGATAATATCTTTGGAATCAGGATAAATTTTCAGGTATTGTGCAATTATTTTTTAATTGGTTGTCTCAAATTGCTTAGGATCTGAAGGCAATTCTTATTTTTACCAAACCTATGGATAATCTACTTCTTTGATTATTTCTTTAAATCGAATAACCGAAGAACAATTCAATTCGTGATAATCTTTGTCCTTAGAATTTATATGCCCATCGCAATGCTCGCACTTTACTAAATCTGATTAATCAATTTAATTTGATTCTGATTTCTGGAATTTTTCAGGAGGGGGGAGTGACTATTAGATGTGTTATTATTAGATGGGTTACTATTAGATGCGGTATTATTAGATGGGTTACTATTAGATTGGCTATTAATATATGTTTTATTTAGATTATTCTATATACATTTTATTATCTTCTGCAGGCATTGGTTAAACATCTAAAATTATAACTTTACCATTAGATTTTTCATAGATCTACTAAGACAATTTTATATCAACATTGCTTGATTGATAAATTTAATTATTCTAGATACTTATTAGATGTCTTACTTATAAGGATTATGATTTTTGATAAGGCTATGGCTATGGTTATATCTGTTGTAAATTTATTTAAGGCTATGAAGAATTTGACTTATGTATTTCTTTTGACTTGGAAGTACAAGAGCGTTGATGGTTGAAGATCTCATTTTGCAAAAACTCTTTCTGGCAAAGTCTGCATGCTTTATATATTGGTCTGTCACTTTTCATTCCTTATTAATTATATAATAAAAAATTAGGATGATTCAACACAACTTTAACCCATTCAGAAAAAGCAATCGTTAGGCATATTCATTATTTGATGAAAAAAGCTCTCATGAAATAACTGTTGAGGATGAATTGGCTATTCTGAAACCTATTCCAAAATATGTTTGGGAAGATGATTACTATGAATAATTGAAATTAGAGTTGAAATATTATAAAGTGGACATACAGGTACTATCTCATTCTGAATGGCAAAATCTTTTAACAACAGGAATGTATGATTCAAGCAAAAATTTGTTATTATCAATATTTACTACAAGATCATTAACAGTGAAGTAAGTGTTTGACTTTATAATGATGTAATGTCAAATGACATGTTAATTTGAACATCTTAAAAAACAATTGAAAGAAAAAAGTTATGAATGTATTACTAAAGATGTACATAGAACTTTTAAGAGTTCAGATTATTTTTAGAAGGAGGAAGTACTTTAAAGACTTTAGGACATATTAGTAGCTTATAGTAATTTAGACTCAGAGGTTTCATATGGGTAGGGAATGAACTTCATTGTTGCAGGTCTCATGTATTTAGATTTCAATAATGACGAAGCCATCTTTGAAATTCTAAGAACCATAATTATGGACAAAGAGTGGAGACAACTTTATATCAATGGGACTCCAGGACTATTCTTATTGATGGCTAAATTCAACTTTAAATTTAAAAAAAGAATGCCTGAATTATATCAACACTTTCTAAAACTTGGAATTGAGGATATGAGTATGTGTGCAAGTGCATTTTACTTAACTTTATGTATGCAACATTCTCCAATACAATTCTCTCTAGTCTTATTGGCTATGTTTTTTATTGAGGGTGATGACATAATAACAAAAATGATATTATCTATGATAAAGTATTTTGAGAATTATTTATTAAAATTAAACGACTTTTAACTAATAATTGAGTTTATCAAAAGAGGCCTGATAAATAACTTCTATCGAGAAATTCAAAAGTGTAGGAAACAATAGAGATTAGTATAAGTACTTTTAGATATTGGATTAATTAAAAGGAAAGATAAATAGCACAAGCAAAAAATAAAAAAAGGATTAATGAAATAATTAGTTGATAGGCCATTAGCATTTGGAAATGATGTTTATAGTTATTTTTTTAGATGAGTTAAATACTTATTCAATAAACTAATTTAGAATTTCATTATTGATCATTTTTATTTAGGATATTCTTAAGATTATAATTGTTATATAGTAATAAAAGGAAGATTGAATCATTAATTTCATAGAAAATAATTTAAATTAATGGCTAGTTCATCTTTTAATGAGGAGCAGAATCTTTCAATATAATAAAGACTGTTTAGTATTCATGTTATATTTACTTTTCATTCATTAAATATATTTTAATCAATGATTTTATCACATTTGAAAATTAAGCTATTTAAAGAATTACATCAATTATAATATTTAAATAAAATTTTATTTTATCAATTAAATATCCATATAATATTTTTTTTAGTTCTCTTGAATTAATTAAAAATAAATTATTACTTCATAATAAAGTACCCATTTTTAATAATTTTCATCTACCTGTTTATATTCACAGCTTCTTAACAAAGTTACTATTTACACACTAAATATAAATTTTAATACTAATTTATAATTTGAAATTTATTAAATAATGAATTAATTTTATTTTAATTTATTGTTGTTATCAATTACTTTTCATCCCTTTTTCAATTAACTGAATCAGCAGTACAACAAAAACTCTGCCTAAACAAAGAATAATATTTTAAGATAGGATTGAACATAAGGACTAACAAATCTATTTAATTGCAATTATGAATATTGTATAATTCCATCATAATTTTCTAAGGTCAACTTCACACTCAATCGGTACGTGATCACTTCCTTCAACAGTTAAGTTTATATCAGATACTGTAATGGCATCAGAGGCTTCCTTATTTATGATAAAATAATCTAATCTCCATCCCTTGTTTTCTTATCTAAAATAAACCATTTTTGTTACCTGCTATTACTTCTTGCACTAAAAAAGCTATATTTAACTTCTTTAGGATGTAAATGTCTGAATGAATCAACCCATCCTTTTTACAAATAATTGGAAAATTGATCCCTTTCTTATATAGTAAATCTAAAATAAGAGTATGAAAATACCCAGCAGTCTTCTTGTTGCCAGCTGGATTGGAAAGATCTATTTCGTGGTGAGCTACATTAAGATCACCACATAAGATCGTAGGTTTTTTCTTTCTAAGTCCTTCAAGATAGTTTTAGAAATCAACATCCCACTCCTTGGTTCTATAGTCAAGTCTTTCCAATTTCTGTCCTGAGTTTGGAACATAACATGAAACTAAATAAAACCTTTCGAATTCAGCAGTGAGTGTTCTTCCTTCTTGGTCATGCTTATCTACACCAATATCGCACTTCACTGATATTGGTTTGACTCTATTAAGTATTACATTTCAACTTACTTAGATGCTATAGCAACTCCACTATATCCAGCTTTAGATTTACAAAAATTAAGATATAAAAAATAGTGTTTTCCGAATTTAGCGCCTAAATTTTCTTTGTCGAATACACCTTAATCAGCTTTCAATTCATTTAAACAAATTATATCAAACTTAATTATAAGTAATAAATTACTTTAGAGTCATTTAAGTATTTAACAGCTGACTCATGCTTTGTGACAGCTCTGATTCCATTAATATTCCAACTTGAAATTTTTACTGTTGGAGTATTAAATCGTCCATCTCCTAAATCAAATTTTTCATCTGCTTGGTTAACTTATTTTACTTTTTTTTCCACTTCTTTTATTTTCTATTATTTCTCTATTTTCTATTCACTTTTCTTGCCTTCATTATCATCAGTTTTCTTTTTTCCTTTTTATTGTTTCCCTTTTGATTCAACAACAAATTCCTCTTCTTCCTCTTCTTTCTTCTCTGGACTAGCTTTCTATTTGGCTGATCTGCCCCTCTTTTTATCCATTATTAATATAATTAAATTGAAAATAGATTATTGAAAAATACCTTATTCTAATGTGGATACTTATATCTTATGGTCTCGATAATTACAATAAAATATTTTAAATTCAATAATAGCAAATGTTCACAGTTTAATTAATGTCTTTACTTAATTTCTAACAATATTGAATAGTTTAATATTTCCATGTTGATAATCTCAATATTTTTTAAGGCTATTGATTTCAAAAAGTTAGTAATAGAAATTTATTAGCTAATTAAACATAGGAATGCTTATACATCCCAAATAGAGTAAGAAATAATCATATTTCATTTTAATATATTTTTTACATTCCAGGATATAAGTTAAAAGCTCCTGAAAGATTTGAGTCTTCCAAAGTAGACTCTAATAAATGGATTTAAGTTGGAATTCTAAATTATTTTTGTATTTCTTTAATGAATACAAAATTTTTAAATTTAAGTTATGTAATTGAATTAGATAATTGGAATATAAACTTTCACAACTTTATTGAAAAACAATAACAAGCTAAATCCTTATTTTGGATAATTTCTATAATGACTTGATTAAAATAGGGCTGATAGTAATTTATTAGAATTACATATAACTCTGTTTATAAAATATGACAAAAATTAATCAGTAATAGTCAGACTATCATAAAATTTAAACGAAGGTCATTCAATTTCCAAAAAGTTTTTTAATTTAATTCATCATGAATCTTCTACATACATGTAATAGATTTCATTGAGTATATAAGGATCATTTATTTTTCTTTTCTAGTAGTTCTTCTCATTCTATTAATTATATAATTATATTACAAAACACATAAGTTTTAGAGAAAAGTTGAGATGAGAATACTTTTTCAGTGTTTTGGTATTGATAATAATGTTAAATTGGGAAATCATTCTCATATTAGTATTGTAATTCTAAAAATGTATATGTTCTTTGCATAATAATTTAAATAACATATAAAATAATGAGCAATGGATCTGTAAAAGACATTTTGAAAGATAAGAAAAAAGTGAGATTTGTAGCTGAAAGCGCATTTAAGTAAGTGGATAAAGATGGTAATTAAAGCATTTATCTAAAATAAAGGTAGCGGATACCTTGAAAGGCCTGAACTGGAAGAAGTTATGAATAATGTAGCAGCTGATTTGGGAGTTGAAGTATCACGAATTAAAATAGCTATAGCCACCCACAAGTGAAGAAATTGATGAAGTGTTAAAAGAATTAGATGAAAATGGAGATGGAAAATTATCGATTGATGAATTTTAAGTGCTAATAGAACAAGTTCTTGAAATGATGGCTAAAGTTGAGGGATGATATTGATAATATGTACATTCTAATTATTTTATTATATGTTGTAGTTCAAGAAATAATATCAGAAAAATATATATGAACAACTTTTTTATCAATTTAAATTGATATTTATATTAAAAGTATGTTATGTTTAATAAAATTTAATTTATTTTATTGAGGAGATTTCAAAATATCTTCTTCAAAATTTAAAACCAAATCTCTTTCTTGTTTTTTTCATAAATAAAATAATCAAACAAACCAAAATGCCCTATTACCCAGGATACAATCCCTACAGCGCTCCTTTAGGTCAATCTTTCGCTTATCCAAACACGTATGCCTAACCAGTTTCTTATGCTCCCGTTCAATATGCTGCCCCTGTGGCATAATCATTTGTGTAGCCTGTTGCCGTCCAACCTGTTGTGCAATAATCCTACATACCCTAACCTGTAGCTGTCTAATAAGTCGTTGCCTAACCTGCTCAATAAACAATTCGAGGAGAATCAAGAGTGGAATATAAAGAATATCAGAGACAAGTCGTTGAAATGGAAACAGAAACAGTCTAAGTTTAAGTGCCAAAAACTAAATACGTGACAGATTATTATCCAATCGAATACCAAACAGAATACATTCCAAGAACTGTATATGAATAACAAACAGAATACGTCCCAATTACAAAAACAGTGCCTAGAGTAGAATATGAAACAGTGGAAAGATAAGTTTAACGAGTAAATCAACTATTTATTTTAGTAACAACAAGTTGTGGTTTAGCAACCAGTTGTTTAATAGTATGTACAACAGCCAATTTAATATGTACAATAGCCAACTTAATACGTACAATAACCTATTGTTTAATCTGTTGTTCAAAGCCCAATTGTTCAACCTGTTGTCCAACAACCAATATCATATTCATAAATTAGACCGGTACAAAGTATTGTCCCATCCGCCTATCCAGCTAATGCGGCTTCATATCCAGCAAATTATAGAAATTTCAGACCATTTTGAGCTATTATGCCATAATATAAAAAATAAATAATTTAACTTAATTTTAAATGTAAGCTGCATTAGCTGAAGCAATTAAAGAGGAATAATTCATGTTGTGCTTCAAAGAAAGCAAAGAATAGGCCCACTTTCAACTGTGTATGGATCTATTCGAAAGAAGTAAAGCCATTTCCTAAAGAGCATTCGTCAGGTATGTCAGATCAAGAAAATAGTGAAATGATTAAGAAGTTTACGTTTAATTTATTTATGTTAGCATTGATCAATTTTTCAATTGAAATTCTTCCTTGCAATATTAAAAATATCATTAGGTAGTTCATATACTAACAATTTTCCATTTTACTCTTAATTTCCAATACGATTATATTGATATAATTTTTAAAGAATTCTAAGGAGCTTATTATTAATAATGAAGTTAAATATAATATCACACTTTTTTTCCCATCATTTCAACTCTGTTTGCTTGTTCTCTTAATCTATCCAATTCTCTTTACTCATCCTTCTTTTATTCCATTCTCAAATCAACTTACCTCAGCTTATCTCTAATTTGTTCTCTTTTGTATTCTTCTAACTATTTTTGATGCTTTATAGCCTCTTGTTAATCGAGTTTTTTCTTTAATTTCATGTATGCTTGCTATTATTACATAGTTTCCTATTCATTCTTCACTTTTTCAATCTATTAATATACAAATATTTTACTTTTTCATCTTATTCCTAAATTTTTCTTAAATATATGTTTCTTTTTTCCTCTAATTATAACATATTCATTTTCTTGACTTTCTCTCTATGTTTAGCTCTTCTCTCTGCTTCTTCCAACATGAACTACTCCTTAGATTTTGATTGACTTCTCTATTGCAATCTTAATTAGATATCCATCTCCTTTTCCATGAATTCCCTCCTAACTTCTTCTTATTCATGTAACTTTAATTTAGCTGTATGTTTAATTTTTTCATTTTTAATTCTGTTTTTCTCTTCAATTGATAATTACCTTTCTTTTTATAATTCTTAAAATTTGTATTGCTTTTCTGCAATTTTTTCCTCTTTTTTTTAAAAATCCTCTCTTAGTTTATTCAAGCCTTCAACTTAACTTCGCTTAGCTTCTCTTTGCCTTTCTTTGGCTGATTAAGCCCTTTTTTAAGCAATTTCCTTTTTTGACTCTTGCTATTACCTAAAAAACATTTATCTTTTAATTTCTTAGTCTTCTTCCTCTTGTTTTCTTATGTAATATTCTTATTCTTTCTATTTTTCCTTCATTTTTTTTTCTCTTTCTAACTATAATTTTAGTTCTCTTTGTTATTATTCTCTCATAGCAGCTTGTTCTCTTCTTTGTTGCTCTTCAAACTCTAATTGCATTTTTCTTTCTTGTTCTCTTTCAAAATAGACTTACTATTATTATCTATTTTTTCTTTATTCATCCAATTCTTTTAATCTTTTTTGTTTTGCAATATTTTCTTATTTCTCTTAAAACTCTTTTTACCTCTCCTCTTACATCCTTTTTCTCTTTTCTTCATATAACTACATCTTCTCTTCTCTTATTTAAGTCTACTCTTCTCTCTTCAACATCATCTCCTATAAATGCCTTTATCTTAGCTCCTCCATCTGTTTCCTCTTCTAAACTTGATCCATAAATTTAGATGTAGTTGTGCTGCTTGCTGGTCTCAACAGTTTCAAACTGCACGCACTTTATTCAATCTTATTTCTTTTTTCCTTTTCAATTTAGGCCTCCCTATCCCTTATTAATGCATAGACTTTTTATTGCCTGCGATATTCAAAGTGTTTATGGAAATCATCTAAATTCTCGTTTGTTAATGATTTCTCTTTTTTCATCATTGCTGAGAGTTAATCTTTATTGACACACAGTAACTCATTTTGAGCAATCCCTCTTTGTCTCATAACTTAAATCGAGCGAGGACTGTCTATTATGCAATTCCTGTCTGCAGGATTGAAATTAATTAAGGATATCATTATTTTAGTTGGTTCTTTAACTAATAAATAAAATTACTTTTAAAATTATTCAAATTATCCTAGAATGATTAAGAAACTAATGAAATCTATAGAAATTTCAGAAAATCTTTATAACACTTTAAATCTAAAAAAAATTCTTATTTAAGAAAACATATTATTTGATGTGTTTTATATGATAATTCTATCATTTCTATTCTATGGATTTTAATATTGATAACAGATATTTAAGTCCTCCTATTATATTATTATCCACATCTGCGTCTGGATTTTCAGAATCTTCAGACAATTTCATTACATAATTGAAGTCAATCCATTTGATTTGATACTTTTTGGAAATGTTATCCACAATGATTAGAATTGAAGTACTTCGAAACAATCTAAATTATTTTATTGTATATTTACCTCTTGCTGGTTTGAAGAGCTTCAATTAATTCCTAGATAAAATTAATGCATCCTTTGAGTGCTTCTCTATTAGGTTACTCAACTTGATTTGATTTAAAAACCTATTCAATGACATCTTTCATTTATTAATCACTTGTTATCCAATTATATGCTTCAGAACCATTCTTGTTGACAGTTAAAACTCCATTCTGATCTCTTATTTTAATACCAGCTGCTCTAAAACCCATCAATATTTAATCACATAGATTAGCCTTTTTTATTTCTTTTTCTTTTTTATCTTGTGTACAACATGGATGATATGTTTTGTAGCCTATTTTTAAGTCCAATATTGATCCATTTTCAAGTCCATAAGTTAAATTTTCCTAAATTAAATTGAATAAAATACCATCGAAATAGTACAAGTTTTTTCATCCAAAGATATTAATTTAGGTAAAAATTTAATTAGCCTTTTATTTTCGTCATAATATGGATTCGTCAGGTTAGTTAAAGTAGAATAGAATTAGTACTCTGCTTTTTTTGTTGTTTTGATAATGATATTATCTTTAATCTGGAAAGCTTACAAATGTCCCCCTGAAATTAAATTGACTGTTTCTCCTAAAAACTATTTTTAATATTCCAATAACTCTTTTGAAGAAAGACAGGTCCAAAATTATTTATGTTTATCAACAGTTGTTTGCACTGCATTAATTCCACATTAACTGGGTTTAATAACGGCTGGAAACTATTAAGGTACTCCTAATAATTATTAAAAAGTAGCGAGAGCACATTATGCTGTGACATCAAGATTGTATCCACCTTCAAGAACAGCCAAGACTCTAGGGCATAATTATTATAACTTTTCAGTCATATATTAATACCCTAAAGGAGTATTATTAATACCGCCAAGAGGATCTCCCTTTGCTGAATCGTAACCAGCGCTTATGATGATGAAATCTGGACCAAAATCTTTTATTATAGGACCTAACAGTCTATCAAAGGCATAGACATAGTCATCATAACCTGGAGCAGTTTCTTTATCTTTTACATTCCAGCCAACATTAATATTTTTGTGTTTAGCATCTTTTTCTCCTATTTTTACAGGATCTCCACTTCCAGGGTAAAAACTTCCATTATCGTATCTATGAATTGATATCACTAAGGTATGTGGATCTTCATAAAATATAGATTCTGTTCCATCACAATGATGAACATCCCAATCAAAGATAACAATTTTATTGACATTGTATTTTTCTCTTGCATATTTAGCAGCAACAGCAACATTGTTATAAACACAAAACCCATTTGGTTTGGTTAAATGTCCACTATGATGACCAGGGGGTCGAACACTACAGAATGCATTTCTCCATTCTGCCTTTAATATCTTATCAACTCCTTCCAACACTGCTTAAACACATTTTCTAGCAGTCGTGGCTGATGTTTTGCATAGATATGTATCATCAAAATACTTGAAATCTGTTGTATTTTATTCATGTCCAACAGCATCAAATAATCCTTGTACAAAATCTATATATTTGTTATCATGAACTAATCTCAAATGGCTTATATCACTTAAATAATAAACTAAGAAGAATACCACTATTCAAATTATGACAGTTATTCCACTTTTTTGTTTAAATCTTTAGATGATATATAATCTTAAATGGCCTTATCTATAGATTAAGTTCTTTATGGATTCTCACAATGCTCTTTCTTTGGGAAATGGTTGTCAAACTCTTAGCAATGAATGAATCCTGTGGTATATGTTTCTATACTGAGTTTAGAGAACTCCTCTGAAATCTATTACATCGATAATATTAATTGAAAAAAAAGGTCTCATTCTTTTTAGTTATAAATGGGGTTAAATCTTTTAAATATGTATTTTTAAATTATATAATATAATTTTCCTTCCCCCTTCATAAAATTTAAAGCATTTTTAATTAAATAACTCAACATAATATAATTCAATCTTAGTTCACCATAACCAGAAGAAGTAATGGGTCTTAGAATCTCCAACATTTTTATGTGCATTTTTTAGAATTATCTTTGAAAAATATAAATATCGAATTTACAATTTAATGCAATCTGCAGAATAATAATTTGGTATAATTAATGAACATTATTAAGTTATCCGAAATACCTATATAGTTCTATATTTATACTCTGTAATGTTCTTCAATCTTGTAATCAACCTTACACACTCAATTCTTAAACCCAAATACCATATTCATCACATCCTTATTCTTCCCTTCACCTCTAAGGATTTGCAAAGGTCTATAGAATATGAGAAGGATTAAGCGTTTTTCAACGGACTCTTTTAGCAATCTTCTAATGATATCCATGCAGGATCTTTTATCTAAAAATTCATCATGTATTCGAATAATTAATATGGATATATTATAATTAAATATATATTGTACAAATTTCAAGAAACTACTCTAATAAATTCTTTGCTTGAAATCTATTCTAATCTATCTAATAATTTGGTTTCAAACTTCTTCTTTTCTTTCTCAGCTCTTTTAACCCTTAGAGCATCCGATAACATTTCTTACCATTTGACTTATTATTTTTAATCTCTCTCCAATTCCTTGAGTTTCTCTCTCTTTCCAATTTTGTTTCTAGGATAATTATATGAAAATTCATACCTTCCTCTCATCTTTTTCTTTTGTTTCTTTATCTTTCTTGATGCCTGCTCTTCATTTTATTTTTTTTGTTCTTTTTCAATTATCATTTTTGAAGTTCTATCAATTGTACCAATTCTATGTGATTAAAGAGAAATAGACTCTGGTGGCAACTATAAAATTAATCTCATTATAATATACTTTTTCAATCAGTTATCTAACATTGGTTTCTAACCTTTGTTTTTTATTTTATAATTCAGGTTATTCATATGTATCAAAAAATGGTTCACCACTTTCTGGTACTACTGTTTGTTCATAACTATCGAAGGTGCTCATCGCTAAATAATCTTCATGTTTGATGAAATCAATATCACAAATCATTGAGGAAGCCTTGTATCTTAAATAGGGTGTTTTTAAGTCGCCAAGCAAACAGTTCTTCCACATAATGACATCTGTTCCCCTCCCTGCTGCTAAAACTCCTTTATCACTTAATGCCAAGTTAGTTGCATTGACAGCAACTTGAGATTATAATTTTTAAGTTCTCAGATCCCAGACCTTAACTGTTCCTTCTGATCCAGATGTAATTAAGTGATTGCCATCCCGAGAGAAAGTCATCGACATCACTCCTCCTTTATGACACAACATGGATGTAAGTGAAGTCCCAGTATTAGGAGCATACATTCTTACGACTCCCATTTGATCTCCTATTCCTAATATTGCATTGTTGTTATTTTATTTTAAACATAATGGTGATGGCGTAGTTCTATATGCTATAATCTTTCAATATTTTACTTGATATTATTTTCCCTTAAGTTATATCCTAATAGGTCAATTATCCATTTTAGTTGAGTGCAGCCAATAAAAAATGATAGGGCAAATACTCTAGCTTGGTGGCTTATTTGCATTCTCGAATTTTATGGACTTCAACTCCTTTTGGATCGTAAATGAAGATGCAACTTTTTTGGGCTACTGCAAAATTTCTTTGGGCAATAGAAATTATGTCATAACATTTCTCTTTAACATCGAATTCACATTCTAATTATTTGTGTCTCCAATTAAAAGCAGCAATATGACCAGATTCCCCTGCCAAATATGTGGTTTAAGGTGTCATTGAAAGCTTATATGGCCCTGATTTTAATTTAAGATTGATGATCTTGTTTTAATGATATAAGTTCTACATTTTGCACATTCTCCTCAGGTAAATAATCCTTAAAATTAGAAATCTTTAATAAAGGTCTTTCATCATCTATTTCTACACTCTATTAAAACTAAGGTTCAAGTAATTAAGCTATTTTTTAAGTCTTCAATTAAGTCGATTTGGTTTTGAATTCCTATTACTTAAGCTTAGCAGAAAGTATTTTATCCTTTGCCATTTCACAAATTAAAAATAGATATAATTATTAAATTTACTTAGAAAATTTATATTATATATATTTATGCACATAGTTCCTTAAGTTATGTATAAAATGCGATCGACTTCAATAAAAATCATGTAATATAGATCTATCTGATAAATATTTTGATGAAATTCATATATTTCATAAATCTAACAATGGGGTTAAGATCTCTTGTAATTATGGCTACTCATCAACCAGCTTATTTAATGCACTCTTGATATTATTGGTGAAATTCTTTTATTCCTCAAGTTTCCTAATAATAACACTCAAATTTACTATCTAATTTGTTGTTCAGGAAAAGGTAATTTTGGATTATTTAGTAATTCCTCGTATTTTTTAGCTTAGCATTAAAATTGGCTTATTTTAAATACATTCAATAGTTTCTCATTTTTTGCATAGTATAACCTTTGCTTACTTTCATATGTCTCTTATTCCATTTATTATTATTTTTAAGTGGCTTCCTAGATTTATTATTAGAGCTATAGGCATATTAATAAATACTACATTTTCAAGTTGTTCTTCTTATGCATTGATTCCTTGCTCAATCTTTTATCCATTCATTAGAGTTTAATTTAATGTGTTCTTTAGTGTTTGTATTTATTTGTTAACCTATGATGTGTTGTTGCTTGTTTAAACAGGAGGTAGTTTGAGATCTTTTGTTCCTGAGGAAGATTTATCTTTGTTGAGATATTTTAATTGGATAGTCTCTCTCTTAAATACTGTTCTTTCCATCTCTTTTATGATTTACTCTTAACTCTTCTTTTATTCCTTTTATCTAAGTTCCATTTTATGTATTTCTTTCTGCAACAGCTTTAATTCACTTTATCCAACATTCGGATCCAAAGCTTCTTGCATTTCTTTTTCCAACTAAATCTTTCTCTCCCATAATAAGATTTACTTCTCTGCCTCCATAATATCATTTAATAAATCTGCTTTGCTATCCTTTAATTTATCAATTTAGACTTCATATCTAACTGCTTCCTTCTCCAATTCTTTCAACTTCTCTAGAAATTCGCTCTAAATATGGTTATTTTCATTTGTTAATTTTTCTTATTTAAATTAGTACCTTGCTAAATCATCATTTAATTTATTCATATCATTTTAAAGATTTTTAAGACTATTTTTGATTTCTCTTATTTCTCTTTCATGAGATCTGTATTAGGAATTTAATCTCATTTTTTTATTTTCCAAAATAACTTGTTTATTTGATAGTTCATCAACCTCTGTGGAACATGTTTCATACTCCTTAGTTTTTTCAACCAACTAAGTTTGCTTCTTGATCCAATCTCTGTGCATGGCTTCACATTACTGAATCATTTCATCGAACTGTCTTTTTAGATTAGACTTTGTTGCTTCTAAAGGTCCCCTGCTGACTTCTGAAGAGTTGTTTGTCAATTCATCATGAACCTTGTTTAATCTACCAACTTCATGTTATTTTTTTTCATTCAACTCATGACCCTATTTGATTTATACTTCATAAGTTGCAACAGTAATTTTCTTATCATCTCTTTCTTTAATAACAGCAGCCTTTTTTAATTTTAATTATTCAATTTATTATTCTGTATTTAATTGATCAATTTTAACTCTAGCAATTTCATTATTAAGATTTTCTAATTCAATTGCCTTCTCCTCTATTTCAGATTAGATTATTTGGGCCTGCTTCAATAAATTCAAGGCAGTTTTTTCAATGGTAGTATTTTCACTCTTTGAATCTAATAAGTCCTCCAATAAGCTTTTAGTTTCAGTATGTAATTTCATAATATTAGTTTCAATCAATTTCATTTATTCATCCACATTTCTTTATTCATTGTCTGTCTTTTTGGTTTCATTTTCTGTTTATTTTAGAGATTCATTTAATAAAAGTACTTGAGCATTGAGTTTAGCTTACTCTTCAAGCAATTCTTGTCTCCTATTTTCTAAATTGGACTTTTGATTTTCCAATTTTCTTTTCATAGCTATCAAATCCTCTGATCTTGTATTTTCTTTTCTAATTTCATTGTTAATTCCTTAGAGTTCAGTTCCTAATTAGATATTGACTTCTGATTCTTTTCTATTTTGATATTTAAATAATCGTACTTATAGGCTTCTCTAATTTCTTATAAAGCATTGTCCATTCTCTACATCCTGACTAAACTCTTCTACCATCTTTCCATTAGGTTTTTTTTAGATGCAATAATCTTTTCCATTTCAGCTTGAGCGTCCTTCATTGTTTACCTAGCATTTTCAGTTTCCTTGCTTTGAGATATTAATTGATCCATCAATATTGTCTTTTGTTCTGTCAATCTCTTAATTTCTTCATTCATTTAATCAATTAAGTAATCTTATTTTTTCTTATCCTTCTCTAATGCTTACACATTTTCTTCTCCTCTATATACAATTCGCCTAGTCTATTGGATTTCTGCTTGCATCTAATTATTATAGTTCTCAATGGTATGCAAAGTTTTTGTAAGTTTCGATAATTCGTCTTGAGCTTTTAGATATTTTTTTCTAAGCTCGTCTACTTCTTTCTTCTTTTGCAAATGCAGGTCATTAATGGTTTTCAGTTTCTGCTCACTCTCGATTCTCAATTTTTATACAAAATTAAAGTTTTCATGTGCTTTTTCAAAATTTTATTAATTCTCTGCTAACTATTATTATACACCATATAGTCGAACACCTTTTATATTAATAATTTCAAGTACCAATATCTTCCTTTTCTCTATCAAGCTTTTTTAATTAATCTTCCACTTCCACAAACTCCAATTCTACTCTTGAATGCTCATCATTCAATTATTTTTGTAAGGCAATTTGCAAACGGGCCAGCAAATGCTAATTTTATCAGATAAACAATTTACATGATCTGCTGGTAAGAATGCCATTGGATCTTCCTCCAAATTCACTTAATCATCATTATTTTCATTGTCTGCCATTTTAAATAATAAATTATTAATAATAACAAAAAGAGTATTAACAGTTGTAAAATTTTAGTTTCTGAAATCCAATATTATTAATAAATGAACAAAACAAGCATCAATAAGAATGGATGCACCCAATTACCCACTTTTTACCAACTAATAACTTACCTACTTTATTTTCCAAACATACTCAACTGTTTTTTCCTAATATCTTTACTTGATTACTCTGTATATTAATTTATCAAATTTAGGCAATTCACTTCACCATTTTAGGTATCTTGACTTTGATGTCTCTTATTTCTAGTGTGAAAACTACTTTGAGCCGTCCCATTGATAAGTTTATAATTTAACAATATAAAGCGCAAACCTAAGGGTATGTTTGATCTTTATTTTAAGGTAATAATTTGACAATGTAAGCAATAAATTAGAGTCATTTTGCGAAATATGCATTGCATATGTATAAGAGAACACTAAGCATTGCAGAAATTGTGATCGGTAAGGCTCATAATAATCAGTATTAGATGTTGTTAGGGTTTTGATCATCACTGTAAATGGATAAATAATTGTGTAGGAAATCTCAATTACAAACTTTTCATCTTTATGATTACTTCAACTTTGTTTCTCTTCATGTACACAATGATCATCTACATCTCTATCATAGTGTTGTATCAAACAAATTATGAGACACTTCTTATAGATAATGAGTTATAGAAATTTGTACAATTATTTCCTATTTTTGAAAGCATTTTACCCAAGAAAATGATCTCAACGTGAAATACATATTATCTATAATAATGCTAGTGGATTCCACATTAATTGTGATTTTAATGCTGCAATTACTTCTCTTCCACATTTATTTGATCATAAAAGGCATAACAACTTATGATTTTATAATAAAAAGCCAATTCAAAAAAATACTGCCTCAATTTCAAATAGGGCCTTAAACATTTCAGAATGCATCTAAAACTAGCTAAAAGGTAATTAATGAAATTTATGGATTCGCTAAGAAAAATACATCGTATCTTTTTCATTTATTATTTTTAGAATTGAGATCACTATCAATTAACATAAGATGATTCCAGATAAACAAACAATTCAGGATGAAACTATCATAGAAAATCAAATTTAGGCATGATATTCGTAGTATTATCCATAAAGATATGAAATTTTATATTAACTAGTCATTGCTTCTGCTTCCCTATCTTCCCTAAGGCTGTTATTTAGACTTATTTGAGTCTTTAATAAGAAAATTAATTAAAAAGTCTTTTAATTTTAATTTAATTAAATAATTAATGTTAAATAGCTCGTTATATTAATCCCCTTAAACAAAAAATTTGAAAAGTGTCGTTGCCCCCCAATCCTCAATAACAGATAGGAATGGTATATGATTATTTAAAGCTAATAGTTTCCCCCAGCAGAGCAAAGATAGCTTAGTTGAGTGAAAAGCTATCAGGATTACAGATTGAAGAGGATAAAACTTTGAAAAAGGAAACTTATGAATCGAAGTTGAAGCTTTTTGATGAGAAATTTTAAAAGGCTTATTAAAATGATTTAAGCAGACTCAAAATTGTTCAAGACCAATTAAGCAAAATTGAAGAAGGATTAACTAACGAAAAAATAATTAGAGATGTTTGAATTCAAATTTATATTATAGTCAAGGGATGATAATTTTAAGTAGAGAGACCTAAAGGGTTTAGAGCAGAATATAGTTAAGGAATTACAAAAAGATAAAGCATTGAGAAGAGAATCAGAATTGAAAGTGGCCAGATTAATTGATGAAAAGTCCTATTAATTCAGGCTGGAGTTAGCCAAATAAAAAAAAATGAGAGAGGAAACAGAAGAATAATATTCTAATGAAATTGGAGAAAGAGTCCTCAACTTAGCAGAGGATGTGTAAAATGAGAGAAGAGAAAGGTATTTCTCATAAAAATTAATCCATAGAGAGGCTGCATGTTAAGAGCTAATTAGGAGGTTTGGAGAATCTGTGTTTTAGATACAGGAGACTCTGACTAAGGAGAAACGATAAAGACAGGAATCTCAATCTTAGATGTATAGAATGATAGATGAGATGAATAATATTTTACATTTATAGTTATAAGAAGAGAAAGCTCAAAGAGAAGCTACTGAAGAAACTATGCTTCGACTATTGGATGAGACATGTAACAGAGTTGAGAACTCTCTAAGAAGATGATGAGAATTCTATTATATAGTTAATTACAATATTATAAATAGTGAAAAATTAATAGTATACTCAACTTTATACACCATTTAATAGTCGAAGACCAAGTTTAAAAAATAATTAATCTTCTTCGTCAGATATTTAGTTCAAATTTTCGATGAAATGATTAGATTATTCAATTTAAGGTATTTTAGCTCCTTTGGAGGATGTTAAATTGAAGTTTTTATTGAGTTATTTCTATTTTTTATTTTCTAACTCAATTCTTTAACCATTAGTCTTATTTTTGAAATTTGAATTATCAAGAGTTGAAGTGTTCCGATCAAAATGAGAAATAAGCCATTATTTTGTTCCAAAAGTATAATCATGAGTTTTATTGAGTTATTTTTTGTTGTTTTTTTTTTTTGAAGTTTTTTCTCTTGCGATAGAATATAACAAATAAGCACAAGAAATAGCAGTTACTCCATAAAAGATCTATTGCTAAGTGGATTACATAAGCTTGTAGTGAGAATGAATATAAATATTAAATTGAATGATAAGAATTAATATGTAATTAATTTCTATATATATAGAATCTTAACATATTCTGTTTTAATCTAATCAAATATGAGGAGTTATTTAATTGATAAAATAATTATAAGGTTTATTCTCATATTTGTAATCATAAGAAGATGTTCTCAAGGTTTTCTGTAGGATCCTAGATACTCAGTGATTTTCAATAGTTTTCTTGCCATGTTTTTTCTCAGTTACAATTTTTTGTTTTTTTCTTTTAATATTTTCTCTTGTTTTGGTATTTCAAGTTGTTCATTGCATAAGGTTTTGACAGGTTATCTGTTGGTATAAGAGGTGTTTTTAATTGATTTTAAATGAGATCCTTATTAGACTTATTTTACTATGATTGGTTTCACAACAGGGAAGTGATTTTGCAAGAGGATGATTCTGGGAGAACCCATAGGTAATTGAGAAGGACATCTAAAATGAAATTTAGAAGGATATTGAATAGAGTCAGTTTATTAAGATCCTTCTACGAGTGAATAATGCATGTAAATAATAAATAATGTTTTATTTTGTACTAAATTTGATTATTTTCTCAATACAGGACTGGTGAACTAAAATGATTTTTTTCTAATTCGGCTGAGACACCTTCTTGACTAGCATACCATGGATTGGCAGTATAAATATTTTGAACAGGAACGGCTAAGGAATATTGGTAGCTGAAAATATAATGAGATGATGTTAATACGCTGCCTTAGCACAATTTAGATAATCTCTTTTTTCTTTGTAGCACTCTCCACCCCTAAGATAGAAGTAAGGAAATACCAATGATCCAAGGTTTAGTCGATGGCTGCAAGAGAGGTTTTGAATAGATTGTCTGTTTTGATTTATTGGCACTTGAAGAAGGGGACATAAAAATTGACACATCTATCTCTAAAAGGCAAAGGAATTCTATGAGCATCCAATTCCTCAGGCGAGTACACGTATCCATCTTAAAATATAGTAGGAGGACACACTTACCTGGTCTTTCATAATACTTTTGATGATGGTGAGACATTGTGTTTTATTACTTAATTTTAATAATAATTTATAATCATTTACTTATTTCCGCTATCCATTCTTTTGATTTAGCCAATTACTCTGCATCCTGACTCAAAGGTATAGTATACTTAAGATACTGATACAGATTTTTGTTCAGTTAAGTTTAATTGTAAATGCCAATCATCACAGTTTTTTTGAAATAAGGATCTTGAGACCATTGATTCTCATTACTTTACAAAGCGATACTCAATTCCTCAATCTCCCCGATTTTGTGGATGTAAATCAGAATGAAGCAAAATTGTTTGCCTCCATTGAAATGTTACTTGTAAATCCTAATCAATTCAGAGACTGAATAGGTAATGATGGGTTCTCCAACCATTTGATCTCCATACATACTATTCCCAAACCTTTAGGCAACCTAAATGTATTGAGTGTTTGGAATCAAACAGAGAATGCTGGGCTATTGTTTTGGTAGTTCATCCAATTTGATTTTGTTAGTCCATTTTCTCTGTTACTTTTTCAATCTGTGATCTCGGATTCGAATATGAAATTTGTGTTCTAGATAATTAAGATATATAGAAATACCATTATTATCATCAATATTAGGCAATGAGGTCTTGGATTGTACTATGGAAACCAAATTGTTTCTAAATTTGCTCATTACCCAAGGACTGAACAGAACACTTAATTATTTTTGGTCTTAATTTCTCTTGCCCTGTATGAACTTATTTGCTTCTCTGTTCTTGTTGATGATATCGTGTATAGGTTATGCTCTCAAATTATCAAATCTCTAAAATTGTCTAGGCTTTTATTAAGGAGTAGTAAACTATTTGGGAGAAGCATCGAATCTTGCATCCTTGTCATTCTGCAATTGATCACCGTAATCTTTAACAAAGGGTGTGTCAGATTGTACACTTATTTGACTATACTTATCATAATGCATATGATGATATCCAATGTCAAGTATTGTTTTATCATGATCCAAGATGCCTTCATTGTAGGCTACCTTCAAAGTTTATTCAAGCAATTTAATAATATCATCTTGAATTTGTGGATATTGGATAGTATATTTGATTGCAATTTCGACTTCCTTTATGATGTCTTAATGTTGGACCTGAGTATTTTCAAGGGATTGTGCATTTGAATTGGCGGCAGAGGCGAAAGTTGATTGTGGGATTGACTTCAATTGGATGGTTGATGCTAAAGAATCAGGATTATTAAATTTGGCTGTGTATTTTTGTAAGGGGGATCTCAATGATTTATCATAAGTCATGGCTGGAGAGGCAAATCGTTTAGCATTCCAAAAATAGTGATTCTAATCAACAACGTTCTTTGTGAAAGTCAAGTCTACCATTTGAATGTTATCACAGGACTTATCACTCTTCTTACACAATTGAACATTTGTTATCAAGAGAATGATTATGTTGTCTCCATCAGTTTTATAATCTATGGATATCAATTGCTTGCATTATTTGATCATTATCAATAGCATTTTCTCATTTTCATTTTCATACTCATCTTGACAATACAATTTCATTTATTTGGTAGAACATGGGTAACTTATGGATATCTCCAGATCATATTCAGACTTGTCCAAATACACTTAGGCTATTCTAACATTTATAGTCAACAGATCCGATTTCTATTCAACCAGTAAGGCACTCATTAAGAATGCATATAAACTATAGAGAATACCTTGTTTGTTTCCCACAAGTTTTTCTGGAATACCCTCTTCAAATTCAAGTTGAATTAGATTGAAATGCTCTTAGAGTCGATTAACCATTGATTCAATTACATTCACAACATAGTTCTTCACTAAATCAAACAATTTACTTACAAAAAAACTCATCATTCTAAACTGACTGATATTTAATTTGTTAAAAATCATGATTTAAAATGGTCATGGCATCTATTTACTGTTTTAATAGTCTACAATCCGTAGTGCATTATCCCAATATACTTAGATCACTCTCCTTCACCACTTTAAATGCTCTTAAATTGTTCCATTTCTGATAATCCTGACATAGTAGATTATACAATTAATCTATTTGTTGAGACAATTTTGTAAAGACTTCGACATCACCACAACTAAACTAGGATTATGTCAATACGAAATCAGAGTTATGTTGTTCCAACGTATAATATTTACTATTGATTGTTATTTAATTCATTTTCTTCTTACGTATAGTGTTTTCCAATTTCCTTTATAATTCATTATCAAATTATTTTACATTATTATTACTATAGAGAATATTTGCTTCACTATTTATCATGAAGACATCTATAGGCAATTACTCCAACACATTCTCCTTCTGATGCTAAAGATATTCCTATAAATAAAATGATATAAAGAATCTTCGCTTTATAACTTCAAGATATCGAGACAACATAATCAATCCGAATCCCAAGTATAATCCATTGATTGACCTAACCATTATCATCAGAAAAGGTATTTGATTTGGCCAATAAGGCACGAAGATTTGGTTAATAAAAAATGAGCTCATCAATGCATGATTCTAATTTTAAAGAAGTAGCTCTGGAAATACTAACAAAACCTATAATTAACTTTGATTATAATACTCTTAAGAAATAAATTAATTTATTATGATTTTTTAAAATAGCTTTTAAAATCAATGTCATTAGAATTGTTCCAATATTTATTATGCTTCTATCAAATGCCATCAATATAAGAATGCAAGGGTACAAACACAACCCACTGAATTTTGATCGCTGATATGCTGTTTCAGTCTTAATTTGAACAAAGCTTGCCAACAATGAAATCTCTTCAATCATAGTCCCAATTTATTTTATTATTTATGTAAAAATTATTATATATATAATTTATTGATCATTCTTTTAATACTTATCCTTCTCCCCTCACATCATAAGCATACTCTGCCTCCGAACAAATTTAGTATTTATAATTAAAATATTTATATCATGACATCTAAGTTGCCAGAATTAATAAATTTAAATGATTCAGTTGCTTCTTTAACGGATTTCCTTAAAAAAATACCCGAAGAAGTCAACACTTCATTTGATTACAAAATCCCTAATGGTATTATTCTGGATGAAATTATTACCTAACTCATCAAAAATCCTAAGAAATAAGAAGATCACAAAATTGTATTCAACGATTCTGGATATCAAAACATACAAACTATTCAATCGATCTTGGGCATCGAATTCTAAGTTACCAAAGACATAGATGAATTGCTCAATGAATAAACTCAAATCTATTTGGACCAATTTTTGTCTACTCTGCCAAAAGAGAAAGAATCTCAAAGTAATAGCATTGCCAATGTACAAATAAACGAATTGGAAAATGCCAAACTATTACACCAAAAGGATATCATCTAATTAACTGGATTGCAATCCAAGTTGCACAAACAAGATGTGAGACAAGAATTGATTGAATAACTATTAGAATCTAAGAAATTCAACATCAGAATCACACAATAATCAATCAATTTGTTTAATGATTAGTTGATGTTTAGGAATTTGTTTTAACAATTTAGACAACAATTTGAAGAATTAATTTATTGCATTCTAAAATTAGAAACCACTCTTACTTTCAGAACACAAAAGTTGAAATTAGAATTACAAATGAGTTAGAATGAAAGAGAAAAACTACAAATCAAAGAAATCGAAAAGTTGAAATCCATCATCAAAGAGAAAGACGAACAATTAATTGATGTCACGAACAAAATCTAATTCAACGTAACTCACTATCAAAAATTAGAAGAACAAATTCAAGTTGCAAAATAAAACATCTAAAAATAACTAGCATCTATTAAATAATAAAAATAATAAAAAGAGGACAAATAGAAAACTAGTTCCCCCTCTGCTTTGAGTGCTTCCAAATCTAATATATCAGATTTAGAAATTCTAAAATAATAAACTAGGAAAGTAAGTAACTCCTATGCACATAGAAATAGATTTAAAACTGTATTTTTTAAAAGATGATATATATATCTATAAGTTATAATTCTAATTAAAGGCAATTTCTTATAAGTTTTCAAATTCTATTAGTTGAATATATGAGACTATTAAGAATTGGAATTGATCAGATCATCTCTCGAAACATCATTAATTATGAAAAATAAAGGTAATTGGATTGCATGTAATAACATTACACGCAATCCAATAATGTTAGCATTGATATTTTTACATGTTAATTCATAAGAGCAAGGTCAAACGGTGATGATTCACTTATAATATAATTAATAATACAACTGGATGGAACTTTCTTAAAATAATCTAGAGACCGTTTAAATTTATGAGGGTCTTTTACTATAGCTGAAAGATTGAAAGTAAGAAAATGTAGAGATTAACTATGCTTTTATCATTTAAATTAAGGTATCTAAGGTTTGCTAATACTATTTCATCAAATTATGATGTAAAGGACGAAATAGATTAGAATTTATTAAGAAAGCTTAATAAATTGTTAAGGAAATTGGAAGACAAGTAATATATATTAAGGTAACAGCTGAATTCAATACTTGTGATAGTATCTTAAGTTCAAGATGTGATCAAGGAAGGGGATAGCTTTGCTGAGGGTATAAATGCAAATGAAAAACCATATGTTAGGATACACTAAAACAAAATCCATTTGCTTACAATTCCTCCTCTCAAGATTATCTATCCTTCAATTGAAAAGTTTATTCTTACATAACTCTACAATCAAATGTTATTTTTAGATTATTGACATGAGTATATATGTATTTGAAAAATTTGATTTATATGTTACACTTAAATTCTAAAGCAGTAAGTCACATTTTAAGTAACTTGCTTTTCAATTGATATTAAAATTTTTATATAATAAATATAAGGAAAGTGCGGAAAAATGGTTATTATAAAAAGATTAAGTGTTTTGAAAGAATAATAGTTTATTATGTGTATTTGTAGATAATGAATGATGTCATGTCAATATAATCATGCTACTTGTAATGAAGCAAAATATTACAACTACGTAAATAACGACTAGTACATATCCTATTCGACACTCTTCGAAATCGTGATATGTTAAAGCCCAGACTGCAAACAATTGAACAACATAAAAGAGACCAATCATAAATTAATCGATTCTTCTATTACATTTATAGAGTATTCCATTCATCAAAAAAATTAACCCAATTGGGAATAAAATTTCAGCCATGCATTATTGAAAAAACAAAATACTAAATATGGACAATCCCACAATCAAATCGAATAGGCTAAATTTTTAGGACTTTTCTATTGCCTGCACACTTGATACAGGTTATTCTCCATCTTCACTTTGTGTATTTATCATTTATTATAATATTTATTGTAAAAATACAACATTGTATGGTAATTGTAAAGTATACATGTTCTTTCTGGGAAAGATTCATGCTTAATTAAATTAAATAAAAATTTAAGAGAGATTCATTTGAATTCATTCTAAAAATTTATGTTAATTTTAATTCTAATATAATAGTAGTGTGAATATCTGAATCAAAACCCCAAGAATTCTTGGTAGTGGAGAGTTGTCAACAAACCATTGAACTGAACTGAAAAAATAATAAATTTAAGTTTAAAGTTTTAAACGATTTATATAATTCAATTCGTTATAATGAAATGACATATCATATAAAAAATTTATTTTGCTTCGGTATTGCTTTGAAAACTTTAGGGAGTTTGAATATTTACGAATGTTATCTTGGTTCTGGACTATAAAATGTGAAAAGTTGTTTGTCTTCTTTTTGTCGCAAATCTTAAAAATTTTGTGCTTTTTGGTTAATGAAACAATGTTTCTTTTTGTCAATACTTGACATATTATTGAGAGTTTGAACTCTTTGGGTCCTTAACACCACATCCTTTTCGATTTTAGTGCATAATCTGCCAATCTGCAAATCCTTCTCTGAACATTGCTCTAATAACTTTAAATTTTCTTCTAGCAATTATTTGATTCTTCTTTATTTTTCTTTATTGATGTTTGGAATCATGGCTATAAATAGAATCATATATTACATTAAGATGATTCACTAGATTCAAAGAAAAGTTGAGAATGCCTTGGAGAAATTTATTTTTTCGGAGTAGGTTCTGTTGATTCTAGTGTCTAAATGCTCATTCCCTTCTTCTTGAAAATATTTAACTAAGCTTTTGGTGATACATCCATCTTTTATTTAGTCTGAAAATGAGGATTAGTGTTAAAATCTTGATTTTATTATAACAAAACACAAATATCGCAAAGAAATATCAATAATTTTCAAGCTTCAAATAAAAATCGCAATCGAGCTTGCAGTTAAATTCCCCCCTCCTAACTGTTCCACTAATCAAACAGTCTAAACCAGGTAATTCAAATGTCTTTCATATTAATAACAATCTATGTTATGTTTAAAATATTTTTAATACTTTATAAGTCTAATATGTAGTGAGTTTTGGGAAAAAATAATGATTTATTGTTTTCAATGCCCCTAATTCTTAATCAATTATAAGAAATCATATTATTACATGCTTTGTATTAATTGAATTAAATTTAACAGTTTTTCTCATGATGCTAATTTAGAATGACGCAAATGTTCTTATAATTTTATTTATATAACATACTTAATGTTTTTGCTAAGTAAGAAAAAAAAAATCATTAACAATTTAATAATTTAATATCCTGGGGCAAATTTGATTTAATCAGTACATTATATCTTACCCTTTATAAATTAGAAACATTAAGAAAATTGATAACAAATAACTTATACATGTAATAAGTAGAATTGAATGTAGGAAAATTTTGAACTAATAATTTTTATTTATACTTTATAATAATTTCAATAATCATGCTTGAACAATTCTATGCCTACTAAAGTTATTAACATGGTGTAGATCATGTAATATGGGTTTTAGATGTTTTAACTTTCTTCAATGGTTTGTCCCTGAATATCACCATACAGATTGACACTCAGGACTTGTGAAGTCTCTTATTGTTATTGGTCATCTAGGATGATTAGTCAAATGATATACATGAGTTGTAGATGAAGGCATTTTTCAAAACTGTTCCAGTTAAGATGGATTGGAACATCATAATGGCATTAATGAATAAGTTAGAAATGGCCAATGAAATAGAGGCTCCATGACCAAAAATGATTCCAGTAAACAAAACTGCAAGAGTACACTAGTAATGTAAAGGTAATGATATACCGATAATAGATTGACAAGCACATAGTAATTTCCTTGTCTGTTTTTTAGTGGGAAATAAGTATATGAAAAATTTTCAAGTGCGACTTCTTCGTCTGGTTTGTTTTTTCTCAATTGGAAGGATTTCTCATCATAGAGCTACCATTAATGATGTAAATCTTACTGCTTCTTCACAAATGGTCTTGACTATAAAGATAGTTAGTCCTTTGTTGTAATAGGCTAATCCGAATCCAATCAAGAAACCAAAGAGATTATACCCATTCAGTAACAAAATAAAGGTCTTACTAAAAAATATAGCAGTTCCAATGATTAAGATGGCTGCAATGATGAGAGCTCCAGCATTGGTAATTTTTAACCAAACAATGTAGTTTTTAGCTGCCCAAGTAATGGAGTGCAATCGATCTTTGATATTGTTAGCAAATTAGGCAAGGAATGATAGTTTGAGTCCATCCCCTGATAGAACACCTAGCATTGCTATTCCCATGAGAATGTAGATGTTCAAAATGTATCCTAAAAACAGTCCAAGAATTCCAACGAGGGATGCAAGTTTATAGGAAATGAATAGGGATAAAGCAATCAAAAGGGCAGGTACAATCTAACCTATGTTGCCTATGGAATAAGCTTAGATGATGTTAAGAGTGGGAGCTTTGTATGAAACTAGTGCTACCTTCTGGGCCACTGAATAGCCATGACTGGTTAAGTATTCATAATAGATGATTAGAATGGCTGAGACAACGATTCCAATAAAGCCACATCCCATAAAATCTCGACTAAGGACCTTTTCTCTGTAGATTTAAGTATGATCTTTGTCTCCGAATTCAAATTCCTTGGGCATGGATAATAAGGAGAAGATGACAAAGCATAGACTCAAGAATATTGACATCAAGATTTGGCATCTGACATTATTGGCAGTAAAGGCAACTGCGTCGTCGTTTTTGAGGATGTGGCTTAGGAATGATATTAATAATTAGCCAACCCAACTCAGAATGAATACTAATTAGATTCCAAAGATTTTGCCAATAAAATTATCTGAGTAATGATAATCCACTGAATTTACTAAGACGATTGATGGCATTGAAACAAATAATGATATTACCAACATGGAATCAAAGAAATTGACTTCAGCTATTAAGGAAGACATGCCTGCCGCTATTTTGGTTGTGTAAGAGAGGTTGTTTCCAATGTCACCGAAATATTATTCTTTCTTAATCATTAAATCGCAAGCTGCTTGAATTCCTCTGCCTGTGACTGACATGCCTTCTCTGAAATATATGCCGGAAATCAACATTCCCAATGGAAATCCACTTACCATAATAGCATAATTCTCAGGTTTAGTTGAATGAACTGACATTGCCTTCATTATCAATACTATGAATAAGGAATTCAAGGTTATGACTCCACCTATAAATAATGCTGAAAAGAATCCGTTTCCGTATATCCATTTTAAGACGTCTTCCTAAATATAAAATTGATTCTCACCTTCCCAATGCTGGCCTTAATTGGAATTTTTAGTAATGTACCTATTTTAACTGCAATAATCAAATAGGCAATTATGCATGTTATTATGGTGCCCCACAAAAAACTGATGAAGAAACCCCAAAACGTTCCCGAGGGTGTTAGCCAAGACTAAACTAGTTGTGCTATATATGTACAGCTATTATCAACAAGAAGCCTGCAGATGTTATTATTGTTATGATTAGCTGATTGAGGTACAACTCCTTATAACTGATCTCAATGGTTTGCAAATATGTCGCAATATAAGCAGGCAGTTCCTACTTCCAATTCTATTCATCAATTTCCTATTCGTCATACAGATTCCCATAATCTAAAATCAAATTCTAGTAATCTTCCTCTTACTTTATTGAAAAGTTCTATATAACTATTCAATAATGTTTACTGTTCCCAGAAACCCTAATAGAAATAAAGCTATGGCTAGCACACAGAATATTGATACTACTAAGTATACCGACAAATCTGTGAACATATAAATTATATTTATAATACAATAAAAACGTAAATTTTATTAATTAATTTTCAATTGCTTATTAGATAACCAAAATAGTTTTGCATGTTGAATTTGCTAATGCTGTCAAACAACCACTTCTGATTGACTATCATGGGAATGCACTCAATGCGTGTGTAGTTAGTTTGAGGATCTTAAACTATTTTTATTATAATAGTATTTTAAGTCTTTTCCTTCAAACTTACTAAGTTGCCACCGCAGAGTGAGATCAAAGTTTCAATGTAATCCTGATTGATGATGGTTTTGTTGAGGTTTCCCACTTCGATGCTGAATTCGTAATTCCTTAGGAAATCATACATTCCACCACGAGTTCTCGATATTTTGGGAGTGAGTGTAGGAAATTCATCCCCTTTTATTTCGAAATCCTCCTCATTCAGAATTGTATCGCATTTCAGACTTTCAATTACCCAATCTATATTGACAATCCAAATTCCTCTGGCCAATGCCTCCAAGTACTTTAAGGTCCTTCTGGCTATGAATGGTTTGTTTGGATTGTCAGGGCCTGAGATGAGATGTGTGATTTTGGAATTGATGTTTGAATTCGATTTTATTTTGAATTGTTTTTGAAATCTTTCAAGGCATTCCTTAATTTACTAATTTCGGTACCTTGTATTCATCAGATAAATTCGAAGTACATATAAAAAAATTAGTGGATTTAGATTTCTTTCGACTCTAATCTGCTTTAATTTTGGTATTGTCTTGATCAATGACATTCAAGACTGCCTGCAATGACACGTTAAGATTTATTTTGTTCAGATTGAAAGGCTATTTACAAAGCGGGCATTTCGTAGACTTGGTTGCTTTGCCATAATTTTGAATGCAATCGCGGCAAAAACTATGTCCACAGGGAATTACAAATGGAATACTAAATAAACTTAAGCTAATATAATATTTATGAATGCTTACCAAATTGAGCATTGTAGTTCATTTGCTAAATTTTCAACCAGCATAAAATAATATAATTGTGAATGAAGTTTATTAAAATAATATTTCATTTCCCCAATTCGATCCTTATATAAGTCTCCAACAAATTCCTATAGCATTCTTATAATCAAAAACAACACTCAAACAAGTAATGTTCTTGTGACACAATAAGAAAGGCAAGACCTATAGGAAAACCTTGAGGAATCTCATTGATTAAATATATTAAATAATAATAAATTGATGTTCAATGGATATCAATATGATAAGTAACTCACATTCACAAAAGAGATTGACAAAATAAAGAAGGAGTATATTACAGAACGATAACGCAGAAAAGGTATGAGCAATAACATAACATATAGATATGAATTAAAGATTGTCTAAGAATTATAAAAAGAGAGTTGAGAACTTCGTGATTAATATGTTGGAGAACCCTGTGGTTTGCAATGAATATAAACCCCCTGAAAGTTATAAGTTTAGAGATGAGGATCCAACAAAGAATTTGGGAGATCCCTAGATTTATGTTAAAGGTTTCAAACATGAGAAGGAGAGAATATTGGAAGCATAAGAAAAAAACAAGGATTTGGATTTCCTACCAAATTTGAAGGTAGGAAAACACTCGTTTAGAGAAAGAGATCCATCTAAAGATATTAAAAGAGACATCTTCAGATACAGAGATAAAACTGCTCTGGCAAGAATCGAATAATACTTAAAAGATCATACACAATCGTAAGTAGAGAACATGAAAATTGATCATAAAAAAATAATAAGTTTAGAAAACTTCTCAGAAGGAATGTCAGCCTTAGAAAGAAGAGCTTATTTATCAAGGTTGATTGCCAAGAATCTGTTGCCTTCATTACACAATAAAACGCATTTCTAAGCAGCTTAAACGATGTTCAATAATTTACCATGTATGCTGCATATAAATTATCAAAGTAACATTGATGGAACATGCAAGATCTCAACCCTTATTGCATACTCAAGAGGAAAGCAGAAAAAAACCATTGCCATCTTCTGAGAAACAGAGATTGATGTCCCAAGAGGCACCAACAAGAATGGAAGATGTTGGAAGTGAAAAAGATAAAAAGTAAGGCAATGAGATGGAAACATTCAATCCTGTAGAGACATCTAAAATGATATTGAAAAAGTGCAATGTCGTTAAAGATAAGAATCCTAAAGTACTTTTTATTATGAAATTATAGGTTCCCATATTGCATCAAGGTTCTGGTCATTTGATATCGACCATGGATAAATCAATATAGGATGTTTATAGAGAGTTGTATCATGTAGATTTTAAGAGGTATGATTGAGACAATGGATTGGGAATTACTATGATTAATTTAATTATATTAAAATTTATTTATGAAAAATTGTGTAAGATAAGCATTCAGATCAAATTCAACATTGAGAGGAGCATGGTCATAAAATTATTTATAAAGACCAGGAGAAGGACAATTAAAGAATGTGACTGTGCTTCCAGGAGATGGAATAGGTCCTGAAATTACTAGTATCTATTTAACATAATCAAAAAAGGAAGTGTCATGTAAGTTTTCGATGCTTTACATGTACCTATAAAATTCGATGTTTTGGACAATTTCAATTTTGATAATGATGAACAAAGAAGTTTGTTGAAAAAAAATGAATGCATCTTATTGGGAGTCATGACTGAAAAAAATTAAAAATATACAGATAATTACAGATTTTATAAATACTTAGATTTATATGCCAATATTACTTTTGCATTTTCAGTTGAGGGTATCAAATAGAGACATAACAACACAGACATAGTTGTTATTAGAGAAAATACAGAGGGTATAACTTATAAATCTAAAGTAATAGGTGAGTATTCAGGAGTTGAACATGAAGTCTATCCAGGAGTGGTTGAATCAATCAAAGTTACAACTAAACAAGCATCTCTAAGAATTGCTGAATATGCATTTGAATTTGCTCATTTAAGTGGAAGAAAGAAGGTCACAGCAGTCCATAAAGCAAATATAATGAAATTGGTTGATGGATTGTTTCTATCTGCCCATAGGGAAGTTGCATAAAAATATCCTTTCATTAAATACGAAGAAATGATTATTGATAATTGTTGTATGTAGTTGGTGAAGAATCCTACTTAATTTGATGTGATGGTCATGCCTAATTTATATGGTTCAATCGTTCAAAATGTAGTTGCTGGTATTACAGGAGGAGTAGGAATGGCTGCAGGTGCATCTATTGGTAGGGATCACGCTCTCTTTTCACAAGGATGCAGACATACTGGTAGAGATATTGCAGGTATAAATTAATTAGAAATTAGGGAAAAATATTGTCAATCCTTCGGCTTTGCTTGTGTCCTCTTCGTTATTATTGAGACACTTGGGATTGCCCAATTTTGCTGATCAAATATGCAGTGCTGTTTAAGAAACTATTCAAGATAGAAAAGTATTTTTAAGTATTAATTATAGCTCAAAACTAAAGATATAGGAGGTAAAGCCAGTACTGAATAATTTACAAAGGAGGTTATCAAATGCTTAGGCAAGTGATTAAATATTATTCACGATTATCATACGCATTATCAAATCAATTTAAATACATTTCTATGTCTTTCATTATATTATTCGAATTTATTATAAAGGATGTAAAAAGACAAAAATAATTCAAATCAGGTAATGCTATAAAAAAATAATAAGAAATAATTATTAAATTAAAACATCATTATTAGAGTAATAAATTATTTATTAGCTACTATTTTTACAATTAGAATTAATAAAATTTATCATATATAATCAATTAAAAATGAACAAAAACTAATGGGATTTTTATTATATTTCCATTTACTCAATAATAATGAATCTGAATAACTATCTAATTTAATAGAAATTTAATCCAAGTTATTTGATTAGATAGTCAAAGTTCTTTTATTTATATATATTTATTTTAAATGCAATTAGTTGTATTTAATTAAAAATTGCTTTACTCAACTTTTTTTAATTATAAATAGATATTTATTTATTTTATATGGTTTTACTATTATATTCCTGATTTAGTATTCTTGATTTAAAATATGTCAATATTATAATTTAATTCGTTTTATTTTTCTGGAAAATCATCTTGACTAGTTAAGTTTCCACACTTAAAGTTCGAGAGTAAAAGATACAACCTATTGATATTTAATGGAATTTTTAATATGAAATTAATTATAATAATGATTCATAACTTATTAATAATAGTATTTTTTGCTTTATGGACTTTCCTTTTTATCCTTTTGATCTTAATAGGCTATTTTTTAGAAAAAAAATATAAGTTAGCAGCCATAACTCCTGAGGTTAAGCATTAAACACCATAAGATAGTGTGGTTTATATTAATCATATGTTAATTTCTAACGTTTAGAAGCAGTCTTAGTAAAAGAATGATAGTTAATTGGTTGAGGAATTGGTGAGCAACCAAAGAACAATCTCATAATAAAAGATTCAAGAGTAGGTTAGTAAGAATGAAGTTAAAATTGAATACACATCAACCTAAAGAGAAACAATTGCCAAAGTGCAATAAATGAAGGTCAATAAATAATAGAAATAGACACCAACATAGACTATATTCTCTAGAAAACCTATAATAGGAATTCTGGAAGGAATGGATACTCTCTAATCTACAAATCGAAGAAGTGTACGATCAAGATAGTCAGCCAATAATAGCGAGAGAAACAGCGTTTCTGGATCGAGTTTACATTAACAACACATCAACCAAGCAAAGATACACTCAAGTTCAACTTTTTAGACAAGTGGAAATTTACTTGGTATTTAGAATGATAAAATTCCCAAACCAGCCAAGGATTATTATGTAATAAAAATTTTTTAAATTAGAAATGTAATTCATTTGCTAAAATATTTTACAGTCACAAGATTGGATTATCAAGAATTTTTATGCTCTCATAAATTTATTTTCGACAGATGCTTTGCTTCGAGATTTGTGGAGCATTATTACTATTTGACTCACAATTACAGTATTATTATATCATGGGATCTTCATGCGGAGCATATATGGGTCTCAAAGTATATGACTATTACATGATTTAATGTATATGTAAGGATGGGAGAGGTTGCCTTGTCAGACTGATTAGTTACTTGATGTGGGCAAGCGAATTGGCTGTTCTAGTTTTGGGAATCATGTATTATGAAGTTGATAATTTGATTTGTCTGCAATATTATGCTCCTAGTTTAGTTTTGGAGTTATTTATTATAGATCCAATCAGATATTTCTTAATCAAAAATTGTTAGGCTTAACCAAGAATCATAATAAATAAGAAGTCATAGATTGTTAAATGAGTTAGATTGTATTTTATATTTAATTATTAAATTTTGATGTCTCATAAATTTTATAGCATAAGTACAAAAGTGTCTAGTTAAGATAATGTGAAAATAATTAGAATATAATCTAATAAAATTCATAAATCTCATAATAATCTCATCAATCCAAGTAAGATTGACCCTGAAACTTTGAGTCATTAGAACATTCAATTGAAATCTTAAATCAACTCGTTGTCAGATGAAGTCTAGGTATGGAAATTAAAGTATCAATAACTCTAAGTATTGATTGATTTAAGAATAGAGAGACTCTGCCCAGAATCTCATGTTTGATAATAGCAAAACATTTTTAATATCCCTAAAATAATAACTGAAAAAATTGGAATCAGATTTGGGGGACAAAATAAAATAGACAGAAGAATACAAGAAGATGATCAATGTCACTAAATATTAAGAATTGCAAGTATAATTGATTTGTTATGATCTTAGGTTGAATTATTTAATTACTAATAATAAGCCCTAATGCAGTAATAGGAGATAAATGATTTGAAAGAGCAACTAAAAGAACATTAGAATCTCCAAATAGAGGATTTGTATTAGAAACAAGAAAAAACAATTTAGAAAATTTCAAAAAGAAATCATGATCTTAAATTAGAAAATACAAACATGAAAACTGAGAGACATTTTTTAACTGGGTAAATTGAATCCTTAAAAACCTAATTGATAATTAAAGAAAAAGAAATTAGAAGATTAATCTCATTATAATAGAAATTAGAGGAGAACCAATAATATTAGAATGCAGTAACCAAAACAAGATAATAAATCTTTAGAGAATCTCTCGAAAATGCTCAATTATAAGAACAATTAAAGCAATTAGAATTTCGTTATTCTTCTGACATCAAAGATAAAGATCAAGAAATCAATGATTTAAAACTTTAATTGTTTGAATAAGGAGAATTAAGAAAATAATTGGAAAAATTCTAATAAATTTCTTAAGAGCAAAAAGTTAATTTGCTTGAATTTCAAAAAGTAGAATCCAGACAAGATTCAACTAGAAAATTAAAAATATCACTTAATAATTCAGGGATATCGTAGCAATAATAAAATTATTCAGTGCTAAGATAATCTAGTTAATAAAATAAATAGAGTGTACAAATGGATTTATCTAAAATGCAAAATACAGAATTTACTAAATATTATAATGAGATGGATGAGAGTGAAAAATAAATTTCATAAGTCAATAAATAATAAAAAAAGGTTATTCGAGTGAATTTATATGATGTGACTCATTTCGGTTTAGAAATCAAATTTAAGTTGTTAAGTAAGGAATTTTCATTGCAAGACATTGACATGTTATTTGAAAAGTATGATTAGTAAATTAAGATACATGAGTTATTAGATTTGTTGCTCTAAGAACCATTTAAAATTCAGAGTTATGAATAAAGAAAACTCATAGCGAGGTATTTAGTTGAAGATAACAACGAGGATTACGTTGTGTATGATGCTTTAAAAGGTAATGACACTTAAATTGTCTTGAGTGTCTTTAAACAATTAGTTGGGAAATACGAATTGTTTACAAAAAGGGAAATTAATTCAATAGAAAATTAGTTGAAAGTGATTTTTGAGAGATCCCATTTCTAATTGAACGATTCCATCTAATAATTAATTATAAAGAAGAAACACTTGAGACCTGGTTAATGTGAAAAAGCCGATTTTGAATAGGCTATCAAATTCTCGGAATTAAATTTAACTCCTAGATAATTGGAATATATATATTTCCTTAATTATACATTTTTCCAGGATTTATAGATAATTTATTATCAAAATGTGATGACCTATTTTAATAAATCTAAATGAATTGAATTCTATAAACTATCAAATATTCTTTCTGTAAATATAAATTTGTTTGTGCATTTATTTTTAGAAATAATAAGCATAATAAATTTAATTAATTAAAAATGAAATTTAAAGATTTTTAGAAACTGAATCAGAAAGAGATCCTCTATGGAGGACTTGCTATAGTTCTATCTAGTGGATTTAGTGCTTGGGCATTGGGCAAATTCATTGGCTTTATTAATCATAAAAAGATGGAGAGGATTTGTACAAGAAAAAGATAAGCAACAATTGAAGCCATAAACAATTATAAATTAAATCATCAACCATGTTAATTAAGCTAAGATCTTTAAAAATAGATACTTAATGGTAGTGTTGCTTAAATAAAGTAATTATTGTATGAAGGAAAAACAACAGTTCAATAAACTGTATTGGTTTTCATTGAAAGAATTCTCAAGGTGGCATGTTCAGACAAACTTAATATCATAACAGAAATCAATTTTGTTGAAGCATTGGAAGAAGCCAAGTATGATTGATTAATAATTTAGAAAATTAGATGAGGAGATCAAGTAAGATAAAAATGTGATCAATAAGTATGCTTTGTTTGGTATTCCAGTTTCAGTTAAAGAAACATTCCTTTAGAAGAACTTTGACTCCACTTTTGGATTGGGAGTTAATTGTTTTAAGCCTGCTTAAGAGGATGGAATACAAGTTGCCTAAATTAAACAGGCTAAGGGTATTATCATAGCCAGGACTAATATTCCTCAAGTTGCTATGACATTTGAATCAGTAAATCACGTCTACGGAAGAACAAAGAATCCATGGAATCCTAGCAGAGCCGTTGGAGGATCTTCAGGAGGAGAAGGAGCTATAGCAGCTGCTAGAGGAAGTGTATTGGGAATTGGATCAGATATAGGTGGCAGCATACGTATACCAGCTGCATTTTGTGGTGTATATGGATTCAAACCTTATAGTGGAAGAATTCCAGATTATGGTGAGGCTAAGATTTCACTTGCAACTTAAGGAGTTATGCAATTGAAAATATCCAGAGGACCCATAGCTAGATGCGTTGATGATTTGATTGTTCTAACAAAGGTGTTATTTGACAAGGAAATTTATTCCAAAATTCCTTAGTAGATAAAGGATCCTTATTTTGAACCTCAACAATTAGGTGAATTTCCAGATAAGAAAAAGTTAAGAGTGGGATATTTCGATATTTTTAATGGGTTAATAACTCCTAATTGTATGAAAAGAGCAGTGCATGAAGCTTGTTAAGCATTGTAGCAATAAGGACATGAAATTGTTGAATTTAAAGTAGATAAATAAGTGTAAAGCATTATAGCTAATTGCTTCTTAAAAATCGTCGTCGCTGATGGAGGAATGAGATCATACATCGAAGCTTTGAATGGCTAAAAGTTTATTGAAGAGTATGACCTTTTAGTATAGGATTCGAATACATCCTTGGGAATCAAAAGATTTCTTTTAGGTCCATTGTTCAAGTTATTGGGATAAAAGACACTCTTGGAATATAACTACAATAGCAAAGTAGATGTATATTAATATTTGGTTGACTCGGCTATTAGAAAACAAGCAAACTTTGCATTTTGTCAAGCCGTTGTTGATTAAGGTATAGATGTAATAATCTCTCCTGCCTTTGGATTGCCAGCAGTGAAACATGGTGGATCCAAAGAATTGGCATTTGCTGCGTATATCTATTATAAAATTATAGCTTATATACTTGGATTTGGAACGTTTTAGATTTCCCTGCAGGCAGTCTACCTATTTCATTAGTGCAAAATGATCAAGATTTGGAAATAAATGGTCAATAAAATTCAATGGATCTTGTTTATAGATTTATGAAGAGTGATTTATAAGGAGCCGTAGGTCTTCCAGTCAATGTTTAGGTGTCAGCCCTACCTAATAAAGATGAAATGGTTCTTAGAGTAATGAAGGAAATTGAGTCAGTTGTGAAATTTAATTCTAAACATCCATATCCTGAATTAAACTGAAGGATTATCTGAGAGTATTAAATATCTAGATATATTTAAAATCATTTCTTAAGTGCTAAATTATAAAGGCTCACTTAGATAGGTTACAGTATTAATTTCTATGAATTATTTATTGCTCTACTTTTTATTTAAATATTGCTGAATATTTTAGAAATAATATTTGATAAAATTTGTATTCTTGGATTGAAACTCATATATTTTGAAAATCGAATAGTTAAATGCATTTGATTTCTTAAGGCATATCCTTTTTGACTTGAGGACGATGAAAGTCCTTAGATATGAATATGAGATTTCAATAATTTGATTAGAGTAGGCTAATTATATTAAATTTGATAATTAAAAATAATGAATTAATAACAGAATCAGCAATAACCTCCTAGGTTAAGGTTTCTTGGGGAATTGTAGAACAATTCATAATGCGAAAATTGGGAGTAAGGATCTGGAGCAAAATACGGAAAATGGTTGTTTTTGATATTTCAAATGATTTTCTATTGCGTATTAGTTTATAGTTTTGCATTTGGAAATCCTAAAGAGCTTGGATAACCTTTTGATGTTGATAGTACATAAATATTAAAATTTTCAAGATTCTCCGTGTGGAGCAGGCACTGGAAAGGAAGATTATAAATTTGCATATTTTGTAAACCCTGATAGTGAGGAATTCTTATATAGAACCTTGTGTCTTAAGGAATGTCCTAAAGTTGAACATAAAATGGCAGAAGCTGATGGTATTGGAATTGAATAATTAATTTTAGATTCTATTGTATTGGACTGCCATCCAAATATAGAGATTGCATCATGTGATGTTCGAGTTCAACCTGATCATCCTGAATTTAATGTTCTGTATTATGATACCATTCCTTTTATAAATGTTTGTGCACCAACTGAAAAATAACGATTATAAAATGTGATGAAAGCCCTTTAAAAGCCCTTCATTGTTAGAGTATTGTCAGACTTTTATCATTCAAAATTAATTTTCATCGGTTTAGCATTACTGGCTCTTGGATTAAAGTACGAAGTTTCATAATATCCTTAGTTTCCTAATTATCTATAAGATAGATGACTACCCACGTCTTGTGATTTGGATAATAGTTCTAATAGCAATTTTGGGATTTTTCGGAAATAGTTTTCTGGGTCTACTATATGCTAAGCATTTGCAATAGCATGGTCAAATTGAAGCAGAACACAGATTGTCAGAAGAGGAAGTTATTGGTTATTTGCATTCAAATTATGTTGATTCTACAACGATATTCATAATTAGCATCATCTTTATAGTTGTTGGGTTCATAGCTTTTATATTTACTCTTATTTGGCGAAAGAGTATAACTACAGTGGGACAGAAGGCTGAAATTATGAATAATTACTATTTAATTTCTCAACCGGATGAAAATGTGAATTATTTAGAATCTTTATTGAAAGTATTTTTGGGTCTCACAGTGATGTTGGCAGTTTTCTTTATGTTTATATTGATGTCTCTGTTTTACTTATTTACAACTTGTTCGCCCAAGAGTGAAGAACATTAATTAGCTTTTGAATCATTTTAGATTGATACTATTGAAATCATATTCTTTACGATTATAGCTATTGAATTAGTGTTGGTTCCATTTCTTGTCATTGGATTTAGTAAATTGTTAATAATCAACATTATTATTGAAATCTACAAACAATAAGTTTTAGAAGTTGATGCTGATTACTTACAAAATTTAAATATCAATCTTAAATAAAGGAATTTATAGGATTGTATTGGCAAAACTGTTAGATATCATTTCGGAGAGTTGATGTGGGGAATGTTTAGATTGTATTTTGCATTTTGCTCTAAACCAATATTTTTGAGTGGATTTAGATCCTTCATTTCAGTTTGTCTGACATAACAAGGCTTTCTGTAATCAGCATAAAATTAATTGGAATATGATCAATAATTACAAAACAAAAATAGAAAACACTATTAAGGATTTGATTACTAATTAATCATAAGTGTTGGTGTTTCTAATACCTGTATTTTGGTATATATGGTATTATTACTCTTTTCGCCTGCTTGTCTAGCAATACACGCTCCTCCAAATTAAATCTTAGCAATTTACCTCTTTACTTTTATGGTAAGAAGATCTATTAAATTTCTAGATATCCTATTTGTTTTCTACACTTTACGGAATGGGAATGGATACACTAAAATTCCTGCTTTACAAGGACCTAAATGAATAGCCAAACAATAATTATATTGGAGCTAGTGTCCAAGCCTAATTTAGAATGATAGCACTTCCTTAGATTTCAGTGCCACCTTAAGAATTAGAGGAATTTTTAAATAATCAAATTGATACATTTTAAGGATTTTAGTAGAATTAAAATTGATTTAACCTAGAAATTATTATAATAAAATTAACTTATAATTTAATTTTTAGAATGTTAAATTGTCTGTAAAGATAGTCTACAAAGAATTTATGGATAAGTTTATATATTCTCCCAAATTATTAGTACTCTGAATTAATTTAATTTAATATACTCTTATTTAAATTCATCTTATTATTAATTTTCTTAATCTAAATTTTATTTCCATTCTTACTTAAATAACTGCATGTATTCATCATTCCTATTTTGAATTATATCTTATTAATTAGATATACCGTTAAATAATCTTCCTTTTCTAATAGATTTATATTTGCCTCTCCATTCTTCAACTATGATTGCGTACATTCTCACGACACTATTTATTTAGTTAATAATGGTCTCCTTTTTGGCATTTATAACCTACTATATAAGCAATTTCACCTATTTTTATTTAAATATTTCTTTAATAAACATTTTAAAAATTGAAATCAATATAGATTCTTAATCAATGTTGCTACATAACTTTAATAATCATTCTCATTTTTTTAAAGAGAATTAATTGAAAATTAAATGAAAATACAACTTTTTGCACTCTCAATCATTTTAATTAGTGGAAGTGAGTGTCAGTTAAAGCAATAATCTTGCAAAGACTTCAAGACTAAATAGTTATGCATTAGTACAGACTGGAATGCTTCAAAATGTTATTGGAAAGATGGTTGTTAAACTTACAGTTATTCATCTTGTTATTACTCCTTCAGTGAATATGAGTGTTTAGAGAGGCCCGATAATTCATGTTATTGGTAAAATGGGGAGTGTTTAGCAAAGTATTATATCATAATATTCTTCAAAAGTGAAGTTAAATGTGAAAATATTAAGAGCTATGACGAATGCAGTCGTATATCAAAAGGATAAACAGTATCTTGTACATGGAAGCACGGGCGTTGTTACTCTGTTGAGAAATGTTCCGAAATAACAGATTTCAAATAATGCAGAAACGCTTATATGAAAGACAGGTATTAAAAATTCATATTTTTAAAAGATGCCAGTATGTTATTAATAACGTAGCTTCTGATAAAGAGAAGGAGTATATCTTTGCTGCAGAAATGTTTGATTATAACAGTTGCAAAAATGAAGATTGCGTATTTACCCTACATTCTTTTTGTCCTGAATTTATTAATGGAAGAAAATGTTTCTTAAAATCAGGATTATGCACATAATGTTCATATCAAACCAATGCATCTGATTGTATATCCACTTAACAATGTACTTGGCAAAATCATGAGTGCTCAAATATTCTGTAATATTTTGTTACTATTATTAATAGATGTTCTCAAATCAAAAGTAAAAGATTGTGTAATGAATTCAGCTATTGCCAATATGATTTTACTACTTAAAGTTGTTAGATCAAAAATAGCGATAAGAATAGTCATTGTTATAATTATAACATTAGATCTGATCCTATAAAAACAAAATATAATAGTTTCTTTGGTTTATGAAATCTTATATTTATATTAAAATCATTAAAATTGCTATAAAATTTATTGCTTAGTTAAAGTAGGAAAGACAATTGAGTCTGAAGTTTTTTGGACAGTATTTTGTCTTGTAGGAGTTAGAGCTTGACGATATGTAATTATTTATTGATTCTGCTATAATGGTTACAAATTTTATAATGATTTCTGTTTATAATATTCGCATTCTTGATTCTTCTTTTCCAAAAGGTGTGTTAGAGCTTGAAGTTGATTGGCCAATTCTAATAATTACTGATTTTAATGTTAAAAATTGATAGGTTATTGTTGTTGTAATTGATTAGATAATTATTAGATTTATACCTAATATTGCTAAATTTATTGATTCTATTGCTAAATCTATTGTGATAGTAAATTAAACTAATTTATTAGAATACTTTACTTAATTGATGTAAGAGTTTAAGTCCTTTTGCAATAATTAGTTTTGATTTCTTAGCAAAGAGTCTTCTTTACTTTTTTCATCCAAGATCTTTCTGAGAGCAAATAACTCATTTTCATATGATTATTTTTGATTTAGCAATTAGGTTTCTAAATTACTTATGCGTTCTATATGATGTTGATCCTTCATAGCCAATTCAGATTCTTTTTATTTTTCTAATTGTTTATACTTTTATTCCCAAATATTATCCGTGTTTTGAATAGGAGTGAAGTAATTTTTTTGTTGTAATGCCAATATCTGTTATCTCAAATCTTGGACCAATTATTGTAAGTAAACTTTCTCTTAAATTTCATCAATATTATTATTGCTTACACTTCGATAACTGTACTCTCGATTATTTTTGGGAGTGTGGGAATTATAAGAAGGTTGTGGTTTTTAGCTTTGGATTCTTGATGAATATTTAATTTCTTCGATTTCTTGTTCGTATTATTGCTTCTGTTATTTTATTTCACTTTTTAATTTATTAATTTCTTCCTGTTATTCGTTGTTGACTTTTTATAAGTTGTGCTCCTATTCTTGCATTCTTTTTTCGATTTGTTGTATTGTATTCCACAAATCAGGTTTGTTGTAATTGTAATTTTATTTATAATCCCTTATACTGGGTTTCAGATCGAGCATCTATTCTAATTGTTCTCGATATTGTTCAGAAGAACTCTACAAGATGTCTTCAGTCAGAGTTTCATTATTTTACAATTGGCTGATTGGACTCTACTGTAATTTAGGACCCTTGTGGGTTTGTTGAGAAGGTGGTGTAATTTTATACATAAAGAAATTACTAATTATATTTATATATCAAACAACCTCATAAGCCATTCCCATTCTCCTTAATTTGAGTCTCTGAAATTGTAAGCCTGACTCCTCTTCCTTCTTTAAAACCCACTGAAACATTCTAAACATAATATACAATATTCCTGCAACAAATGAAGCAAAATAAAGCTATTCCCTTGAGACTTCCAAGTAGACTCCCTTTCTGTGATAGGCTTCCACCTTTTCTTGATATTCTCTCATTTGTCTATCAGATATGGGGATTAATGGAGTGTGTCTGAATTCCTCAACAGGCCTTAGTTTCAAAAATCTATGAGCATGCTCGTTTTCGATTGTACCGGGTATTGATATATTGAGTGCCCTATTCTCTCTGATTTCTTCCATGTATTTATTGTTATTCAGTAAAGCATAGGGTATGGCATCTTCTTTTAATGTTTCTTTCATTTCATTCCTCACTTCTTGATACGGTCTAACTGCATTTCCATACAAGCCTTCTTTAAATTGTTGAATCGCATTTTCGTACTCTTAATAAGAAGTATGTTCATTCAATTTCAGAATATCAAACATCTTCATAGTCACTGTCTTGGGAGGTCTGCAATTAATATTGACACAAATTCATTACTCCACTTTCTCCACTGTGAGATCCAATCCCACATTTTTTATAGGTAAACCGTATTTTAATGGCAAATCTTATCTCGTGGGTTGTTTCGGTTCTTCTTTGGGAGTGATTTCTTATTGGGCCTTTTTTTGGATGATATCCAATAGTTCATTGATATTGGATTTCTCATACAAGGTGTCGATCGTAACTTGATTATCCAGATTCTATTGGGCATTGTTCGTAGTAGGCTCTTCCTCTTTAAAAAGTATTCTCGATATATCCTCCTCGGATAATTTGGTGGAATCCTTATAAATTCTTGATTAACTATCATGAATACTTCTGAGAGGCGAATCTCCATAATCTTCTATTTGTAAATAAGAGCATAATTAAATTATTAATAGAGATGAATTAGATATTGATAACAATTTTCATAGATATATATAGATAAAATCCAAAATTATTCATAAACTAATTATTTAAGAGTGCAATTGATGCATTTCACAAAGTTACTTGAATCCCTGTAAATTAATTTCTGTATACGAGTCTTCTTCAATTTATTTCAGAACTACTTCAATAACCTCATATGAATTATAGTCCAACTCATCTAGGCTAAGATTCTCTTTGCTTATGTATCCATCCTTATCACTATCTAGTTGATTGAAAATCCTCCAAATTTGTTAATCATATTTTGATTATGAGTTTGATTGTGATGGAATCCTCTTTTCAGATTGACTAAAAGAATTCTTGCTCTACAATCGCGATTGCATTAACTACAAGTCCTAAGCAATCTGGATATCTTCATATTCCTTCATTTCGCTAACCTTCTTATAAGTAGAATCTTTGTTGATCTACGGTTTGAAAGTCACTTGATTTTAAGTTTAAATTTGGTACTCTTGTCTAATAAATATAATTGAATAGATTACTTTTTCTTCTCAATTCTTTTTTATTTTTCTTCATGTTCTTTAACTAATTTATCTACCAATTTTTTTTGAGAGGATGCAGTTGGTTTAATTTCATTATTTTAAGGATTAGGATGGAATGGATGAATTTTAGAGAATTCTCTATTTTAAAATTCCTCCTTCTTTTTCTTATCTTCTTTAGCTTAACAATAGAGTTTTTCATGAATTGGAGTATTTGATCTATTTTGAGAATGATTTCTACTTGTGTCCGTGATTCTAGGTTAAAAAGGAGATTATTTTCTTTCCTATTCTTACATTTACATTCGTTGTTTCTCTTTCTTTTAATTCAGATCTAAACCCTTTTAATACAATTGACTTCCAATATTATTAATAGAACAATCAGGTCTACTTAGTTTCTTTTGTTCAGCCATCTATCTAGATCTGGGAGAAATTAAAGGTTAAAAAGTAGCTTGTTGTTATTCTAATTAAGACTTTTAGAGTTTGTGCTATTGAGCCTTTTCCAACTTGATTTTTTGCTTGTCCAAGCCTTCTCGATAAAGTCTTTCATTAGTTGTCACTTTTTTATTATCGTTGAAAGCTAAAATAAATTTAAAATTATATACATCTGGCTGAACTAGGAACATTCCACAATACTGTATTTTAAGTAACAGTACTAATTTACTTCAGATCGGTTTTTTTATTTATGATTTATTACCATTTTTCATAACTCTTTTAAGCTGAGTTTTAATTCTCATCAACACTACTAGCCTATGTTGTAATGCCAACATCACTTTGCTAACTTGAACTAGGGTACAGTAATTGGTGAGAAATTTCATTCTAACCAAAGCTGTCTCCAAATCGAGGGGATGATTCTCTTTTCAATTGATCATTGATTTGATTAACCAAATAGACAACGCAATCTTGTCCCAAGTAATGCTTTTAACAAAACACTCTAACGATGTGTTCAATGTCTTCACCTTCATATACTCTTATTTCTTCGTCTCGATCATTCATCTATAAACTAACAATAGCAATTGGCAAATGTTCTGTTTTAATTGAATACATAATAATTATGCAAATTATTAATATAATTAGTTTTATGAAGTTGTAATTAATTTGATTATTTTTCAAATTAAGTTCCTCATTTTAAAATTAACCAAACCTTATAAATTAACTCACAACTGTTACTTGTGTGTTCTTGTTACTCTTATTAAAACTTGAAGAGCGTGAGTATTTAAATAAATAATCAAAGACATATAATGAAAAATACTCAACAACATCCATCACTACTCTTTTTTGATTTACTCTGAGGTGTCTTCTGTTCTGACAGCACTACAGGGTCTGTTTCCACTTAAACTACCTTCTTTGCTGTTTTAGATCCAATTGTGTGAAAAATATCTATTGATATCTTAAGAATGCAGTACTTGCTACAATCTTGTTGAATGCAACATCTATATTAGTCCCATCTAATGCTGAAGTTTCTATAAACCCTATCTTCTGCTGTTCGCAAAAGTCCGAAGCCTCATCTGTTCGCACAGCCTATATAATGATCAGAGCTTACTCTTTGATCAACTGCATCAATTTTATTTCCAATCATTATAATTACGATATTCCCATCTGCGTGTTCCTTTAACTCTGCTAGCCATTTTTCTGTGTTCTTGAAAGTGGGCTCTCTTGTTACGTCATAACAAATAAATGCTCCCACAGCTCCTCTATAATATGCATTTGTAATGGCTCTATATCTAAAATATAATTTTTCCGAAACATTACCTCTCTTAACCTGCAGTATCCCAAATCTAACACTTAACAGATTTCCCTGATTGTTGAAGTGTCTTCGTTGCAAATTCAACTCCAATCGTTGGCTTCGATTCAAGTTGGAAATCATTATTGATGAATCTCTTTAAGATATTTGTTTTCCCCACTCCAGAATCTCCTAAAACGATTAATCATGTAACTCACCAATCAAAACAATCTTAAATAAGAAATCATACTCCTCATCATTTTTTCTAGTCATTAATAAATAAATTTATAATATTATTCATATCCAACAATTCCAAAAGAAATCCATTGAAAATATCTCCAATTCCAACTTCATTCTCATTCCAACCTCTCACAATCAGGATCTTATTCAAATTTCATCTTTTTTGAACATTTCAATTCACTTATAACTTAAAATAATGTAATTATTTTTTTGATGATTATTAAACTTTTCCAATTCAATTTCATGCGTCTAAAAAGTATTCTAATGTATATTATATAAAGATTACCAATTTGGCTATAAAGAAATACTTTTACACATTTAAAGTTAACACGGAATATGAAAATATTTACAAATTTTTCCTATTGATATTTAATTCAAAATCATCCCAAAATTAAAATCATTTTTTTGATAATAAATTAATTATAAATACATGTCTTTTTTATTTTTTAATGCAGTTAATCCTAGTTCTAAATATATATCATTAGGATTTGAAATTAATATTATGAATTCATATAAAGTATTTATGTGAAGAATAATTAAAAAATTTTAAATCAACATTTGTTTTCTTTCATAATTCAAAATTTCATACAATAATATACTAAATACTAGATACTATTAGTGATACCTCTATAAAACCTTTATTTTATAAAGAGTTAAATAAAAGCAACATAATCTTTTAGATTCATTCAATTAATCTAATACAATTAAAGAAAAAAAATGATGATTGTCAATTTCTAATTATTAATTAATTAATAATTAAATTAATTCAAATTTAATCCTATGATCCTAGAATTTTTAACAATCTATAGTGACTAATTAAAGCATCTAAAAATGATGGGAATTCAAAGTATCTAAATTATTTATCAATTTCATACTTGATACTGGCTTGCTTTGCTTTCTCCTAAATAGTATTCTTTATTTCTTTGAGTCTAGTGTGTGCAAACTATGGAAATAAGTGATGCTCAATCTATGCAATTAATCTTTATTTTTACTTAATAATTCAATCCACCAGAGAGGTGAGTCCAAATAAAAGAATCAAGAGCAAAATTAGAAGAATTTTAGATTTACAATTTACCCCAATTTGTTTAATTGATATTCTGATTATCCACCACTCCAGCCTCTAGGGTCCAATGATTGACAGAAAAGTATAAAGCATAATTATAGCTGTGAACTGCATTATAAACAAACCACATTCCAAATGCTACCTTGTATGAGAATTTTATTGAAGGGTAAATCAATGTTAATGAAATCCATAAGAGTTTAACAATTATTTACAAAAAGACTTACAGTTTAGAGACATACCCTCTTCTGCAAGGAAAATTGCTGAACCATTGCATTTCATCAAAAGTCCCAAAAACATCAGTAAAATTAACAAATGTATATATAATCCAAATGTACAAATGCTAATATTTATGATACCAAAATCTTTGCTGAAGAGGATGCAATCTTATGTATGGAAAGGTAGTATCAAATGCTCTATCTAGTTCTAAGTGGTTGACACAACTGTGATGTCCAAAATTATGGGATCTTCTGTACACCACACTAGTTGAAAAAGTGAGATCCAAAACATAACCAGCTAGAAATGATAATGTTTTATTTGATGAAAAGGCATAATGATTCCCATCATGCATTATATTCACATCAGCCTAATTATTGATTTACTAATTTACTTATGCAGCTAAGAATCCTAACAATATTGCAGATAATAAGGTGCAATAGTTGATGTAATAGTACAAACATGCTAGATATCCAGTTAAACAGAGGAATCCCTTTACAAAAAGAATCCAATGATTTTGCCATTTATTTCTAGGAATCTTTTGCTCCACTTCTTCCTTTATGTTTTAATAGAAATCATCATCGTAAGAATAATATTATTAATGATCTCTGACCTTCCCTATGAGATATTGCTAAGGAGGCTCTTGCTTTGTCATTTTACTGGGATGATAAGAATACCATAATGCAGTGCAATCCCCACCTGCTCCATCAAGGATCATATTACCACTAAATTAAATTGAATTTTAGTTACCCTGGGTGATATTATAGGAATTAAGTAACATCATATATTTTTTCTTTTATTACAATCCAACAATCATTAGGAGAATCATGTTTCACTATTTCACACCAACTATATTCTTAAGTTTTTTATTTAATTTATCTTTACTTTTCTTATTACCTCTAATTTATTTATAAGAATCTTAAGGACTTTTATTCTCTTATACTAAGAATTTCACACACAATCACAAAACAGAAACTAATGGAAAATATACGTAATTTCATAGTGTCAGTCGGTAATGCAACTTTATCATAGGCAATGATTGACACTGGTAATAAAAACATCATTTATGATAAAATGACAATATTGACAAATTTCCAGAGCACGTTCTATCTCCAAATAAAAATTTTTGGCAACAAATCTAGGGCATATAACATAATCACTGAAATCTCCAATGTTTTCATTAATATCTGTCGTAAATATAGGTTTTCTTCCGATAACATATCAATAGTAGGAAACGGCCATAAGGAGGTACCTATTGCAAATTTTATTTTTAATATTGGCCATGCTGGTATTTTTATTTCAATCCATGGTACAAGCAACAAAATCATATGAAATAATAGCAGCATTATGAAAAATCCTCTGAAAACTCTATGACTGTGAACCATCAGAAACAGCTAAAAAGAGTTGCTGTACCTTTTGGTGAGGTTAAGAGTCGATATTTTCAAATCGCTCATTTTAATAAGTATATAATTTATAATTAAAGCTCATTTTTTGGCATTGAATTCTTTAAACTCAACTCAAAAGATCATTATTAGACAGAATGATAAATAGAATTCATTTGATAAAATTGCAGAGTATTAATATTGATATTTCTGATGGGTTGTTATAAACATTAATATGAATCCATAATTCATTCAGGTTTATTTTCAAATTTTGACTATATATGATCGTGCAATGCTTTTTCTGCAAGTTTGCTCTATTCATCTTGCCAATGACCGACTACTGCAATTATAGGAAAAAAGGCTACTAATCCAACATTGTATAAAATATGCTTTGTAAATTTCTTTTTTGAGAATGCTTAACTAAATGAAGGTGCATACCTTTTGCACATAATCCAGCTGTAAAAGTAAAAGCTAGAGCATTAGATAGCATTCTTATTTATCCATATTAACGCAATTCTGGAAGGGTATCTTGCAGGCCTTTGTGATCATCCAAGTATTTATGTCTTGCCTTCATAAATATAATTTAATTATTTGATAATAAATAGATTAAGTAAATTTAACACTAATATTGTAATTGAACAAATATTGCAATCCTATTTTTAGATTCTTGAACTGATGTAAATAAAAATTAATTTAATGAATTAGTTTTTAGTAAAATAGCTGGTGATTCTAATTTTAACTTAAATTATATATTTATTAATATTGTATATATTTTGTGATAAAACGCACTGTAAAACAAAAAAAACAAGTGTCATAATTTATTTTTAATGGGGGAAATCAAAATTTTCAGGCCATTTGATCTAATGTTTCTAATAATAGAGATATTTTCCTGTTGAGTAGCAAATTAGATATCAATGGATTGCATATATACATTTTAATAAACTCGATAATGTAAAATTAATAATCAATATCGCATGACCTAATTTAATTAGGATCCTTGTTACTAATACAAATATATTGGTACGAACATAGCACAAGGATAAGCCATAGGATATTAGATGAACTAATTTTGATAAAATGGCATAAACAATTGCATGTTTTATTCTACAGGAACTTGTTAATAATTGGTTTAAAACGAAGATTCTTATTTAATTGGATTAGTCATTTGTTTTTCTTACTTTTCTTCTGAAGAATTGGATTCATTTAACTTTTATTTTTTTTCAGGTACAATGTAATATGGGTTTTTAATGTTTAGATATTTATTTCTTAGGTAGGAATAGAATCTATTTTTTATGCTATTTTCTGATCTGTTGTTTAAATTCTTACTAATCTGACTCCATTTACCACCAACCTTTTTATAAAATTCTACTACTATTTCATCTTCTTCCTTAGTCCATGGTTCATTATTAATATCTGGATGTAATTAGTTAAGATAATGTTCTCTTATCTACTTTCCAGTTCTTTATGGAAGAAAAGAACTAATTTTACTCCAATGATAACCAAATTTAGAAACTAAGTCTTTAAGTTTTTGATTTTCTTCTTCAGTCCATTATTTCCTTAACTTGAATCCTTTAATTCGTTTCCATCTCTAAGCACATTATGATGGATTTCTTCCATCAATTCTTCTTGCCACCTCAATCCAATCTAAATTGTTGTTTTTTCTAAGTTCGGTCAATAATTCATCCTCCTTGGTGGTCCATGGTTTTCTTTATGGTATTGGTGTGAATGAATCTGATGATGAAATTGACATTTATTTAATTTTTGAAATTTAGAAGGAAAGGTTTATTAAAATGAATTCAGTTTTTTCTTTTATTCAGTTATTTCAAACTATCATCTTTTTAATTGATAAAAAGTTTATAAAATTTCTTAGCTATTACAGCATATTTTGACACAAATTATTCAAATTACCCTTTATTTTATCACAAGTCAAACTTCCAGATCTCCATTTTATCGGATTTCTCATACATGTTATTTACTACATATTAAAGTGAATTGTAAAATTTGGATCACAAAACTCTAAATTCCTTTATTTAATTTCACATAAATAAGTCTGTGTTCCAATTCTTAGTAATGTTTTCAGTCTTTTAAGCATATTTATATATTTTATTTTAAGCAGGCATTTTGATGTAAATGACTTAAAAAGAAGAGTTAAAGAAATTGAATGCCTTAACTCTGACTAATATAATGATGCAATTTAAATTTGCAAGATCATGATGAATGAAAATACGAAACAAATATAATAGGCTAGTCTTTAAATTTGATTGAGAGATTTAACCTTTTAAATGTCTAAATAGACATGTTAGTATTTGCTAGCTCATCTTTACCAAATAAAGATTGGAGTGGATAAGTTACAATTTTGATTGACTCCATGAACTTTTCCAAAATCATGTTTATTAATAGTAACTATTAATTTCTTCTCCACTGCTGTGCAAATTAATAACATTCATTTATAATATCATATGGAATAAGGAATTTCATGTAGTATTAAAATATTAAATATTTATTTGAATTTTGATACTTAATTTTACGAGTATTTTAAACAATACTTAGAAAATATTAAATTATTAAATCAGATAATAATAGAAGTTCATTAATATAATATCAATCAAAAATCTATTTTTTAATTCAATTCTAGATAAAATTAGGAGATTCAAGTAAATGACACTTATCATCGATTTGAACTAAATCAGGTTCATCTTTTGCGTGAATACTATTAGCTTTATTGGCAGCTGCTGCTGCTAAGAACATTTCTTTGTTTTCAAAGGAAATGTAAACATTGCTGCTAAGTTTTCTCTTAGTACTTAATAATTCTTGTTCATCTGTCTCAATTTTGAAATTAGTTTTGAGTAGTTTTTTAACTTTATTTAATTTTTATAATCTATCATCTAATTCAAATATTTATTGACTACTAGAACAATTATTAATGGTTTGAGTGTGTCCTTTTAACTTTTCCTTGTATTTCTAAAATAAGAAAAAAACATTACATTCATTATTTATTTAAATGGCTTAATTGACATATTATTGAGTATATTAGATTCGTTTGATTAGATGTCTGATAAAATGGATTTCAATTCATTTTGCACTTCATAAACCTATTGTAAATGATTCTATGATTGTAATTATTGCAACAATTTCATTGATTGAATATTTATCATGTATAGTAATTATTGTAACTCTGTGTTTAAGGTATTGAATTGAGTCTAATATGTGTTTCCTTTAGCGTTGTCAATAATGGATTAACATTCTTATTATAAAGAAGATAATGATTTCTAGAAGTCTTTCAACTCCTTAGCTTTGTCTTCAGTATCATCTGTAATACTAGTGAACGTATCAGTGGACTCCAATAAAAAGGGAGAATTAGATAAAAGAGAGTTTTCATCCACTGACCAGAAATTGGCTCTACTAACAGACTGATTTTCTCTTTTTTTATTTGAAACTTGCTTAACTTGATAGTTTTCTACAGGGAAAAGAATATTTCCTTTGATCAGTTTTCCAACAGAGCATTCAGAACAATAGAATATAGCTCCAATGCTGCGATTGTATTCAAAAAATTTAGCCTATTTTAACAGATTTTTATACCTTCTTGTTTGCATGATAGGCACATCTAAATTAGTTTCCTTTTGTGAATGATTTTTATTTTTATTCAATAGGTGACAAACTTAAGACTTTCTATCCAACATTTTATGAAACACTCACTTTATTTCTGCTATTAGTTTTTCTAGTTTAAAGTACTTGCTTTAAAAATATATCATCCATCATTTTCTTTGGAGAAACCATTGATGTAGGCAGTGATGTTTTTTCTTTATTAATATAGATTGAAATACTTTTGAGGATATTTGAATTCTGATAGTATTAGAGAAGGGAATTAACCTCATTAAACAAATTTATATTTTCCTTGTTTTTGTTTCTTTTTTTGGTTGATTAATTAGTGGATTAATTCATTAATGGACTGCTTTCTTCTTTATATGATTGAATTATACCTTATTATTAGGACGAGAAATGCCTGCTTTCTGACATTTTTTTCATAGCGTTCATTAAAAATATTCGTTAAATAACAAATAATAAAAATTTGATATCAAAAAATTGAAAAAAATCAAGAACATTATTATCTTTTTTATTTCATGGTTTCCCTAAGTTTCTAATCCATTTCTTTAACTTTTTATTTCCTCGACTTAATATTCTCATTTTTTTCTTATTCATCCTTTTTTTTCTTCACCTCAGGCAACAACTCATAATTTTTGTTTGTCAACTCTTTCATCTCTTTCTTGTCCACCTTCACCTTCTCCCCCATAGCTAATCTTTTCATTAGTTATGCTCTTTTATCTTCTTATTATTCGATTGGTCTTAGTTCCTGCTCAGAAGGCTCCTACTATAATTCCTCTTATATTTATTTTTCTTTTTCTACTTGTCTCTTACTTTTAAGCATTTCCTTTCGAATCTATATTAATTCTTCCTTAGTCTTTCCTCCTTTCTCCATTGTTTTTGAATCTTATCTTTACTCGAACTTCTTAGCTAACATGGCTTTTCTCTTTTGAAATATTTCTCCTAACGTTTCTTCATATTCTTATTAGACCAAATCCTAGAGTTGCTCTGAAGATTATTAAAGTGAATATTTCATTTATTCAGAATCAATAGATTCTTTTTTTAGGGAAGATTCATGTTATTATGCAATAGGAGGGGAAGTTTGTTAGAATTCATATTTTTTAATTGGAGAGGTGACATTCTTAACTTCACTCAAAGAGTAATTTAAATCAGAATTAGGGGAATTCATTTATTATAAAGTTACAAATTAAGATTACTTTTATTAACTTGATATTGTCTGCTTTTGTGATGATTGAGGATCAGCAAATAGAGATAATTATTTATTCTAGTTATTGGCAGTCTTTTTAGGCTTCAGAAACTATTCCATAATGTCTTGTGGATCAAAATTATCGATTGTTTCCAAATATGAACTTTTCTGTAGATTTTATGTTTCTGGACTAGTTTAATTTTAGGATTAAGATTATTACTAAAAAGATTATTGTTATCTATCTGTTTCTTCTTGATTCATATGAGATGGTGATTGCTAATAAGAAGACTCATCTTCAGATTCCTCTGGGATTGGTTATTTTGAAAATTGTTATTTTCTTGTATTTTTAAATGATTAAACTAAATTTGATTCTTCTTCTTTTATTTTCATTTTTGTATTGATCCTCTACTATTCCAATTTTTATAAATATTATTCTTATTCTTTAATGTACTGTCTGATGTCTTACATTTAATTTGATTTCAATTGAGGGGGAGAATCGACATCACTTTATTATTCTTCATTTTAATCTTCTTAATCTGATTCAATTATTTATTCTTCTTAATTATTTTCTTCTTCTTCACTATTTTCATTTGAATGTACAGGGTCATTGTTAAAGTGTTGTTGATACGGGGATTTTGAATTAGTAATTTTCAATGTTTACTCAATTTCTTTGTTCTAAAAACTATGAGGGGATTCATTCTTCATATCGCTAAATTAGACTCTCTTTTTTTATGAAGTGCTTTGATCCTCTGATCCTACAGCATATTTTGTATAGTCCTCTTTAACCAATGACTCTTTTTATGGATCATTTAAAAGGTTTGTATCTAAAGGAGCTTTAGTGAAGATCTTTACAGATTTAGGTCTCTGTTTTTCTTTATTTTTTGTGGTTAAGGACTTTTTGGGGGAATTTGACTTAACCCTGTGATCTCTGACCTCAATTGAAGAATTGTTACAATTAAACATCTTGTCAAATTCAGATGATAATATTTTTTAATGGTTTTTCTCGGATTTAGGTTTTCTGGTTGGAGGTTTAGTTTTTTAGAGTTAAATGATTTCTTGTTTTTTGATGAATTTGGTTTCTTATTCTAATTATTCCAAAACTTTAATTTATCTCTCTTTAGATAATGCTTTTTGACTTCTTTATTTCTATGCTCTTTCTTATTCTCTCTTCTATCTCGCCTATTCTAAAAGCATCGCTTGTGTTTCTATCATTGTTTGATTTGCTTTTTCCATAGCATTTTCTTTTTCTAAATCTACATCATGTTTAACTACTTAAGGATTATGAAAGCATGTATTAGCGAAATCTTCAGGCTTTAATATTTATCTACGGGATATATTTTTATCAAATTTTTCGTAACTCTCTAGATCTTATGTAAATGTAGATGAAGTTTTATTTTTTGAAGATTCTTTGTAAATAGCAACAGATTAAGCTTCTTTTTGTTTTTCAATTATCGATGCTTCCTTTCTTTAATTTTATATTTAAAGTGCCTTTCCTTATGATGTTTCCAAAAAGGATTGTTTTTTCCATTCCTAAGCTTCTTGAAATCTTTTTTAAGCCTGCTCTTCGTAGTAAGCCTACATTTTCAACTTTTCCTACTACAATTCGTATTCTCTTTATCTGTATTCCTCAGCTTCTCTTGCTTACCGTTATTAATCGAGTATCGTTTATTAACGTGCTTACTCCAATTATTCAATCTAAGCCTTCTTTTATAAGTATTCCTAATATTTTTGTTTCTTCATCTCTTCCTCTTATTATTTTTGCTGCTGCTACTACTACAGTTGTATTTTCTTTTTGGTTAAATCTGATTCTTATTTACGAATCTATTGTTATAGTTAATACTCTACCTATTACATTCTTTGAGCCCTTAATTGAGTGTTTTGTTGTTGAGCAAATAATTCAGCCTCGAAAGTACCAATGAATCCTGTTTTAGTTGACACTTTAGCTAGCCTTGGTGAGAAAGAACTCATAAATTTTAAATAATATTTATAGAAAATAATTTAAATGACAGTTAATTAATTTCTAAAATAAAATATATATCCATTTTGTAATAATATTTAATCTCATTCAAAGCTAGAAAACCACACTAATGTAATTAATAGATATTAAAGCCTTCCTTAAGAATCTTGGTTTATCAAAGTGAAAAATACTAAAACTGAATTAGATGACATGTGAAGTATTTTTGACTAAGAAAACTGCTAAATAGTGGATTAAATAGAGATCTACTCAAAATTTCTTTAAAAAAAGCTTTATAAATTTTGATATCTCAGAGTTTACTAAATAGGTAATAATAATATATTTATCA